CCGAGAATATTCTGTGTGTCAAGACAGACTCGCTGTGCCCGATCAAGATTTGCGACTTTGATCTGGGCTCGGGGATTAAGTTTACTACGGACATTTCGTCGCCGGCAGCCACTCCCCAGCTGTTGACACCAGTATGTTTCAAATTAGCAAAGGTCCTATAAAGCGGTTATAATAATTGTAACCATTTCCTGTTTAGGTTGGCAGCGCCGAATTCATGGCACCCGAAGTGGTCGATTTGTTTGTGGGCGAAGCGCACTACTACGATAAGAGGTGCGATCTGTGGTCTCTAGGAGTCATTGCTTACATCCTGCTCTGCGGATATCCGCCGTTTTCGGGCAACTGTGGCGAGGATTGCGGTTGGAATCGCGGCGAAAACTGTCGCACGTGCCAGGAAATGCTATTCGAGTCTATTCAAGAAGGTGGGTTGATGTTAAATATTGAATTGAAAAATATTTATATTCAATATTTCATGAAATAGTTTTTATTTAAGAATTTACTTATAATCTCATTCAAATTAATATTTTATTTTTTGGTTTCTTTAGGACACTTTTCCTTTCCGGAGGCCGAGTGGCACGATGTGAGCGATGAGGCAAAGGACCTAATTTCCAACCTGCTTGTTAAGCAGGCTTCAGATCGCCTCAGTGCCGAGGCGGTATTGAATCACACCTGGATTCGTATGAGCGAGCACGAGCCGCCGGCCAGCAAGCAATCAGTACGCCACAAGGCTCTCCAGACGCCCAGTAATATTCGACGGTAATTAACTTAGAAATGGTCATAATAGTTCTCAACTTAATAAGGTTTTGAATTAAATTTTCAGTAATCACCACTCGGCGAGGGAAATCTCGCAGTTTGCGGAATCGGCCATGGCCGTAAAGCGTGTGGTCTTACAGCATTTCTCCATGCGCTACGACTACATGAAGGAGCGTCCGAACATCTACCAGCCGTCACAGGCCTACATGGATGCCTACAGCGATGAGAACTATAATCCCAAGCCGCCGGCTCACTACACTCGCAATCGCTCGCAACGCAATCCCGCTGCGTCCCTGTCTAGCTATGGCGGACGTATGTCATCGATGCACGGCCAGCGGGCCAGTAGTCGTCAGTCGTCTCGAAATGCCTCTCGCAATGCATCTGCAATTTACCCAAACAGCGGAGGCTTCAAGACTCTTAATGTCCACGAGGAAGATGACGACGATGAAGCCCTGGAGGCTTTTGGCCGAATCGATGACGATGATGACGAGTGGGCCAGGTCTACGAGGCAATATCAGCAGCAGCGTGAGCTACAGCAGCAGCAGGAGGCGCTGGTCGAGGATCACTACAGGCGAGAGAGCGGAAGCGAGGGTGATGACCTGGAAGAGGAGGATGGAGAGAGCGAGGACTATCAGCACTATAAGCATTATTGGCGCGAATTGGACGAGGACGAGGGCGATGACTATTTGTACGAACAGCAGCAGCAACGAGATATTATAGCCGAGGAAGAGGAGGAGTTCGAGGAGGAGCAGAAGGAGGAAACAAAACCAGCTGACAATCTAAAGCTATCGAAAGCTAATGTGAATCAAGTTGGCGATGCCAATGTAGAGAGCTCGAAGCCACAGCAGGATAATGGTGGGTATGAGAAGAAGGAATATATTATGGATAATATGGAAGAATCAACCAAGCAAAGCGAATTTGCTAAACTCACCACAATGCGCAAAGATGCGCAGGAGGAGGAGAAGGAGATTAAGCAGCAGGAGAAGGACAAGGATACGAAGGAAGAGAAGCAGCAGGATGATGTTGATGGGGCTAAGAGGCAAGGACCATCAAGTGATATTAGTGCTACTACCATCACCGATAATAACAAGCAGCAAACACCAGTTATAACTACAACACACATTAACAACTGGCAAACTGGCGATGCAATTGAAGATGATGATGTTAAACTATTGGATAGTATTAGTGATTTAAATGAAAAGCTACCTGAAATTTATGAGACTGCAAATATTGTTGTCAACTCAGCGGCAGTGCCAGCAGCATCGACACCAGCAGCAGCATCAGCAACACGCCCACCAACCGATAACCCAGAAGAAGATCATTCGAACGTGATCAAACCAACGACTGCGGTTGAGGGGACAACAATGCGAACGACTTTTGGCAAGGCGGAGGAGGAGGACAAGCCTCCGAACCAATCCCAGAACACGGGCCACCACGGCAAGGCCGGCCGCAATGTTTACTTTGCCCTCGATGCATATCAAAACGACGAGGATGCCGATATCGACGAGGATGATGACTACGACGAGGAGGAGGATGAGGATCTGCACGAGCAACGCAAACAGACGGTGCCTGCGATTGCCAATGCCTACACCCGAAAGCAGCGACAGCAGCACCAGCGGTACATTGTACCGCGCTATCAGTCGGCCGATCCCGTTCCTTCGAGGCAGCAGGCCGAGAACTGGCGTTACCGCACCCATCACTCGCAGGAGCAGCAGCCGACAGCTGGCTTTCGCAAGTACCGTCCGCCCTTCAGCACTGGAGGCGGAGGTGGCCACCATGGCAATCAGCAGCGCAACTATTTGGGCAGCTTTTCACACAGCGGCGGTGCCGCTGGTTACAAGATAGCTCCGATGCAGCCGCCGATGCAGCCGCCACAGCAAACCCTGCCGCGGCACAACAGCGCCGGAAGCAGTGGAAGTGGCAGTGGCGGATCCCCGCCATCCGACGAACAGTCGACGATCCGGAACTGGCGCCAGGATTGTGTCTACGCTCGCAGCTATGGAGTAAACCAGCCGTTGGAACAACAGCGGCACCTCCGTGCAACGGCCCAGAGAGCCCAGCAGCAGCCACGGATTGGAAGCGGTCGCTTCGCACACTTGCAGGCGACCCAGCTGATGGAGGAGCAGCAGGACATGAGGATCGGCCTTTCGCCGCCCAGCGATAGTATTCTGCTCCAACGGCGCCTGCGCCAACAGAAGCGGGCCAACGACCTGTCCGAGTACTGTGAGCCGGCCACCGCCAGTGGTTAGGTGGGTCCACTTTGGACAAATAACTCTGTTTTTCACGCACATTCTCTAGAAACCAACTTTCCAGTTGTACAATTATTTTTGGTGCAACATTTCAACCACCTTTATTTCAAGCAAAAGAAATCGAAGACTATTTAAATTCAATTAATTCCGCCATTGCAAACAGAGTTAACAAAAAACACAAAAAAAAAAAAAAGGATTATATTGTGGTAGGAGGAAGGGACCGCAGAGAGGAAAAAACAGAAATAAAAGGAAAGTGAGAGTGGCAAATGTCTACGCTGTTTTGAAGCAAGCCAAACAGTCGTTCGAGATGAAAGAACAGAAAACAAATACCTTTTTTTATAAAAAAGATTCGAAAAATTGTAATTTATATTGCAGTATAATTTTTTATTGTGAAAAATAAAAACGAATACGAAAAGTGTTTGATCAAGAGATGCATAAAACCCTTTAGACTTTTCTGTTTTGGTGAAATTGATGAAATCCTAAGTACTCTTATAAATTATTGCATGTCTCTTGAGTCGAAATAATGACCATTTTTAAATACCCCGATCCAAATACCAAAATGTACAACAAATGAAAATTGTTAAAATTTGTATACCTAGTATGTTTTTATTTCTCATGACAAAAATTGTTATAAGAAAGGAAGAAAGAGCGGGCAGCAAAAATACGTTGAGTTTATAAAATCAATTAAATTTAAATGTCCAAATTTCGAGTGACTCGCAAATAAGTTTGACCCCAAATTTACACTTATACACAACTAACGTTGGTAAAGTTATTTCGAAGGAATTGGGGTGTACACAAAATAAACTGTATTTGAAATCCTCAAAATTTGATTTCATTTATAGTTTATTTGCGTGTACATGCCAACTCCTTAGATAGATGGCTTGCTCATGGATAGTTATTTCTTTCTAAAACTGTTGAAAAAATATATTTTTTTAAGGCCCCGACAACTCCTAAACACTAACACGCACTTACACTATCGCCAAATACATTGGGAAAATCTAACAAACTCTTGACATTGCAAGTTGCTCAACATTTTTGCTGGGCGTAAATGAAAGGAAAACATGCAAACCAATTTTGTTAAATACATACACCTATAATATTTAAAAAATTGTGATATAAAATGTAAATGTAAATGCACCTGAAGAAATCTATCTATCAAATGACGCTGTGCCATCAACAATCCTTCTGGCCACTGTTAAGGCCGCCAGAGAAGGAACATTTTCCACAGTCTTTGTTTGTTTACGTCCCACGAAACCAATGTCAAGTGCATACACACCAATACTTCTATTTTTCCAATCAACAGCAACTTATACTACAAACTTCCAAAAAAAATAAAAACAAAATAAAGAGAAAACGAAACAAAAAATCAATATAAAATGATGAAATGCAAAAACATAATAGCATTGTTCATAATTTTATCTCGAGATGCGGCTAAGAAAATGTTGCCAACAGCTTCGTTTTGAGTTCGGTTAAAGTTTTGAACATTTAATAATAATAACGACAGCGTCCAAATAATTTTAAACTATTCATGCAATCGATTCCTACAGAAGCAATCAAAGTTGCATTGAAACTGAAATATTGAAGTGGAAACGATCGCTTTCGTTTTGTTTGTAAAACTGTGAGGAATGTTTCGCAACGAAACAAAAAAAAATAACTATGAGTTAATTTGACAAGCAGCGCTGCTGAAAATATGATAAAACTACTCTCAAACAAACACCACCTTGGTTTAGAAAATGTCCGTTAAACCAATGGGTAAACTTAAGTCGTTAACACTGGTCAGCGCTGCTTTCGAGAAGTGAACACCAACGAGAAAATATTGCAAATAATAAGCTGACCGATTACATCAATTAAAATTTGTATGAAAACAATTTGTTTTAAAATTATTGCTATACAAAATTAAAAAAAAAAAAGCCAAGAGAAAGGAATACGAAAACCGCAATAAAAAGGAGAGTAGATATTGTTTTATACATAAAAACTCAATAAAAACGCAAAATATAGAAATTGTGTGGAATTTATGGGTCTATTTAATAAACCGGCAGCAAAACAGGAGGAATAAGCCAAGAAAACAGATCAGCCAGTTGAAATATAGCAAGTTTTCTCCAACGGATACCGTATAGGTTGGAGCTTTTGTCTGGGGAAAATGCAAGACCATCAAATCGGGATATAGCTCTAAGGTCGTGTTGAGCCTGGGTGCTTTATCAACGCATTCTTTAAGCAGTTTGTGTAAAAAGTGGTTCTCTTTATAGACACAATCGTAGCTGGTGTGGTAATCGTAGATGGGGGTTCCGTTACGTACGAATTTCCCCATGCTATCCACTAGAAACCAGTCCAGATGATGCAGCCGGCTCCTGCCAATTGTGATGAAGAAGGAACGCAGGTCATTTTCCGTGTGAAAGAAGGCGTACGAGTGGTTTTGGTCCTGATTGTGGTAATGTAGTCTTGGTGTTCGCGGTTTAGTTGGCCTTCTTTCGTAAACGCCCCGACAGAAGAATACAAATATCTTCTCTTTGATGGGCCAGCATTGTGGATTTAGTCCCATGTGTACCGTTGATATGACAAGAAAATTAGTGGAAGCTCTGATTATATTAGGACTTTTGATCGTGTTTCCTTGTTGAAAACCAATATGATTATTTCGAATTATTTTAAATTTTAAGTGGTTAATTTTAAGATTAGACAAGAAATTTTAAATAAAAATTACCTTGTGTATAAAAGTTTCTGTCCTTAGTAAATATAAGAACAATTAATTTAATTAATTATTGTAATTAATAATTGTAACACAATTGAATTCAGATACTTTTGAATTAAAAGTGTGGCCGTTGTGCAAAACTTAAATGCAGAATAATCCTAATTTCTCGACGATAGTATCGTTCCCATCGCCGAAGTGCAAGTTTTTGCAACGTCGAAGAAAAAGTTGTCTGGCGATTTTCCAGTTTCGGTTTCTTCACTGTTAGAATATTGAAATTACCAAGAACAAAATGGTTACATAGTGAGAGTGTATTTTTCGCATATTTCAAGTGCAGACTGTGCATTTTTAAGAGCGGCAGCTGCGGCTAGAATACCACCCCACCCCCTCGAACAAAATTGCATTTAAGCTTACTTTTGTTCCACAATAGCAGCTGTTTATCTACCTCCCCCCACCCCCAGGATTCCTTATCTGAAGATTTTCCGCCCCCCGAATTAAGTAATACTCATGTATTAATGAATACAGAATACAATCCAGAACATATCAGAAACTAAAACTTGTTAAGATCAAAAAAAAAAAAAATTCAAAAAATCTAAAGGTAAGCATTTTTGGGGTCTTTTGTTTTCATTAAACAGCTGTTCAAAATCTACCCCTCGCCAAACAGCTGTTCTAGACTTTTGTGTTAATTGACAGCAAGACAGTTTCAAAAACTTAAAATGTTTTTAAACAATACCCCTTTATTAACAAATAACAAATTTTATAAAAATACAAATTGCCGCAACAATTTGTTTTATGCAAACTCCTATCGATAAGCTTACATATCGATACTGCACTCATCCCTATTGCGTTGTCTATAAAAAAGTGAACTTAATTAATAAGACAACTAATAATTGATTTGGAGCTTCCGTGGAAAAATCTCGTCACCTTTCTACTTAGAATCGGAGCACAATCTTCCACTTTTCACCGCTGCGATTGGGGTTTTCAAACGAAACGTTCGGATTTTCCGCTGACGGCGATGAAAAGTTCGTCGGAAAATTGGTGCTGACAAAAGAGTGTGTATTTGACAAGCAAGGGAAAATTGCAGTTTTCAAACTTTAATTTGAGCTTTAAAATGCTTTTTTGCATCCCCAAAAAAAAAAGCCCACAGCAAGTGAAAATTGTATTATTCGTAACCGATCTTTGGGGGCAATGTATCTGACAAGAGCACGGGAACCGAACTGTTTACCTCTCTGCTTGTTTTTGTATCTGTTCCCGAACAGAAAAGTAAACTGGTCTCCCTTTGGCAGTTATACCTCATACCCGAAAATCAAACATTTTTTTCGTATATATACATATTTTTAGCACATTTTGGCCTATGTGCGCTGAAACATTTCTTTGCCGTTCCGTTGACGTTACCCTTCTAGACGACTAAAGAGCCATGGATAGCTTGGAGAATGACCAGGACGAGCTGCGCCACCAGCCAAGGGTCTCGATGGCTTACGGCGGTGTGACCTCGAGTCCGGGCGGCCAGGATACCCGTAAGCTGGTCCCTGGCCACGTTTGAGATAGTACTAATCCTATTGGCCTCTTGCAGATTCCCAGTATGCCATGTACTATAATCAGCAGCGGGACACGCTTTCCGATAGCTACATGCTAATGACACCGTTCCTGACCGGACCGCAGACCCACACCCATACCCATTCGCCGCCCACGTTCACCGCCCTGGTGGCGCCACGGCGCGAGGTGGCATCCACCTCTGAATTCGAGGCCATGGCCAGGCGGTGCGACAAGTGCAGTTCGCTGGCCGGACTCTGCCGCTGTGAATCGGTGGCCAGCAGCAGTCGCTATGCGGACTCCACCCAGGGGCAGTCCCAGGAGGTGGTCCAGTTTCTGGAGCAGCCGTCCTCCTCCACAGCGGCGGCCGCCAATCTCCCCGTTGCCCATGCCATTCCACGCCCCAAGCGAAAGAAGACTGAACCCCTGACGTTAGAGCCGGACGGCGACAATGCCGGCGATGCAGTGGTGGCCTCCATCAGCGGTACTTGGCCTGCCGGCGCCATGGAAGAGCATGCCATGGACGCCACTGCTGTGGTGTACGAAATGCCCTCCAGTTCGCTGCAGTTGAGTAACAGCTCCTTTGACACAACGCCAAGTGCCGTCAATGCGTACGACGATGTGACTTCCAGTGCCTCGGACACGGAGCACGGACAGTTCGCCCATACGCGCACCACAAACACTACGACGACCACATCGGCAGTCCATGTGAACAAGAAGAAGGCCAACCGCTCCAGCGATGCGTCGAACTCGTCATCTGGAGCCATAGATGCGGATGCCACGCCAAGCACGAGTGCACAATCGAGAAGACGGCATATTAATCACTTCTCTTATCGCAACTTAAGAGGACTGACGCCAGAAAATGAGAGCAGCGATGATGGCTGGGATCTGCGTGTACATAATCCGGCTCCCCCACTTGAGCCCACAGTCACGATTATTCGAGGTAGTAGGGGATCCAATGATACGGATGCAGGGCACACGGATCACACATACTTCAATAGCCGACGCGCCGTGGCTGGAGCTCCGCCGGATAGCACATATATGCGACCAGCCTCTTGCTCCACAGCCACCCATACAACGCGTAGTGTGGATTATGGGTCTCATGTTAATCAGAGATCCGTGGAGCCGACCGCTGATGGAACGCCGTCTACAACCTCTGAACAGGAAAACGAGCGGCATGAGCCGCCTAACCTTGATGAGGAAAATAGGCAAGACCAGCACCAGGAGGAGCCGCTTGCCCAGGCTATGCGCGGAATCTTAGGCGCCGACTGTAATCCTGGCATTGTTTGGAGTCGGATGCGTCCTTCGGACGAGTCAGTGCCGCCCAGGAAGCAGCCAAGACTGGAACTCACTAGAAGGTCGCCGCCCAGTTCCTCCACCAAACTGTCGCCCACGAATTACAACTCGTTTCAGCCGGGAAGAAGCAGGCATCGCACCTATGCTGAGCATGGCAGCAGTTCTGAGCAGCATAATCCCGTATCTTTTCCACAGTCTTCGACGCCAAATGCGAACGGACCCTGCGTGATTACCTACGTGGGTCGCCCGAGGGAGAGACAGTCCTCCGTGGAGCTCATCAATCTTCCGTCCACTTCCACGGGCAGGCGAGGCAGCAACGTAAACCGCGGTGATGCCGTCGTTCTGACTGCTCCCGATTTGCAGCTGGACGACTGGTCCTCGGACTCGAACGACGATGATGATGACGTGGTCTTCGTGCACTCCACCCGTGAGCCCATTCTATCGATTGATCTGACCTCAGATGACGATGGCTTGGCCAATGAGACGTCACTTCAGCGGGATAGGGAGCGAGGCCGAGAGAGGGAGCGTGAGCGGGAGCGGGATCGTGAGCGGTATCGGAACGACCATCAACACAACCAGGAGAATCCAAGTGACGAGAGAAGACCCATATTTAACTATGCCTACAGTCTCCCATATGCTCGCAGGACAGATCGTCGGACGGAGGCGAACAGTGATGGCACCTCGGCATTCGCCTTTTATAGCGGTGCTCTGGCGGATCGCGCTGCCATATCGGACCACAACTACAGCTATGAGCTCGACCAGCTGATGGATCCCGGCGCCAGTCACTTTTACCCGCAGCGCTGCTCAAGCATGGATCCTCAGCGCTACTTCCTTCCAATCAACGAGTCATCCGTGTGGATGCAAAGTCATCCACCGGCTCCTCCACCACCACCGCCACTACCGCCGCATTCGCTGCCAGAGAATTCTTCCGCTGAGGCCTTCATACGCCATCAGCAGAGGGCACCCACCTCGACGCCGAGCAGTTCCGCTGGTGGCCAGACATCTTCGCAGCAGTCTCGCCGGCGGCGCAGCAGTCCGGCCAATGTCTATCACCGCTACCATCCCTACTATGTGCCCCACTACGCGATCACAACACTGCCCACTGTAATGGAGGCGGATTACTCACCAAGCCTCCAGCCGCATCCCCATTTTCAGGGCGGCCAAGGCGGAAGCAGTCGCAGTTCACTGAGTGGAGCGTTGAATGCTGCTGCAGTTGCGGCGACGGCAGCGGCGGCACAGGCGCAAACTTTTAGTGAATTGCTTTCCCAGGCGCACAACGAAGGACGAGCAGCCGCATTGGAAGCCAGTTTGGATGGGAGCAGGACGCCTCCGCATGCCGTGGTGCACCAGCAGCAGCAGCGGCAATCCATCAATCCACCAGCGCCGGGAGCAGCATCAAACGGTAACCTTGGGGCCGCGGTTTCTCCGCCACCGCCTCTGGAAATGTACTCCGGCCGCAGCACGATTCCGTACTGCGGATCTCCACCATTCAGTGTTCGACGCTCGGAGGCGGCTTATAGCAATCGGCAGCACTACCAGCCGCAGCCGCATCAAGGACACCAAGCGCCGCAGAACCAGATGCACGCCCACATCCATCCGCCGCATCGGGCTAGTGCCATAGTTGCCACTTCGCTGACGCCAGCGCCTCCGTATCCTGTGCACCAGAATCTATGGTACCGGCAGCAGAGCATGCAGGAGATGCACCGTCGTCACATGACGCCCACGCCCATAGATCTCTCTTCAAATGCTCCCCTGCTCACGAGCACCCTGCGAAACGGGTACCTGCATAGCATCTGCAGTTGTGTACATGCGAGGAATGGTCCTGTCTCCAGTTTGGATCCCGCCTACTATCCGCCGTATGATGCTGCGGCAGCTGCAGCTGCTCCTCCACCATCACCTCAACAGCAGGCACCAGCCACATCCGGATCTGCTAGTGGGGGCGGTGCACCTCAACCGAGTCTGAGGCACCTGCAGCTCCAACCTCAACCGCAGCCGCAAGCCCAGCAATCTCCACCAGTTATGCAGCACTTGCAGCGACAGCGGGCTATCCACCACCATATGTTTCACCACCACTACTCACCGCTGCATCTGGAGATCGGGCTGGCCACACCCCTCTCTTTGGGCTCCCGCATCCTTATCGGACCACCACGTCCAAACCGGGGAGCTACTTTGGTTAGAGCAAAAGCGGATTATTAGTTATTTTAGTCGTTTGTTACATATGTTATTTACATTTATTTTAGGAAACTATTGAGCGGAATACCTTGCCTCATAAATACAGACGAGTCCGGCGGCCCAGTGAGTCGGATGAGGATGCGGAAAAGTGTGCCATCTGCCTGACCCTCTTTGAGATCGAAAACGATGTCCGGTAGGATCCCAACGTTTCTTTAACAATACTATATTAGTCCTAAAAAATATGACCCTTTAATGTGTTTTTAATCCCCTTGCAGCCGCCTGCCCTGCATGCATCTATTCCACACGGACTGCGTGGATCAGTGGCTAGTCACGAACAAGCACTGCCCTATTTGCCGCGTCGACATCGAAACCCATATGGCCAATGACGCACTGGCGCCAAGCTCCAGTGGAGTCACCGATGCCGCCAATACCGCCGCCTTATGACATTGTGTGCATGGAATCTTTATGTAAATCTCTTAGACTGAGTTCGTCGCGGCAGGCATCCATATAAGAACAAAGAAAAAATAATCTTAATACCCTTATATACAAACCTTAAAATGTTTAACCCACCGCAACGCATGGAAAAGGCAATTGCCAGGGCTTGCTGCCGTGTTGCGCTGAAAACTTTCAAAAAGCTAAATCGGTTTGGCTCAATTTCTAAGTATACTAAGTGATTTGGCAAATTATTTCCTATACATATGTACAAATTGTCCACGTATTGTGAAACAAAATTCTTGTGATAAGAATTTCATAAATATGCCGTATATTGTTATAGTATAGAATTCCCATAATGGGTGGGAAAGATAGTTTTGACCCAAGCTTGTTGTTATATTTTTAATTGTCAAACGAATTACCACATAATATCTGACCCTTATTTTAAACGGCTTGGAAGTCTAATTGGCACTGCATTTTTCCATATAACATTAATAAGCATGAGTTTTAAATTTATATATTTTAAATTTTTTAGGTATGACCCCAATAATTTTCCAATACTTGTTAAGTTAAATTTTTTGTCACAAAAATTCAAAGTAGGATTTTATCTTATTCTACTACCTAATTATGTATATATTCGATTTAAAATTGCCGACTTCTGCTCAATATCTCATAACGTGCCATATAAGTGATTTGATTTGATGCAATTTTTAAAAGCTTAAGCTAACAAAATATATATTGTGTAATATAAGGTTGGATTTATTTTATCGTAAAAGTTTTATAAAACTTTTCAAAATTGTATGTTGTCCAAGACAACAGAAATCAATAAATAATCAAATTAAATACAGTTTTTTTCTGCTTTTATTATCCCCAATATGAACGAGAGATTCAACTTTTATATTTGATTGGTATTTTTATTTTAATCAGTTATATTTTATAAATCTTTTTATAACAGTTTATTGGGAAATTTTAATATACTTCTTTGTGGAAAATGTTATAGATCGATGTTTTATTAAATTAATCTATTATAATTGGATGGGTCAGTATTTTTTTTTATAAAAAAGTCTTGCGGCGAAGATATAGTTTTAAACATTCTAAAAGTTTTTTATTTATATTTTCCTATAAAAGAATTCATGTGAATGCACAATTTTCATAAATGTGTAATACTTTTAAAACAAAATAATTGTTTTAAATCTCTATATGTCTATTTTATCCCGGCGTATAGCTATGGTTCGGTTTAAAAGTTTTAAAGTGTTGCCTTTAAATGATGTTAACAGGTAAAAGTAGTCCTTAAATTTGTATCATTTTAAATCGACCCACCCATTGAATTAATCTTTGCTAGCAAACATTTTATTCTAGGCGGTGTTACTGGGTCCAGCACCTGGATCATCATCATCGGCATCCTCTTTGGTCAGGTCGGCGAAAAAGTCCGATGTGTTAGTGCATTTGGAGGAGGGCAGATTGTGACGCTTCTCCTTGTATGCATTGTGCTTTTCGTTATACTTAATGTCCCCAAAGTCCTCGAAATACTTCACGTTCCAGAATCGGACGTCGTTGTTGTGCGAGGAGGAGGCAAGGAGCTCGCCGTTGGTGTTCACGTCCAGCGACTCAATGGGCATGTTGTGCTGTCCCACCACGCCGAGATTACGATAGGGAGCTATGTGACAAGCCCGAATGTTTCCATCCTCCCCGGCGACGCAGGCAATCCTGTCCGTGATGGGAATCATTAGGCTAATGGGGCTCTTGATTCCCGGATACATGTCGCAGTGGTAGCCAAACTGGCCCCAGTTGTAGGTGTACAAGCGACCCTTGGAGGTGCCCACCACTAGCTTAGAGTCGCTACGATAGATTCCCATGCAGCTCAGCTCCTCCTCGTACGGCTCCGATTGCACATACATTTTCCGCGCACCAATATTAAATGTGGTCAGATAGCCATCGGCGCTGGTGGCCAGTAGCAGCTTGTTCTGGTCATTGGTTATCAGTTGGGTAATCTGATCCTCCAACTCCTTAAGCTCGAAAATGGAGTTCTTGGTGCGCAGATCCCACAACTTGACCGTCCCCGCATCATCACCAGTGGCGAATAGATTTTCATCAAGCACGTGCAGCGTGTTGATGGCATCATCGTGGGCTGTTTCGTACAGCTTTTTCAGCTTCTCCGTTTCCATGTCGGTGACCATTACGCACTTGTCCTTGGAGCAGGTGATCAGGTATCGTCCATCTTCGGTGAACTCCACGTCGCGACAGGCCTTGGAATGAACCTCAATGGTGCGCAGCAACTTGTTGGCCTCGTTGTCGTACTCGTACAGATGGACATCTCCGATGATGGTGGCCAGAGCGATGATGTCGCGATTCGGATGAAAGCAGATGTCCGTAATGAAGTCCTCAAGTTTGATCTCTGGTGGGGCACTGCGCGGTTTCTTTATGGCTGCTATAATGGCACGTACCGTCTCGTCTGTTTCGTCCTCATCGTCGAGGTCGAAGGTGGCCTCTGATTCCCTTTTGGTGCCCGACGGGGCATCGTCGTCCTTGCGACGCTTGGCGCTCGTGGCTCCTCCAGCGGTGCCACTAGCCGCGTCCTCCTGCATCGAATCATCTGAGTCCGAGTCCGCTGCATTGGGATCGAAACTGTCGTCGCTGCTGATACTCTCGTTGCCATCGTTACTGCTGTCGCCATCGTTTTCCGGCACCGGAGCACCCATGTACCCCAGATCGTATTCGTCATTGTCGCTGTCCGACTCGTTCAGCACCTCCTGCTCGATCTCCGCTATGACTCCCACCACCATGTCCTCGTCCAGATCATCGAGTTCGTCTTCATCAGAGGGGGTCTTAAACTGGTTATGTCTGCGAAACGCAAATGCGGATCGACGTCAGAGCTCTGGTTGGAGGTTATTGCAGAATATGATAAAAATACTCACGTATGCATAATAATCTTCGTGCTACTTCTGAAAATATGCGTTTTTATTTAACACGTTTGGGAATTGTTTGGATACCTCAGAAACAAGAGGAAGCAGAAAGCATGTCGCTTATCAGCTGTTTGCTTGTCTTCTCTATCTGGCTATTTTCTAGCTAGAATCCCATCTTCCAGGTAACCGAGAATAGTTACCTTTCGGTAAGCCAATAACAAGATTTCTCACAGTAAATATAACTCCTTTCAAAGTGACTTACAAAAATTCTCATATGCTTTTGGAAAATTTTTAGATTAACTTTTATAACTAAATGGTATATTTAAGAATTCCTGTGGTATATTTCAGCAGCTGTGCACGGTCATACTAAATGCTATTCGCATTGTTTATAATCATTATTGCGCGGGTTTTTAGTCTTTATCTTTATTAAATTGTTTTGTTTACAAAGTTATTAAATATTTGATTGCTCAAGAAAGCTCTGGCAGCTGAATGAATCGCAAGTCAACATGTCAAAGAAACCCTATGCGCCCAGAAAACAGCTCACACTTAGCAGCTTCATTGGCCTGGATAAGAATTCCCAGAGTCAACCCAAAGGTATTTGGAGTGTTATGATCATTAAAAATAACCGAAACTAATATTTTACTTTAGTAAGTAATGTCAGGGTTAAGCCCAGTGCAACATACAACCCCATATTTCTGGACTCCTCTTCATCCGATGAGGAAACAACGCAGAAAACGAGCCAATCCAGCAAGGATTATAATAAGTTTATAAAGCACACTTATTGTAACCTGTCCCAATCGCCATTAGCTCCACTTCCTGCCAAGAAATCCGTCAAAGATTCTCCCAAGAAACTGACACACAGCGAGGGAAGCCACACTAACCGGGGCTTGTCTGAATCTCCTGTAGGAAACAATTCATTTGATGATTTTCTAAAGAAACCCCCACAGAATCAGAGAAAGTACGTACCATTTTCTCTGTCTGATTCTCCTCAAGGTCCAAAGTTAAAAACAGGTTTACTTCGGGACTCTCCAAAGAAACTGTCACAAAATGAGAAAAAGCCGACCGATCAAAAATACTCATTCGAGGACTCCCCAAACAAACAAAACGGAGGAAGACATGTGTTACTTACCCTGCCCGATTCACCTCCGCCGCCACAGCCTGCCAATAAGTCGAAAAAAAGTTCCCCAAAGAAACCACCACAGAATGATAGAAAAAATTCTTACCTGACCCTGGATACAATTTCTATCGACGATTTCCCACAAATAACAGAGAAAAAGCCTACCTTGTCCACTCTGCCGAAATCACCTCGAGCTTTAAATGCATTCACAAAAACCGGCAGTAGTAATAATCTTTTCGAGGACTCTCCAGAGAAAAAAAGCATTGGGCAGACAGGATACAAGCTGGGGTCGACAAAAGAAAATACCATGCCAACGAAATCAGCGTCGGTTGCTCGCAGCACTTCTCCACCTCCAGCGGCACCACTAAAACCCAGACTCAGTGTGGCGTTTGACAACTCTCTGGCGGATTATCTAAAGGATTTAGCCCAGAATGACAACTTCAGCATCGATCCCAACAAGCAGGGCTCAGAGGCTCTAAAGACCACTCTGGACTTCTTTCGCAATACTTACGTCGAGCTTATGGAGAAATATTGCTCTCTGATTGACCAAATTCCCGCCATGCACTTCAATGAAATCACAGGGTTTCAGCCTAACACGTTTCTCAAGCTCAAGGTAATGCGACAGAAATTTAAGGCTAGGACGCAACTTCTCCAAAAAACTATGGATAGGAATGAAAGCAAGCAAAAAGCTGAGCAAGAGGCCCTGGAGCAGGAGGAACTGGAAATGCAGGCGGAACAGAGTCGAATGCCGTCTAGCTCAACAAGTAAAAATATATCCTCCCTGCCAGAGAAAAGTCTCCGTCTTGTGCCATCCAATCTAATAGAAAGCAAAGAAGAAAAAGTGCCCAACCGCGAACAGCTATTACATGACCTTTGTGGGGACCCGGATGATTACTCGCCACCCAGCAAGCCAAACAAATCGCCTCAGATGCCTAAACGCCAACAGTTCATCCAAGATCTTTGCGGGGAACCGGAGGATTTCTCGCCACCCAGCGATCCGCCTCCGATGCCTAAACGCCAGCAGTTTATCCAGGATCTTTGCGGGGAACCGGATGATTTCTCGCCACATAAAAATGAAAACGATCCGCATATGTTGCGAAAATGCGAGGAACTCATCCACGATCTTTGCGAGGAGCCGGATGACTATCTGGCCCAGAGTATAATGTTGGATAGCGATCTCGAAGAGGAGCAAATGAACCGTCCCACACAGCAGACCACCTCAAGTGAAATGGACGATGCCGATGATGACTTGGAAGGTCTGCTTGCGGAAATTGAGAACGAGCACCAGCAGATGCAGGGCCGCAGGTCCGAGTTCAATGGCTATGGCTACAAGGATTTCGAGACTGTGAAGGTGAAGGAAAAGCCAAAGGAGAAGCCAAAAGAAAAGCCGAAAAATGTTCCCTTGGATGACGATGGGTTTCCCGAATACGATGAGGCCATGTTTGAGGTAATGCATTCTCAGGCTGCAGCAAATATTACCGGTTTAGATGCCGGTCCGAGTACCAGCAGGAGCGTTGTACCTGCCAAAGTGCCTACGCCCACAGGCTCCCAGAAGCTGTCAGGCAATTTCCACTCCAATGTGCACAATGACGGCATCACCGGAGAGTTCGATGGCCAAAAGTTTGAGCACTCCACCCGTCTCATGCATGGCCTGAGCTACAGCTTCGGTCTAAAGAGTTTTCGTCCCAATCAGTTGCAGGTGATCAATGCCACCCTTGTGGGCAATGATTGCTTCGTACTGATGCCAACGGGAGGAGGAAAATCGCTCTGCTATCAGCTGCCTGCTATTCTAACCGAGGGTGTGACCATTGTGGTCAGTCCGCTGAAATCGCTGATCTTCGATCAAATCAATAAGCTGGCTTCTTTGGATGTAAGTAGAAAGGCATTGTAATTGTTATTTATCATATCAATTTTTTTTTTTTTAACTTTTCTTACATAGATCTGTGCGAAGAGTCTGAGCGGGGAGCAAAAAATGGCTGATGTTATGGCCATCTACAGGGACTTGGAGTCTCAGCCACCAATGGTCAAACTGCTTTACGTGACGCCCGAAAAGATTAGTAGTTCTACTCGCTTTCAGGACACATTAGATACCCTAAATTCTAACAATTACATTAGCCGATTCGTTATAGACGAGGCACATTGTGTTTCGCAGTGGGGTCATGACTTCCGACCGGACTACAAGAAACTTGGAATCCTAAAGAAGCGTTTCCCCAACGTTCCAACCATTGCCCTAACAGCTACAGCCACGCCCCGCGTTCGTTTGGATATTCTGGCGCAGTTAAATCTCAAGAATTGCAAGTGGTTCCTGTCCAGCTTCAACCGCAGCAATTTGCGGTACAGGGTGTTGCCCAAGAAGGGTGCCTCGACGTTGGACGACATTAGTGCCTACATCCGCACCAAGCCGGCACATTCCAGCGGCATAATTTACTGCCTGTCGCGCAAGGAGTGCGACGAGACGGCCAACAAAGTGAGCAAGAACGGCGTCCGAGCGGTGGCCTATCATGCGGGTCTCACCGACACCGAGCGAGAAAGTCGGCAGAAGGATTGGCTAACCGGAAAGATAAGGGTAATCTGTGCAACAATTGCCTTTGGCATGGGAATCGACAAACCGGATGTGCGGTTCGTTTTGCACTTCTCGCTGCCCAAGTCCATCGAGGGTTACTACCAGGAGGCAGGTCGCGCGGGACGAGACGGAGAGTTGGCGGATTGCATCTTGTACTACAACTATTCGGACATGCTCAGGATAAAGAAGATGTTGGACTGTAAGTAGTCAAGATAATAAATTGAATTTTCTTTCGTTGAAATTGTCTTTAATAATTTGTTTAAGTTTTTTTTTTAAAACAAAACTTATCCTTCGTACTCCTATTTCAGCCGACAAAGCTCTCCAATACAATGTGAAGAAGATACACGTAGACAATTTATATCGCATTGTTGGGTACTGTGAAAACCTTACGGATTGCCGTCGTGCGCAGCAGCTGGACTACTTTGGAGAACACTTCACCAGCGAGCAGTGCCTTGAAAACAGACAGACCGCCTGCGACAATTGCCTCAATAAGCGAGCTTATCGGGCGGTCGATGCCTTGGAGATTGCCCGTAAGGCTGCGCGAGCTGTTAAGGATCTTTGCAGCGGTAGATCCCGGTTCACGCTACTGCATATATCCGACGTTCTAAAGGGTTCTAAGATCAAGAAGATCATGGACTTTAACCACCACAAAACACCCCACCATGGAGCCTTAAAGGACTGGGAGAAAAACGATGTACAAAGGCTGTTGCGCAAAATGGTCATCGACGGATATCTAAGAGAGGACTTGATATTCGCCAACGACTTCCCACAGGCCTATCTGTACCTGGGTAATAACATCAGTAAACTCATGGAGGGAACGCCAAGCTTCGAGTTTACCGTGACCAAAAACGCCAAAGAAGCCAAGGCGACGGTGGCCACCGTTTCCGATGCCGTGGCGACCAGTAGTGGCGATGGAATGCGGGAGATTCACGAGCGCTGCTACACGGATCTACTGGATCTGTGCCGTACCATTGCCAGTCAGCGGAATGTGACCATGGCTAGTATTATGAACATTCAGGCGTTGAAGAGCATGGCTGAAACCCTACCCCTCACCGAGAAGGACATGTGCAGTATTCCGCACGTTACAAAGGCGAACTACGATAAATACGGCGCCAAGATGCTTGAGATTACGTCAAACTATGCGTCGGAGAAGCTGCTTATGCAGGCTGTCCTGGACGAAGAGGCGGAACAGGCGGCCGTCAAGCAGAAGCCCAGCACCTCAGGTTGGAACAACGAAAGTGTGGACTGGGACAGGGCGGTGGCATCACAGGGCAGTGCCAACACGAGCGGTGCCGGCGGTTTCAGCAACTACAGAGCGGGCAAAAGGAAGAAGGTATACAAAGCTGGAGCTAGCAAGAGGTACAAAACCAATACAGCATCGCCAGCGGCCAAGAAGAGTACATCAACAAGAGGTCGGGGAGGCAAGGCGGGCGCCATGCGAGCGGATAGCTCAGCTGCCTCATCATCATCAGGCTGGAAATCCAAGAAAACAGGAAACAGCTTCGGCTTTGATCTTATGCCATTGCCAGGATCAAAATAACATAAGCTAAACGTTTTAAAAAACGAATGGAGAAATGCTCAGGTTAATCCTAAACTGGAGACCCGCCATTTTGCATTAGAAATTATAGCCTCTAGTTACGCTTCTATATTCAGTTTTGTAGCAACAACAATTTATTTTTCATCAAGAGAAAAAGTGTGTACTTCATCCCTATTTGTTTTTGGTAAAACCTTTTAAAGTTGTTCAAGCATTTGTCCAACCCAATTTCATTCTAAAATGTTAGTAATTAGAATTAAGCTTATCACCTTGAATTTTTACATAAACGTTCATTTTGTTAAACAATAACAACACTATAGTAATCGCTCCACACAAAAAAACAATCGGTTTCCGCTTTGGTCATTAACATTGTACATTGGGGTTACCTTATCCTTACTTAAGTACATAATTTCTTTGATTAGCCTCTCATGACTTGGCGGTCTGCCGCACCTTCTCCTCGAAGTCGTAGGCGCCCATGGACCAGATCAGGTTGGCGTCCGTCTCGACCTGGACGAACTCCGTTGCGTAGGTGTTCGATGTGCTGACCATACCACCGAACTCCATTTGTGCATGATCTGTGGATGAAAATAGGAGCGTTGGTTAAAGATTTGAGTGATCAAGGTGATTTTGTCTACAAACATAGGTTCCACTTGAGGCCAGTGGTGGTCACGTTGTGCGCCGACGAGCCCACGGGCATCAGGGAGCACCACCGCTGACTAGTGACAAGGTCAACTGGCACCTGTATCGTGTGCTTGCCCGGTCGCAGAAGCCACGTGACCGAATCTCCGCTCAGCAGAAATACATTGCAGTTGTCCTTCTGGGATTTGTACAGCGTATTGATGTTAGCCATCACTTGGTCCAACCGGCCGGAAGTGTCATGGAACACCACCACATCCCGGATCTTGCGCTGCGCCATAACAGGCTGCAGCACTGCGATGGCCTTGGTGAAATCCGTGGCATCCTGATCGGGAGTGTGAACTTTCGGAGTGGTCTTGAAGAAATCCACCGTATCTTCGGTGATCGAGTCAAAGTCACCCGTTATCACGTCGAGTGGCTCAAGTGGTGTGGTGGCTGCGGCCTTTTTTGACATTGCCTGAGCCACGACAAAGTCACGCCAGTGGTTGGAGCCTCCATCGACGGCACAGCGCACGGCAGCTAAAAGGATTGCAAACTATAGCTGGCTAGGATTGGTTTTATAACAGCTCCGCGCTTACCGTTTTTCCACAGTAGCTTGACCACGTGCGACGGAACCTGGATCTGGCGGTTAAGGACTACGCAAACGTGACCATTGTCGCCCAACTTAAAGTTCTCGTTGATCAGATTGCCCGGCGTCCACTTGAACTCTTTGGGCGGTATTGTGTGGTCCATTTGCTGTCGGAATCCGATTGTTGTTTTCGTGCAGAGCAGGCGGTGGGCGGTTGGATGGGTGGTGTGCGGGTGCGGGTGCGCAGGCCTGCCAACTCGCGTGATTCGGATCAAACCGAATCCGCGGCCGGAGAGGCGCATCCAATTCAAAGCTGCCCCTGGCCCGCTCGGCGGTGTCATCGTGCGGCAGCGCGTGCCGTAAAGTTGAACCCAATTCATAAAAACTTGAAAGAATACGCCCGGACAGTCCACCTGTAGCAAAATTGCTTTTTTGAATATTTTGAAATTTGTTCGTTAGAAATGTGGACTCTGGTTACACCACCAGCATGTTGGCAGTCCGTTAGGGATGGACTAAAGATTTGCGATGTGCGCCAATTTTAAATATTCCTTCCTTTGATAAGGTTTTACCAAAATCTAGACCACCAAGTAAAGTTTATGCTATTTAGACTTGATTTAAGCTGCTTATATACTTTTACTGTAAACAATATTAGTTCGCTTTAAAGTGACTTTGAGTTGGGGAAGTACGACTGTATTTGTAAACTAACACGCTTTTGATAACTCTTAGTTTGCTTCTAAATAATAAAAATGTCTTAACAAAAATGCAAACCTTTTAAAAATACTATTGAAAATACATAAAACACAAAGCTACATGTATAAATACATTGCTACCTTTTATTAAATAAATTCCAAAAGTAAGCGTGTTTAAATATTTCTGATAACGAGATTCCATTTGGTATGTAGCAAACTATTAAAGACACATATTTTGACCGCAGTTAGCATACATATAATTTTAATGCGCACATTCTAGAGCATTCAACCCCGACCAAATAGTTATTTTACATTCAATAGAGAAGTTAATCCTTCGTTAAACTTTTGTGGCTTAGGTTAATGAAGCCGCTCGCTGGTTTGATAAACTGCGGAAACAAAAAGCTGGCCAGGAATGCCTGGCAACCAGACTTATCGGGTGTGGGAAAGTCGCAGTCGTGCCACAATACTTTTGTGCTCGAACCTCCGATGCCAGCTGTATCAATATTGTTACAGTTCATTTTGTTTGACCTACACAAATAAAGGCATTTATACGGATCCTGTGGCCAGACCATGAGCACATCCTCACCAAGACCCCTGGCCATGGCCTTTGGCCAGCCCCGTTTCTGGATTCGGATTGACAATGGGCGATGTTCCGTGAACGCCCTCCGCTGGCCACCCAGCTCCCAAAGGGGTGAAGTTGGACTTGAATAGCTTTACATGCCACGTCTGCAATGCATTGTCCAAATCCCATTGTAGAGCCCAGCCATTTTATTCCGGTTCTCTTGCAAACTCTTAAAGCTTAACTGTATTAAGCGGTAAAACATCCTGATATGGTCCACAAAAAATAATAATCCCTTGAAGGCAGATTTAAATGGATCCTGATTTATTTTTAAATCTGTTCAATGGTATTTACTATAAAGTGGCAGGTATCTTTAGATAATTGTAATAAAATGCTTGTCACTTACACATGCAACTGATTTTTTTTAATGTTTGCCTCGAGCACAATTTAATTAATTTTTACGAAGTATGTATTATTAGAATATGACAGTTTAAATTATGGTTAAGTCGAACCATAAAACTTTTATTGAAATAGCAGCTACCTTACAAGTTCTATTTTTTTCATTAAAAGTTTACCTCCAGAACCCATAAAAGTTTTTTTCACCTTTATTTAAGCTGAGTCGAGGGATTCTGGAAGAAGATCCTCCTCCCTAAACAGCCATAAATAAATAATATTGCACTTGTACACGCATGACTTTGGCGTATTTGTTCGCCTTTCTACGACTTTGAAATGAATTACACGCGTAGCCGCGTGACTTTAATACCCTAACGAAGATTTTCGGGGTAGTTGCCATTCCGACCACATTCCCGTCTCAGAAGTGGTCCGAAGTACCACATATTCGGCTTAACACTTTCGCATTGCCGGCAAGGAAAAAGCGAAGGTCCAAAAGATTTACGTTTACATTTTCTGGGACACTGCGCTGCACACATCAAGTGCAACATGTTGCGCGAAAATGTTCAGAGGCAGAGATTTATGTCTGCGTGCGTCAAGGTATAAATTTACGAATTTAAGACCTGGCTGGATTTAAAGATAAAAGCTATTAAATTTTTAACGACAGAGCTGGTAAGGTTCGTGCTCTATTTACCTGGCTATCTCGCTTTCCCAACCAACTGCAACTAATTGCTTGCAGCTCTCGAATATGTGTCACATATATGGTATTTATAGTTGCAAAATTAAAAGCCAGATGCCAACGAGTGTGTATCTTCGCGCAGTTAATTCAGAAACCACTGCACTCGCATTCAACGAAGTTTCAACTCATTTTTTGCCGGGGTTATCCGTTTGCCCATCTTCTGCATTTCTCCCACTTCACGGTTCAATGCACCTTGATGACGTGAGTAGAAGTTATTAAGTCACAATGGGCGACGGCTTGCTGTTTGGCGGAGTCGTACTCATAGTCGTGGTCGGAGGTTTATTTGACGTTGCCAGGCGGTGGTCGGGTCCTCGAGCATAAGACCCACCTGCCGGGCGCCGAGCCCCAAGGATGCGACAGGAAATTCATCAATGTCTCCACCGCCTGACGCCTGCATTCGACTTGCCAAGCGCGGCAACATTTTTACCCAATGCCTGAAATTGCCAATGACGTGGATAAGAAAGGAGAATACGAAACATACAGTCGAATGTCCCGACCATGAGATACCTAATTTACCTGGTGCCGAAAAAAAGTATAGCCTAACTTTCTGCACCTGGTTGAGCAGTTATACAAATCATTATTTCTTCTTCTCGTAAAACAACTCTGACTATTATCTTGTGGGTGAGTAAATAGTAGAGAAATATTTACAGTGTTTGCTGAAAATTATTTCAAGAGTCAAAACAACGCTTACAAATGATCGATGTATAACAAAAGGTTGAAACAATTTGCATGCTTTTAAAATAAATTTTAATAACAAAAAAAGATTTTTGCAACACAAAATATGGCTCATATAGAAAATACTCTTTATAAAACCAATCTTAGTATAAATATAGTAAATAGCATAAAAGTTCGGTTTGAATTTTGTATTTTCGTAGATAAGAAACACTTGCACATTAACTTAATGGTGTTATGCAATCTAACCTAAAAGTACCCTGTAAAATTAATAGAGGAAGAAGCTAGGAGAAAAGTGAAGAGCAGGTTATTTACGATCCAGAGACACAAGCAACCCGCATAAACGGATGCCGGCCGTCGAGCTTTTCTCCGCCAAGAGGAAATTATGAATTTAGGTGCGGCTGCTTTTTTGCCTGGTTTCGGTGAGATTTATTCAAGTGTCGCTGCAGCTTTAAGCGTCTATATGGGCAAAGTGCCACGGGATCTGTTCAGGGATTATCCTGCAGCCTTGGCCAGAAACACTTGACGGGTCCCATCATAATGTACAAGTTGAGCCTTTGTCAAATTAGTGAAGCTTACTTGAAAGCACAATAAACAGAAGCTGACAGTCAGTACTGCCTGACACCCATTCAGTTGGCCAAGTTTCAGGGACCTCGCTGACCAAACAATATACCACCTCATTTACATATTCAAATTTTGCTTACTCAAGCTCAAAAACCCATGTGAATGGGCATTAAAAAATATGGTGAGTTACTTATGTTGAACCCACCCATATAAAAGAAAACACAAGTTTTACCATATACATAGTTGCATTATATTTGTATTATCTTTTTGTTCTGTTCGTTTGTTTTTGTTTACATTTGCCTTCCGTTAGGCATTTTAAATTAATTTTTGCGTTTACAATTATTGTATTCCGTCAAATTAGCTTAATTATTACAAATACCAAGCACATTCTCCATGGTAAAGATGATAGCCACAATGTGTCCATAATCGAATTTTACTGACTGCTTATGTATGGGCTGTGTGGTGTGGAGTGCGCTCTTTGCTAGCGCATAAATCACATGGCGTATGCGTAATAATTTTCGTATGTATAGTTGCACATACTTTTTTACCCTTATGTATATGCAAATGAAATGAATAATCATAAATCTATGCAGTTTTGATTTGGCGAATTTGTAATCGGATTTTGTGTGGATTTGCCACAATTTAATATACGCATATTTGCATGCATATACAGTGGCTTTCGGTCAATTGGCAATTGCCTCAGTTGCCGTTGTAGTCCTCGATGAATGTGTCGATGATGTAGCGCTTCACCTCGTTGATGGAGGTGCGCTTGTTGCTGCACTGCAGCCGCTCCTGGTTCTCCGGCAGGACGAGTAGTTGCTGCAGTTCCCCCTGCGACGAGCAGAAGCGAAAGTTAATGCGCATAAAGTACATAATTGTCCGCCAATGATTGTATAATTCGCATTGTGAATGCCCAACGGGGCGTATGCGCTATCAATGCCATGCAGGCATCACAAATAAACGTGTACGAGTGTCGATTTGTTTACATTTAAGGCTATAACTTGACTGCATGACGTAATAACCAGGGAATTCAGTACATGCTCTCATTTAAACAACAATCAATTTTAACATTACATTTTTAAATGGTTTTATGTATTTCTTTTGAAAATGAAATCAAATAACTTAAATGAAATAAACGCCAGCGTTTGTAGCCTCCTCAAGATTTAAGCAATCAAAAGCATGCTGTTTACTGATAGATGCATGTTGTTCTTATAATAGAGGTGATAAATTAAAGATGCGAATTCATGATTAATTTATTGTTAATTTATTTTATAAAGTTATCAAATTTAGCGAGTGCCAGCAAAACTTCAAACTGGACTAACAAATGATTAAGGGCATTTTATATAATTTTCAAAACATTAAAATAAAAGATATAAGTAACTTGAAGTCTAATAAAATTCGGATTAATAATTAGTAATACTGTATTGGAGGCTAAAGCCAGTAACCGGCAGTCAAAGGCATAATATTCCATAAATAGCAGATAAAGGATATACTCACGTTAAAGCCGCGTCCTATTTCCACATCCGCGTCCACGGGCAACGTGAACAGTCGCTTGGAGACAACGAAGCTATTGGTCCACGCGCAATCGACGTAAATCGATATGAAATCGCCATTCTGTATGCTGGACGGTGGATGGAAATAACAGCAAAACAATAATGGTAAAGTGAGCTATTCGCAAATAATTAAACTATATATGGATACATATTGGTGCATTGTTGTTGAGCGTCGGGCCCCGCACAGTGACAGTGAGAAATGTGCCGACGGTCGATGACAAATGTTGCCCACTTGAACCGAGTGTCAATTTGGCTGTGTGTCGTTGTAGCCAGCAAAAAGCAAAAAGCAAAAAAAAGGAAAACCCAAAAACAAAAACCAAAAAAAAAGGCCTCGATATTCATGTGCAGGACGTCTGTTTACAGCTGCGGACAAAGTAATAGCATTCACTAATAAGTTAATATTAATATAACATTCTTTGGAGCTACTTTATATCGGATCAGATTTTCAATATAAATTTAAAACCAAATTTAATTAACCTAAAAAAATGGAAAGGAAATCATGCGTTCAAAATGATAAAAAATATTAATTAAAGTGCCACAATATATTTTACTTCAACTATTAAAGTATAAACAAATAAAACAAATTATCCCAGTAGTTATTTTTTCTACCGCAACTGTGTGCTTGCCTACCATTTGCATGTGTGTCAAGTGTTTGCCAGTGTGCGTTTCATGGCACAAACATTTATGCTAATAAATTGAAAATGCAAATAAACGAAAGTGTCAACGTCGATGGCCATCAGATCGAAGTGAGTGCCACCAGCCCACAAAAAGGGAGGCCTCTGGCTGCAGTGATTGGCAATCATCACCACATGGAGGGAACTACCCAACTACAATACCTCTTATACCACTTATCAAGACTCACCACCACCCACCAACATCCCACCCAAGCACACACACACGCTCACCTGATGGCCACTTGATGCCAGCGATAATCGTATAAATTGAATTTCACCGGCAACATTTCCGTCGTATTGTCCCGCTCGAGATACAAACGCAGTCCGTCCTTGCAGGCCTCCAGATAAAGATTGTGGGTGGCGTTGCGGATGGAGAAGATGTTCGCCGTGCTCTTGGTATCGTTCTGAAATAACCAGAACTTATGATTCCCATTTGGCGAGGAACCCCTTAGGCATACCCACCTTGGCCCTCAGCGTGACCATCAGCGTGAAGTTGAGCAAGTTCCTCCAGCTCCGGATATAGCCCATGTTGTAGGGCGTTGAGGGCGTTGGGCTGAAGCTTGTTCCCATCAGTCCCGCCGTGGTGAGATCCGCATTCGAATACGGATCCGGGTAGGAGGAGGCTAATGAAGCATCCGACGCCTGGGTGGGCAGCTCCTCACCCATCGGCAGCTTCTTGTAGAATTTCAACAGATCACTTATATCATCTGTAATGTTGATTTATAACAAAACTGTCTTTAATAGTAAAAATATTGATCCCAAAGAACACTTTATTACCATAGACCAACAGTACGTATACGTAATAAACATAATAAATAATACAAGCAAAAAAATTAGATTGTATTTAAAAAGTTTTTTAATCAATAGTTCAGCATAATGCGTTTTATACATGTACAAATTTGTAATTTTACGATTCCAGAATGGGTTAGAACCTCAATCTTTAATTTTTGCCAAATTTAATGTGGATTTTTTATAAAATGATGACCTAAAGGTCATAAATTCTTCTTATTTCAAACAACTTGAAGTACTAAAATCAAATTCAACGATTTCAAACTTAACATTTTGAAATCACTAATTAGATTATTGATTGGTTAACTCACCGCTGCACTCGAAACTGTTGCAGTTGCGTTGCTCGATGTTGTATCCCTCGCATAGCAACGTGGACATGGCCACGCTCTTGGTTGGCTTGCGTTTCTTGTGCTGATTGCTGGCACGTGCCTTCCTGGTCCCAACTCCAGTTCCCGCATCCGAACCCGCTCCTCCATCAACTCCATTGGCAGCACGGTCCTTGTGTGCACTCATCACAAACCTGACACTTTCGTCTGATGCTCCAACTGCATCTGCTGGTGGTTCATTACCGCCTCTTGTTTCTCCCACGGGGACAGGTGCCGGGGAACTGGGATTCGGATGGGCACGGACTCTGGTCTGCGGCATTATCGTCGTCGTTTGGTCAAATTTATGCAATGACTCGTCGCCACTTGCTCGCATTATGAGCAGGTCGTTCTCATCCCCTTCATCGGTCAGCAGATCATCATTGCCATCGCCGAAAGTGTCCGCCTCCTTGGACACGGTCAGCTCATTTGCGGCATCATCGTCCGCAATCTCGGCATCAGCCTCATCCTCGTCATCGTCCTGCAGGTTCAGGTTCATGTTCATGTCCACCAGCGGATTGTCAAGCAAACACCGCCGGAAGCGCTGCTGCACACCCTGACCACAGGTGACGCTGCACAAGGTGAAGTCGCTCCAGTCGTCCCAGCCTGTAATTGATTGCCGATTGTTTGCAGTGAGTTTCGGAAAACAAGGAAGGTGAGATTGCAAAAAAAAATATACATATTTGTCATGCTAAAAGTTATTGACTTCGTTAATTAAATAAAACCTACAAAACCTAAATAAATTCTTATTTTGAATTAAAAACTGATTAAAACTTCTTAACATTTTAGTTCACTGTAATTAATCTAATAAACACAATTACTTAGTTCCTTAAAAATTTATTATAAAATGTAGATTTTATGTTTATGAAATATCCATTTTGTTGTTTATATTATTTTGTATCCTTTTATCAGGGCTAGTAAATTTGCCAATTATATTTTGCCGTGCATTTATATTCCTGACTACTATGACTCATAAAAATCATCGTGCCAAATTTTGGCCCTGCCTGTTTCTCGAACCAAAGGCCTCCCATTCAGCTGCCACAATTCAAGGCAGATCCTCGGTGGCGCCTCCCCGCTTGACACAAAAGTCAAGTGTTGCTTCCCTCGAGTGGCTGTGGTGCGGATTGCCGGCTTGAGAGGATTGCTGGCTCTGGCCCACATCTGCAACATCTGCTGTGTCATCGAGAAGTTCCCTTTTTATTATATTTTTTACTTTATTTTATTTTGTTCTATTTCATGTTTCCACCCATTCCATGCAGAGGCATCTCGACGACTGTGCGGCGATTGCTATCAATCTTCATCAAAGATTAATCTCCTAGCGGAGCTTATGAAGTCACAATAGACTGGCGAATAAGCTAAATAAGTGTAGGGAATTTTAAGTGTTCTCCGCATTTCACTGTTGAATTACTTAAAAGCCCAAATGGAAAGGGATATAAGCGGCTTTAAATAACACAGTCGCTTGCAATTATGTTGCGATATTCGAGCGGGTTGAGAGTGTGGCCCTCTAGTGCCAATTACCACTGATTGCTCCATCCGAGCCCATCCTGACCAGTGGCCTCTAGTTTGGAAACTCTATCCCGCCGGGTGCATCCAGTACTCGACAAACATCCGACCGGGGCGATTTGCTCAACAATGCAACAACTAACAAGCGCAATGCGATTAACTAACGGAAGCAGCGGAAGCCCGGCCTGGATTGCCCCGGGAGGAAGGAGGAAGCAATCGAGTGGGGACAGGATGGATGCACTCCAAAAAAACATTTCGATAACTCTAAAAAAACACACCATCCGTAGTGTATGATGTAGGTGAAAAAACTGCACGAATTTGAACGGAAGTACTGGTTTAAATTTTCAATTGAATAAGGTTTCATTTAATTTCTTGACTTTTGATGTATATATATGTTAAAAAGTCTATACAAATGAAATCCATTAATTAAAATGTAAATGTAAAATAATATATAGACGAAAATAGGTTTCTTAAGTACAGATGTTTAAATGCTCCCAAACAAAAAAAAAAGAAAACCAAAATGATACAAATGTCCTTAAATTTTATAGTAATGACCTAATAGATAAACCTAGCTAAAATGACCAAATTCTATAATAATACTAAAATTTTCCTCCTCCCTCCTTCAAAATCTGATAAATGCAAATGTAAACTAAATATTGGTTTAGTGTATGAACACAGGACACAGGAAGAAGCAGCTTACCCAAATGCTTCCAGATATGATTCTCGAACTGCGGCGTCCACCGATGCAGACCGTTGACGCTGATTTCCAGCACATCACTGGCGCCGCCGACGGGCGGTCGTTGCAACTGCCGGGCTGCAGGAGTGGCTCCGGAGGAGGCCGAGGCGGGCAGCAGTTTGCCAAAGGCAATTAATTCCGCCGGCAGCATTTTCAGCATGTTATTATCGAAGCAACGCAGTGGCTGCAGGGTGGCATTCAGCTGCCTGCGGATGTGGCAAGTGTGAGTGGACAAAATGCTGATGGCGATTCCCGGATTACTTACCCCTCGTACTGAAAGGCTGACTCAGCGCCGCTCCAGGAACCTCCACTGCCGCTGCCGCTGGAGGCTGTGTTGTAGCCCCTGCTACGGTGTCCCGAGCTCCAGGACACGAGTCCTTCGGCACGCGGGGACATGGGGTCCTCGGCATCGGCCCCACCATTGGCCACCTTCAGCAGGGAGGCGCCCTTGTATATCGTTTCCGGCGTTAATGTTATTAAAATCGTGTCCTGGGCAGACTGCCCCGCCAGCTCATCAGAGAAGACCCGTGCGGCGAGGGCCTTGACAATCACCGGACTGGAGCGAATCAGCTCGGACATGCCCTTGTGGGCACAGGGATTCACGGGATTCGCTGCAGCGGAGGTCAGCAGTTGCAGGATCAGGAGCAGGGGTAAAAAAGTGGCGGATGGTGGCATCCGCGAGTAGATAACATCGTGGCTCATCACGGGTGGACCACCTGCACTCGGCCCGGCCATGGATCCTTTATCTCTACGAGTGTCCTAGCGACACTCGCCGGTTGGCATGGCAGCTTTTATCGCTGCGGTGGCTCAATTTACTTTCGGCAGAAGTCACGTTCCGGCTTTGATTCCACTAGGATGCGCCCCTCTCCAGTCCAGAGGCACTTACACAGCACCTGCATTCATCGCTGGCCTGCGGAGAGGTAAAAAATATAGCGTGATTGAGGTGGGAATGCCGAAGGACAAAAGGACAAAGGCACCTCGCACCCGAGTCTCCAATTCTATTCAAATAATGGAGCCGGGTTTTGCATGATAATAGCTGCAGGTTGCAGTGGCTACTTTCTGGGATGATTTATATAAAATGTTATATCGGTATCTGTACGACCATTTATGTTGGTTGCCCCGAGGATACTTATGGAAAATATCGAATATATATACATAGGACTCTTTTACTTCGCAAAAAGTGCAATAAAGTTACTATTGTATAATATTAAATATGAAGGTATTCATTGTTTTTCCATGTTATGCTTTATTTTTTTACGCTTGTATTTATTTTATTGCAAAGCAAATTGTATCAAATTCCAGGTAGTGTATTTTAAAATCAGAATTCAATCAAAAAGTAAAGGAATTTCAACTTTTACTTCTTATTACATTTAACGTTTAACTAAAATGATAAAACTAAAATAATACGCTTGGTATTTGTATGGGATAAACAAATCTATTTCAATCCTGATTTATTTGAAGTTTAATAACTACTCTTTGCCACCTGAAATTCACAGAAAAGAAACAGTATTTACGAGAATTTATGTCGGCTTTAAAAGGTTCTCTTGGTAACAAGCAGCTCAAGGGCTAAGATTACTCCCGGCCAGGGTTTGGGACCATCAAAGTCGCCGCATTCGCTTTCGCATCCTGGTGCAGGAAATAAATATCTGGATTAAGAATTTCTGCAGCGAGCTGGACGGTGAACAATGGAATATGCAGTGCCCGAACGGAGGAGGAAAAGTTAAATCCACAACATAAACGTGCAATCAAATAGAATTTTTACGCACATAAGCACTGCGATACTGCAACACTGCAATCTCTGTTGGCCGAAACAATAAGGCAGTAGCAAAACATTTTCGGGAGATAAATGTGCGCTTCCAGTGGCGGCGTGGCTAACAAAGTTGCGCTCCGAGTTTTCGAATCCGGGGCGCATCCTTTGGCGTCGTCCTTTGGTCCCAGTGCGAAATGCAAAATGTACAACACGAGCAAATATGCCAACGAATGCAAATGCGGCGGGGTGCGCAGCATTGAGTCCTCAATTGTTTTATGGCCAGTTCCATCTATCGGTTGGCCCAGTTCTGTACCGCTCCCCCTTCCCCTTCCCCCCCGCTCCCCCTCCCCCTTTCATTTCCGTTTCCGTTCGACTGACCGTCTACTGACCGGCAGGTCGTCACTCAACAGTCAACGTATTCTCCGGGGGCGGCAATCAGTGTAATTGTTATTGTTTTCTCTCCGCCTTTATTGCCCTTAATCCATTTTGTTTTGCTCTCGTTGCTGCTCAGTTGAACTTTTGCAAATTGGCAAAGTTACTGCCTGCGACAATCTGTTAAAAGCTTTTGAATTCCAAATAGACTTGGCCAAGGTGAGCAGAAAGGCACGTAAATCAGGCGGAAAGTCGCCCCTCTAAGCCAAATGCATATTTTATGTGCCCCTCACAGCGAACTTCGCCACGATTCTGCGGTTTGTCCACTGGGGAATACACGGCCATCCATCCCATCAAGGAAAATTAGTATTGTTTTGCTGCTTTTATGGTTTGATTACTTGAATTTTGTGGAGTCACGAAGAGAGAAAATCGAATCCACACACATCGATTTCGATTTTCCTTTGAAGGCAGCAAAAAGGAAACATCAAAATACATGTTTCCGCCCACGCTGTGACACTTCAAAATAGGCGGACATTATTATGAACAAATTGAAGGCCGGCTGAAAGTCAACCCAGACATGTGTGCGAATAAGCACTGCGATAAATTTTACTTAAGAAATTAAATTTACTAACATTGGTTTTGTATTGCATAGATGATTTGGTAAAAGACTAAGTTTCTTCAAGTTTAAGTTCAAATTTGTTTTAAAAAACGACGATTTGGCATTTTGAAATAAATAAATTGATATAAATAAAAATATATATAAGCATATATATGAAAAATTATGTTATGTATATGTTGGTAAGGTGTCAGCTCTGCGTAAAAATAATTATATTAAAATATCCATCCCACAATCAACTTATTTTTCTTCTGCGTGTGTGTGTGGGTGCCATTATGGGAACGATGCTCGAGATGATTGAATATCAAAAGGCAGATGGCTCAGGCAAATAGCCGACATGTTTCGAGTGGTCCCCGCCTGACAACAATGTGAGCAGTGGGATGCGAGTTTAACAAGAGTGAATCCCCGAGGACTCGTAAAACTGATAGCACCCCCCTTGGTCCACTGGGCAAGTTTAAAAGCTCAGCACGTTTGGCCAAACTTCGACAAGTGGCGGGAGTCCCTCCGCTTCTGTCCTTTTTTTTTTGGGTCAGGGATTGTCCAGGAGATGGGGGACAGAAATATTTTGTACCCAAATTATGCCTTAAATTCCGGGCACCATATCAAAGCACCTCGACCCTGGGAAGAACCAAACCGACTGAAATCCCGGGCCGTTCCACACGCATACGCAATTATCCTCGGGGACAACTGTCGCCTTTTATCTGTGCGAATGATTAAGCTCGAAGTGTCTTAAAATTAATTTGATAGTGCTTTTGGGCCAGGGGACGAATCCACATTCGCGTAGGCAACCGGGCGTATGCGTAATCTTCCCAGCCATTAGTCGTATCCGCAGAAATCGTACGGCTGTTGTGCTTAAATAGTTTTATCTGCCACGCGCTATCTCGAAGATACTTAATTCCAGCAGGTCCTAATATGTAAATCACTTGCAGCCGGAGTTCGTGTTTCACTGGCTGAAATTTTCCTTTTCCGACGAACACGCCATTCCTGCCAAAGAATTTCACTTTGCCCTAAGCTCCTCTGTGGCTATATTAAATTCCGATCTTATTGATTTCCTCTCTGCGTAGCATTGCATCGCAAATAAGGTATCTCAATGCCACCTATTATTCATGTTAATCCCGTCTCAATTAACTAACAGACTTAATTCCTGTGCACATTTAAATCATAACAAATTGGGGTAAATCCACTTTATAACTAAACAAATATTTGCAGGGGATATATTTCAATTTTCGTTATTTGAATTATGCAAACTCATTTGAGACGAAAGTAAATTTATTGCCACCACTGGCCCCAAAAACAAAGCCGAAAGGTTGCCGGCTCCGGATGCGGAAGGATATGGCCATGGAGCTCCGGCTCCCCGGGAAATTTATGCGCACAATTAATTTGAAAATCCGAATCAGGAACGGGCGCTGTATCATATAGTATACGGGGTCTGCTGCGTCGACCAAAAAAAAAAAACAAGATAAAATATACCTGCAGTCCCGATTATCAACGTAAGTCGACGTTGGAAATGTCGGGCCAATTAATTAAAATCCGAGCGGATTATTTGCTAAGCGTATTTGCTAATTGGGCCAGCTCTGATTAGACTCCTCGGCAAATACGAGTCCTGGCATTCCAGGACTAGCGTCAGCAGTTAAACGTTAACCCGCCCGACTTAAGTGGCCTCCTCACTTCCAGCTTAATGAGCCCTTCGAATGCTAACTTTATGGTCGAGGTCGGCCTTCATTTCCACTCCCAGTCTACCAGCCTCCCATCTCAAAACTCCCAGTCTCCCCACTCCCTATCTCCCAACTCCCAAACCTCCTGGCTTCTGGCCCTTGGTGCAAATTGTAATTATAATGCCACTTAATGGCATAAGAGCGTCTCTGTTCTTGTTGTTTGCTGTTATTGTTATTGTTGCCAAAGCGGATGTGGGAGTAAAGGGTTTACGGGCTTTTACAATACAATCTACTCCCAGAGGTCGCGAATGAGGATGTTAAATGGATTTAACAGGGCAAGTTAGGTGCTCCCACCCAGAAATCGTTCGACAATATAGGGTCCTAATCATTGCATTATGCTGGTGGGTCTGGTCCCCATTATCCATTATCTATGCTAGGATTATTTTTATTGCATCTGAAAGAGAAATTCGCTGGCCCAGAGATAACCGCAGATATTTTGCGCTGACAGAGCAAAAAGTTGCCCCATTACAAAGGACTGCACATTAACCAGTGGTATGTAAATGGCCCGAACTTCTGCCCTGCCCACCACCGATTTGCCGCCCCCCTTTTGGTCTGGGCCACATTAACCCATTTGGCAAAGCTGGCAGACAGAAGCGGCATCGGGCAGCGACTGTCAGTTGCCAGTCGAGGGTTGCCAACGGCCATTAACAATGCAATTTAGTAACAATATGAAATTGTGGCTGTGGAAGGGCTCAAAGCGAGCTTGATGCGATGAGGTTGCTCTGCAATTAGGCACCAAGTCGCCTCAACTCATCCTTGTACTCGTCCTCGCATGTTGCAAGTCAGATCCACCACAGAAATGCGAGCACATGAATCAATCTTCGAAGGCAACCACAAGCCAGCTGCAAATATTTGGAGTTGGTCGGTCTGCAGCCCAGGGAAATTTAAATTTAATATAATTAAGTGGGGTGTTTTACCCCAAAAGACAAGTAAGCCTTTGTCTCTATTTGTAATTTATAAGGTACTCAGGTTTTTGTTCATATATTTTTTGAATAAAAACTTGTAACTGGAGATCTGCAAATTAGCTTTGCTAGAATATAGTTTGTAATATAATACAATTGATCTTGAGGCGCTTCTATTTATTTGTTTCCTGGTAATTACTTTTTCTGCTTCTTGGAAAGTATCAAATTTAATACTCAGAACTTCAAATCAAATTTTAAGTCAAAGTACATTATACTATTTTTTCACTAATCACCCCATATAAATCCACAAAATTGCATTATTTATTGAATTTGCAGCTATTACTGTGTAGTTGTTTTCACCAACAATATGTTTATTACTTTTAGCTTTTATTTTAAAAATATAATCTATAACTAAGAACAAATGTTAACCCATCAATTTGATTTAAATGCGAATTATATTTGCCAAACGCAAATTAGATTACTTTGCGGTCGCTTTGTTACACTAACCATTCGGAAACTGCATTTCATTGATATTGTACTTTGTTAACATAGTTTTTTCGCACTTTCCACCGAAAGGTTTGTTTATTTATTTTCCACTTTTCACCACATTGCTTGCTAATTAAATTTTACGAGTCCACAATTGCACACTAATTACTGTTTTTATTGCTTTGCCACAACATGATCAAAAGGAGTACGGTGCTTGGATTTCCGTGTGCGAAGTGTAATCCTTTAAATGGTTTTTCTATTTTTCCCGCTTTTAGAAGTTTTCCGGAGAAGCGCCACGAACCAACTGCTTTGGAAATGGCCAGAGCAAAGGCTTTTATAGCTAGCAAGGATCTGGGGTGAAAGGCGCCTGCGCGGATAACATTTAGGACTCGCTCCCATTTCCGTTTCCCTTTCGTCCAACACAATGCCGGCTGTTTTGCTGGCCGTCCGTGGTCCGTGGTCCGCAGCCACTGCTCTTTTACCGCCCGCCCTCATTTCAGGGCGTTTGTTTACACGAGGACAGCTGAGGTCGGGACAACAAAGTTTGAAGCCATCCAGGGCACTTGCCACTTGGCACTTGGCACGCTGCTGTCATCCCAGCGTTAAGGAGCCGCACTCGCACTCGCACTCATCTATATGCGTTCATGGGGCTCTGTGTACTTCGTGGCATTACATTGAAGTTTTAATTGAATTGCGGCTGCAAGTTTTAACTGCATTCTGCTGGGATGAATCCTCTGGGTTCGGTTGGGCTTGGCCCGCAAAAGGTGCGAGAAAAAAACCTTGCCACAAACTTTTCAGCTCTCAAGTTTTTCACTTTTCATTTCTTGCCAGTGCGTAGCTTGTGCTCCTGTTTAGCTCTCTAAATGCAGTTAACAAATGCTGAACTCAGCCGGTATAAGTCCGCATTCAAAATAGCTATAGCTGCGCCTGCAAGTAGGCAACACCGTTTTCATTTCCGCCTGCCCTCGAGTGAGTGTGTGTGTGTGTGTGTGTGTGCGTGTGCGACTGTGTGAGTGTGGGAATCTGTGTCGAACACCTGTTGTTGCCATTGTTGTTGTAGCCTTATCGCCTTCTTGGCCGTTTCGTTTATTTTGTGGGGCCGTAAAAGTTTTGATTCCGCTCGTTGTTAGCCTTTCTTCATTGTTTTTCCCCAGTTGATGGTGCTGTGAATTTTGCGAGAGGGTAGGTAAGCAGAAAACTTGGATAACTATGTGTTTCCATAAAAACTAAAAGACATTAATTGAAATAAGAATATACAGAGATATACGTCGAAATAGCACTTTTGAATGCTTTATTCAAAAACAATCTATCAATTAAATAACTTGGGTATTTAAATTTAATAATGTTCAACCAATTCAAATTCAATGGATTTAAATGTTATTGGTCTTATTGTTCTTAGAAATATAAGCCAAAAGTTTTCGCAAAACTCAAAAATAAGCTCTTTTTGATTAATTTAACTCCATTGTCTAAACAAAAGCAAGGGTATTTAAAACTGCAACCTTTTTCATAAATATTTCCCTCGCTGTTATCTGCTTTGTGGCTCATGTCGCACCATTGTTGTGCTGTTGTCCTGGGTGGCATGGCTCTTAAGCACCACCACCAGGTGTTTTGATTTATTGCGGTTTGGTTAAGTGCGGGCACAAACTTCATTTAGGTCCCCAGACCTTGGTAAAAGTTTTCGCTGAACGGACCAGGGATTATAGCCAACGGCACGAAGTAGAGCAGAGGTAAATTCGCTTAAAAGAAGCAAGCTGTGGAAAAGCTAAAAATGATTGCTTAAAATTATGGCAAATTCATTTAGAATCTTAAACAGAACATTTGCAATTTGAGCGATTAATCATCTTTATCAGATCATCATCGTTTTGAGAGCGGTTTATTTCTTAAACTTTTATTAACAACGTTTTTAAATGTTATCATGTTGTTGAGTAAAATGAAGAGCTTTCTGTACAGAAATAAATATATATTTTTGAAATCATTAACGGAAAAGTTGAAGTGATTGAGTCGAAATCTGGCAATACAGATTCAATGGATTTCACTATGTTATACTATGTTGAACATTTTATTTCAATACAAAGCAAGAGGGAATAACCAAACGCTGTTTGAATACGATTCACACCCAATATGTACTGATTATTTATGCCCTTTATCAGCGAAAGGGCGCCAGTGCTAACCCATTTAGCCAATTTAGCATCCACTGGCCTCACTCCCGCCCACAATCCCTAAATCAGCCACGCCCCACAAATCCTTTGTTCATCGGATTCGGTTTTGAGCCCTCTCTGCAGAAGCTAATTACAATTACGGCCGATGGCCGACGGGGGAATCGGATCACCACTTGGCAGTCGAGCTCCAAAACATAGCCATGCATATTTAATTCCCGTGCCCCACTCTTCTGGCCACGATTCTTTTGCCACTGTGCAAGTGTAACTTAATTTGGTGGGAGGACTGTGGCGGGGGCAGTGGCAGAAACGGCGGCATTTCAGACGGCCAAAAACCATTTGGAACATGCACAATTTTGACACCATCCCAATCGGCCCCAGTAACAAGTGCCATTCACATGGACCAGGCGATTTCATGGGAACTCAATTAATGGAGCATGATCCTAATGGGTTTCTACAACGGACCGGACCACCCATCTTCATCTCGATGTGGACGGCATCCAACGAGGCGTACAAACACATGCCTCTCGCTAAGTGCGCCAAATCAGCAGAACTCTAATTGGAGGCGGATGCCGTTTCGTCTTTCATAAAAAGGGAAGCTGCCGGCACAAAAAAAAAAAATCTATTTTAGACGAGGGCAAAGCCAAAGCATTTTCCTTCCCCTTTCCTGATTTCCTGATCTGGTGTGCGATGAATTGGCGAACGTTTGCCGAGCAATTAAGTGGGCAGGCGTCAATATTCCGATGAGTTGGCCCTTGCTTTATTGGCTTTGAAGTTGGCTTGAGGGCTAAAGCAAGTGTGTACGCTCAAAGAGAAACTATGAAAAAATAGCTATCGATATTTTGACTATTTTTAAATTTTCTTGTAATTTTAAAAAAATAAAGGTTGATGGTGGTTTCTTTGAAAAATAAATAACCAAAGAAGGACAACTAACAAGTTCTATAGTTCCTTTATTAAAGAATACAAAAATGCTTATATAGTTCATAAAATAATAGAAATAAATAAAAATGTTCTTGGAAAAATGACAGTACTGGTTTAAGCCCCATTTAAAAACAGCAAAGATACATGACCTCCATTGAGAAAACACGAAAATCTGGTGGCTCATATCATTTACACTTCCAAAACGTGGCATGATTTGAGAAACGAGTGCAATCTTGGGAATATTTAAATATTTATTCGCACGATTCGAGGGGAGAATGTTCAATAGCAATACCCCATGCGATTTTTACCTTGGCAGCCAAATGCAATCAGAGGCCATAAAGTGGGGCCCAAGGAGCAGGGCACTCGACTCCGGGCAAACGAGGCTAATATTTCAGGGGCTTGCACGGCCCGAAGCAATTGCTTTCCGGCTGGCAGGCTGCGCTGGAGTGTTTACTGGCAAATTTGTAGCCCATAGCCGTGGCATACGGCAGTCTACAGTCGACAAAATACAATTTAAACGTGCAACTGGCGGCAACTCCAGCGGCATGTCATAGATTTCCGCCCTTTCCCGCTTTTTGTCCCCTATGCAAATGTGTTGCGTTCTGCGGAATACGTATCTTCATACAATAATCTTATCAACGCATCGGCTGGCATGTGGCATGTGGCATGTGGCATGCGATATGGGCATACGGCATATGGTGCAACAGGGTTACGGGGGAGTTGGGCTGCTGAACCGCAGCCAATTCGCATATTGCGGCTGACAGGTTTATGATGGATTGCCATCGAGGAGGTGGTTAACTCTCACTGCCTCGGAATGTTGCGATTGGATTCAAATAAGCACTTGTTCTTATGCTAGGAATTTTGTTCTTATTTTGGTGATTATTGGGATTGGGTTTCAGACAAATTCCTCAATCTATGTTGTGGCATGTGCGTAAAATACATTAATGATATACATAGATAGCTTTGTCACACAATTCAAGCATATCAGTTCGCCGGGGGAGTGATTTCTCCCCAGCTAACTAACTTATCCAGTGGAACCTTCATGTTCACATTTTCTTTGTTAATCACCGAGTGCTTAGCAACAGCCAGTCAAAAATGGAGACATCTCCCAGAAGGACCTCCTGATCCCTCAATTTTTGTGCTGCCGCCTGCTGTTTATGTTTTGTGCTCGTTAATGAGATTTATTGCTGGGCAATGTTACAATATTCCCCATATCAGGGCGGGAGCAGCGAGACAAGCAATTTAATTTTTAATTTTCCAAATGAATGCCTTCAAATTAGGCCCGTTGTTGGGGAGATTATCGGAGGCACTGCACGTGAGCGGGCCCGAACGCGGATTGCCTCCGACAATCAGATCCCATCTATTAAAGTGCTTCTTTTCAGTGGGACTTTAAGCCATTGCGAAATGTTAAAGTCGCCTTAAAGGGATTTCGGTCGGGTTTTATCGCTTTCCGAGTGGATGAGCAGACCCCACTTTGCGGACTGGCCCGTTCCCTTCACACTTGACCGATATTCAATTACCCTGCTTTACGGCCAGGGTATCGCATTCGTTTCGAGCTTGTTTGCTTGCCGTTGCCATTGTTTGCCGGTTGGCCATTTGAGGCACTTGCTCCTGTGACTGATGAAGCTGAAAAGCCTCTGGCCGAACACAAAAAATCGCGTGTGAAAACGGAATTTCCCATTCCCCCTGCCCGTAACCTTCGGCGGCTGTGGTAAACGCTGCTCATTTGGCCAGATAATTTATTTTCGCATATTAATTTTACCAGAGTCGGACAAGTCGTTGGTAAATGGGAAATTTGTGATAAATGAGCGGCGCTTAAATGCCCGGGATTCCCCGCACCGCCACCAGCTCAAGGAAATTATTATCCCGCAACGCCCATTAGAGTGTGTGCTTAAAGATATGCCACGTGTATGCATAAGCGAGCATATATGTGCACACTTGGACAAATATTTTGTCAAAGCAATCAGAATTAAATGCCAAGATTAATTACATATTAAATGGAAAGGGCGTAATCCCTAAAGCTCAAAATATATTGCATTGAAAGATTGTTCTTTTACTTCTAACTGTGGTACCAAAACTTTAAAGTTAAAACAATATTGTTATTACAACTTGTAATTGAGCAATATGAAATTATTAAAAGCTTGGTGTATCATATAAAAACACATGCCAAAAAAGACCTGGAATTCAAGAAAAAGGTTTAACAGTTCTCATAATAAGTTAACCAAGTTTTAAGAATTTTGTTTAAGTGTAAGAAAGTCGCTTATTTAATTGCTTTCTGGGTTTTTTGGAGCGGATCTCTCATGTTGAAAACAATGTGTCATATGCATCGCAGATACAAGCCGTTGACGGCTCGCAAAATCGTTGAATTTATCAGGCTTACACGGTGGACAAGGGCACACATGTGATGGATGAAGCTTGGTTTGCTAATGGAGAAAATAAAATAAATTAGTTGTGGTTGATTCGGCAACGCTTGTACTCTACCGCGTCGTACTTATCTCATTAATTGTCCTGCTCCTTCATGAAAATTCTTAGACGCACCCCAGGAAGTATGCCACGCACAAGATGCTTCGACATTTTCCAGCATGATGGCGTTATTAATTTCCTCAATGGGAGGACAGCGGGTATGGCAATGGTCTCATGCATATTTTCGCATGGCTCGATTATTGAAAAATTCTTTAGCCATCACACCGAGAATGGCAAACTGACAACACGGCCGGGAAAAACATCAGCAGCAGCGGCAAAAAAGGATCCCCGGGCACTTGAAGGACCTGCAGGCTGCACTTGCTGTCGCCGCATGCCATTCAAGGAGCAGAGCAGTCGGAAAAACATGAAAGCATGCCATCAAGGAGCGGCCCATGGAGATAATGGAAATAAAGGGGGAAATTATCGCAGAGGTAGCACGATTAAAAATCAAGAAAAACAGGCCAGCTTCTGAAAGTAGGATAAGGTTTCATTCAACACCTTTAAAGCCAGAAAATTAAACATTACAGTTAATTGATAATGATTGACATTTTAATTAGAACAGATTTCAATAAAAAAGTATTATTTTATTGTTAACTGTTAATTAACTCTATTGTTCTCCATTCAGAATCTATTTTTAATTAAATTTATATGCAAATAAAAACTGTTATTCATTTGTATTTTGTTTATAAAAACATTAAAAACCACGCTAAAGAGTACATTTCAAAATATATTAGATGACTTTGTGTATTCTTTGCCCATAAAAAAGCGAACTTTTAAACCACAAACTTTGAAGCCAAGTTTGTAAAAAAAACCACTGCTTTTTGCTTGCTTATTCAAAACATTTCAAATAAAATGTAATCCAATGTCCTCCGCGTTTAACAAGGCAAAGTTTGGGTTGAAAGCAACATTTGTGATTTGTTTTATTTTGTGACACATTAGCGAAATTGCGTTAAATAATTTTCGGGGCTATAAATTTAATGATGCATTAAGCGAGAAGTTCCCAAGGCGTCGCATCCTGCCAATGTCGCATCCTCGCACCCTCGTGGGCGTCGTTTCCCGCACCTCTCCTCCATTCATTTGCAATCATTTGGCGGGTCGTGACTCCAGTTTTTGCCAAACCGGAAGTTCCCGGCCGCTTGCCAACTTCCGCCGAGGCTGCGACGGGTCGTTGGGAATTTTAACATTTCTACTTGGCACATTTGGCGAATTATTCAAATTCTTGTCATTGCAGCCAAAGGAAAAAAGTCTAAAGAAGACCCCCAAAGAGAATGAAATGAACGAAATAAACTAAAAGGCAAGGAAAAGCAAAAAGAAAGAGTCGCGGGTCTGGTTCGTTTGTGGAATTGGCAAAGATTTATGTCAGCCTGTGTGTATATACATATAGAAATGTTACGTAAGCAGGCCTTGCGTTGACTGGCAACCAAGTTAAGAGCGCAAATAAAATGTTTGCTCACATTTTTGTAATTTTGAAAAAATTGCTCGTTTATTGCCGGGGCATGTTTTTCCCAGGATTCCCGTTTAAATTCAAAGCTTGAAACGGGTGGGTAAAGAGAGGGGAGGGGGGGGGGAAGGTAACGACGACAAGTGTCGCATTGTTTGTGCTCCTTTATTCTAGGCGCCTTTGCCTCGCTCTGAATAATTAATATTGCGCATACGACGTGTTGCTGTGACTGCCAGTCAGCACATCCTTCTTGGCCAACGGTTGCCGCTCACTTTATTATGGTAATCAGCGCTGACTCTGTGCATATGCAAATTGCAATATCTAGCAACGAGCTCCTAACTCCTAAGTCATTAGCCTGCCGAGAAATACCAGAGCATTGTTACTGCGAGTGTTTTGCCGTCTGAAGTTAAGCATAAATTATGATTACTTAACGCCACATAAATCAAACTGATGCAAGGCAAAACTCCTACGACTCACGATAACAATAATAACAACTGCCACAAAGTCAGCTAATTTGTCAAACGACGAGCAGTCGAATTTTGCCACTAAATCGTTGAACCGAATCACTACCAACCTGTGAATTACCAAACAAGTTATTTGTCAAACAGCCAAATTGGCGTGTGCTTTGGAAATTCAACAGAAATTGAACATCATGGTTACCAGAGTTCTATGGAAAAGTGTTGAATGTTGCAGGTTCCCTTTGATTTTTGATTGTCGGAATTTACAAAGTTTAAATTGGGCTGAGCAAAGTAATATTTTGGATTTTCTACATTGAATTATCTTACTTCAAATTGAAGTTGATTTAAAAAAATTATAATTTAATCTGATTTTCAGCTCACATCAACAAGGGAAAACATTTTAATTAAGGCTTGAAAAGTACCGAAACATTGAATATTTAATATTTTGAACATGATTTTCGTAATGATTGCTAAAATGCTTGTGGCATCAGAAGAGGCTTAGAGTCGGGAAAGCAAATTTAATAATTGAAAGGAATTATTCATTCACACGAGCTTATGTCCATAAGTCAATAAATCAAACCAAAACCAATCTTGTAATTCAATTAACTTATATGCCATAAACCCATTATCACCATATATAAATTAATCCTTTAGAACAATAATATAAGATGCTGCAGGCAGTATTGTCTTGAATATTTGATAGGATAACGATGAATGCTATTTTGCAATAATTAAACAAGAACATCTGCTCATTGAACTGTGGGAAAATGTGTTCAGTGGCCATCAGCAGGAAACGCTTTTAAAGCCAAAGTCACAGGACTCCTGTTGCTCGACAGGATGTGGAGCTGGCTGCTGCCGCTCCTGCCGGACACTGTTCTCCGGACTTGGCTGCGGTTCAAGAAACTCACAAGTGACACTTGCTCGAAAGATAAATGCGAACGTAACTTTTGCCATCAAATGTTGCCAATCTACGGCGGAGATGTGAAGGACTCGTTCCACTGCAATTGGGTAGAGTTACCTTCGTCCATTCACCACTCGAGCGAACTGAGGACCCGGACAACCCATCCGTCCGGCACCCTCGACCCCGGCTCATCATTGGCATCGTGTGCACGGTGGATGGAGTCCAACTCACAGGCCGGAGAAGTCACATTTACTTACTGATTTATGTTCGTTTCCGTGCTCCGGGTTTTATCTGTTGAGTTTTTGGCGTAATCATTTCAAGTCAAAATGTTTTCAAAAGGCGACGGCAACCGGCACTCGGCCCAGTTGGCCCACTCACTCAGCAGGAGCCGGACTCCAATCCGGCAATGGCTCCTTGATAAATGACAGCAAGTTTATCTCCACATTTGCCCATAAATTCCGCACTACAAAACGGCAGTCCTTCGACAGGAGGTGGTCCCTCCGGTTCCGGCCTTTAAATTATGTTTAGTGCGAAAGGATTGCAGTTAGCATATTCAAGCGCCAAGGAAACGCCTCATATGTCAGCTTTGTTCGGAAATTGCTGAAGTATTTATGAACAGGGAAAGTTTCAAACGAATACTATACAATGTGAGAACTCAGCCCGGGGAGCTTTTAAAGTGAAATATTAATAAATAGTTGGAAGAGGGGAGGGGGGTTTTTTTCTTTATTGGTCACTCTTGTGTGGACCAAACTTGTTTGCTTTGGCACTCAGTTATTATTCCGAGATACAAGGAAAAACAACCATTGATCGCTTTGAATGGACACCCCGTCCCCGAGGCAAACCATGTCCACAGCCAGCTGAAAAACTGCATTTGCATTTGCATTTGCTAAATAATTTACCACATATTCTGGCCTCGGGGCAGCTGTAAATTGAAGACAAATGGACCCAACTGACCGACCCCACCCGATGCCTCCCAAGACTTTTATTTTCGTATTGTTGTTTTTATGGCTTGGCCCCGCCTGTGGCAGTGGCAAGTTGCCAGATGAAAGCCCAGTGGGCAAATGTTTTAAAACAAACACAAGAGCGTTCAACTAATGACCCAAGCCCAAAAACCGATGTGGTGCGATAGTTGCTGTGTGGGTTGAGTTTTCCGCTCGCTTCATGCGTTGACGTGCTGTTAATTAATATTAAACTCATTTCCACATACTGGCATTGAAATGCCAGAAGCATTCCCCTATTCCGGTTGCGTTTCATTGAATGTGTGTAATTATTTCACGGCTGTCCTGATCCCAGTCCCTATTTCGAGCTGTCCAAACTCACTAAGCCCATTAACAGGCGGTGGGTGGTGACCGTGCTCGTGTCCAACACATACGTGTTCTGGATTACTTAATGAGAATGTCGTAAATTTTGACCGAGTCGCATTTAGGCGTCACATAATTCAGGCAAATTGTGTTTGCCATTTAAATTTAAGCGAGTTAAGTACGTTAGTGATCCTGTTTGCATGTTGATTTCACACATTACGCATACGCCTTGTCAGCCAGCGTGCGCTTAATTACAATTGATGCTGATTGCCAGGCTGATCACGCAGCCGGAGAGCAAAACTAATTAAAATGTTTATCAACTTTGTAATTGTCACACCCTAATTGTGGCAGAACGTGATTGTGGGCTTGCCAAAAACAAAATCGACATTGATTTCGAAAGGTAAGTATTTTATTCATTGACTTCTAGCAGCAGACTGATGAGTTCCATGGGCGACTTCTTGCACCTGCTGGCATAGGCCGCCTGGCAGTCGCCTCCTCTTTTCCCATAGTGCTCCGATGTGTGGTACTCCCGATCCGAACTGTGGCCCAGCTGGTCCACCGAACTGGACGGCGTCAGCACAATATCCATGATCTCACCCAGCAATCCGCTTTCGTGGTTCAGCGGCAGAGCGGCATGCTCGCAGATCAACCTCAGGAGACAGCTCCTTCCGGGCAGGCCCATGTTCTCGATGACCATCTCGATGCCGCGGTAAATAATCCAGCGATATAGGGTGCCATATGTGGACTCCTTGTCCCTGCCAGTGATGGCCATCGGCTTGAGGTACACCCTTGTGATCTCCGTGGAGTTGGTGGGCAGAAAGTACTCCGCCTTGAGCACATAGCCCGAGGTCACCGACTCGAAGTGCAGGTTCTCCACGGGAATGCCAATGCCGCCGATGAACTGAACACGAGTGGGACTCGTGGGCGGAAAGATCAGCGATCTGCTCAAGCGTTTCAGGTGCCCCTCGCCGGAGCACAAATGCAACCAGCTGAGGTACAGAAAGCCCACCAAGATTTCCAGCCTCATTTCGCTTCCGTTCGCTTCGAGAATTACCTGAGAACTGAGCCACCAGCCATGGCTTTTCACACCTCAACTCACTCACTTTCTTTTGGCGGCGGCTTGCGCTTTCCACTCGTTTGTCTTGGCCAAAGAGGCATTTCAGGCCCGAATCCAGTGCAATTAGCACTTTGGTGGCAACTCTCTGATCTAGTTAAACCAATTTCACTAACGACCGTGAATCAGCCGGCGCCAAAGTGCAACCTGTAGAATATTTCACAGATACGAGTAGAATTTGATAATTAAAACAAGGCCAAATTTTGTATAAATTTAAATTTAAGCTTTTGCCAATTCTTTTCAAGAATACAAATTAAAAGGTACACCGCAAAATCAAACAAAGAATGCACTTAAAAAAACTTATTCAAACACTCTTTATTTAATGATATCAACAAAGTTTTTTGAATTCTCAAAGAGAGTTGTTCTTTTTAAGCCCTTTCGATAATACTTAGTAACATAAGTAAGCACTAAAGACTGAAAGCAGGTCAAACAAAATGTGAATCGTATTCTCGGCGGTACTGTAAATATTTACTCCATTCATACGACTTCGACTTACAATCGTCTTATAATCCAACTAGTTTAAGCAGCCTCACATGCAGTAATGTAATGTAACGCAAGTAAAGCCCACAAAAGCATGAACTAAAGGAAAAGGGATTGCAGAATGCGTATGAGGATTGCCATGGAATGTGTGAGCATTGGCATTAAGACAGTAAGCGGAGTGGCGGGATGATTGGGTCTTCTGCTGGAATGTGGAGCGGAAGTTATGCCCCCAACGACTTGAGTAAGTTATGTGAATTGCCGTTGCATCGGGCTCTGCAAAGCAAAAGCAGCGGAAAATACAGGATGAGCTCTAGGAAGGCAAAGCTCGGGACTGTAAAAAGGGAAGACTGCTCCCCAGGATGCGAATCCTCTTGGGTGGCGACACTGACCTGGACAGGAAAAGAAGCAAAGCTATGATGGAGAGTGAAGGGATTAGAGAAATGCGAGAATGAGCACGAATTGTCCCACTCCAAAGGGAAAAGGAAACGCATAAAAACGGCAAAAGTCGGAGGAAAAACTAGTTGATTCTCCGAGTATTCTTTTTCCGTCTAGACAATGTATCGTGTGCAGAGCTATTTATTAAATGGAAGATTAAATGTACGGCTGACATTGCTGCACAGATACAAAAGCAGATTAAGGAGTTTGGCCTTTTCATACAATTTCAAGCTGCGGTGATTTTATTTTTAACAAAAACATAGTCTTTTTAAAATCGAATACCTATTTATTATCATTTGGGAGAAAATTAAAATGATTTATAATTCTAATTACAATTTAATTAAGATAATTCAATAATTATGTAGTGAATATATGCTTTGAAAACTTTTCAGTTTTGTGTGGTGTTAATATTAGGAAATAAATAATAAATAAGCTAAATTAATATCAAATCCACTTTCGGAGGGCCACAGCTATTTCGATTTTATTTAATTGGTTGTATATCCTAATGCCTCTTGTACAGCCGCATATTTATTGTCACAAAAATAATTGCGTTTGTCACAAATTTTAATGCTTTAAAAAGTTATTTTCATCGATGGCATGGCTTCATTAGTATAGCAAGTTATTTATTTTGATTTATTATATTTCACTTGGTCTGCTTTAATGCCTGAGTAAATTGGGAAAACTTAAACAAACTTGGTAATACCCAAAAAAATACCACTTTCAGTAGATTAAAAAACTACTTTGAAAGAAGTAATTTATCCATAGTTATTCTTTTCCCATTCCCAAAACTGGAACACCGCGAAGGCAATAAAAAGTTGGACAATGCAATGCGGCAAGGTGGAACTTGCAGGCAGAACAAGAACCGCAATTGAGGCCTCGAAACTTTCACCTGCAGCACTTTAACTGCATCGTTACCCGCTGTAGTATCCTGAACTTTGTGCCAGCGAATATGCAAATTTAAAGTGAGACTTGCCATTCGAATAGTTCCCAAGGCGATATGTTATCGATTCGCATAGCAAGCCAAATCAATTATGTTGACATGCCGAGAATCTATTTGCAGAGGTAAGCGCTTCTGGGCAGCGAAACAGTTTAAATGCCAGAACGTTTAGTAGCTTAGGAGACGGGCGCACGTGTCGTATGCGTAATGAGCGCTCCAAACAGAAATGCATTCATCACAGCCTGGGTGTTGGGTGTGTGTGGTGTTTGCAAGTGTCGTCGTCACATCTTGACCTCGCCGAGCCTCGAAATTACCTCGTTACTGCTCCAGGGTGCCGCAAATCCTTTGGCAACCGAGGAGAACTCGTCTGGCAAATGAATGTGTCTTACTTATGCTTATTTAGTTTCTGTCCCAAAAAGGAGCCAGAGGAGCCAAGGGAGTGGGCGTGGGTGTGGGTAATGAGTTAAATTATTATGCAAACGACGGCTCCATGTCTCGAGCTGGAAATGTGTGCTCCACATAAGCAAAACACTCGAAATGTGTGCCGGGGACAAACAGAGCTCCAGAAGTCGGGCAAAGAAGCTGCTTTCCGGGCGGCGAGGCGACATAAATGTAGATTAGATTCGGTGCCGGCAGGAAGCCGCTCCACTCAATGCAAGTGGCATCATTTGGAGCTCTTCGTAAATCTCCTACAGCATACTACACCACACCTCACCACACCACACCGTACTGTGCATCAATGCCAGCCATATTATTTATGGACTTTGCACACAATAATTGGCAAGCTTTCCGCTCCACAGCGCAATGGTCAGCAATAGGACAATTTCGGATTGGGATCGGAAATCAGAATGGTATGGGAATTGGGTCCCGGACGGCAATGGATGCTGGTTCGTTGACTTCAACGTTGTTTCAGTCTTTCGAGGCCATAAAAAGCATCACTGAACAGGTAAGTTCGGCCATCAGCTCGAATTGATGATTGTCAAGCAACAAAAGGAAATACAATAACTCTAAAAAGTCGACTATTAGGACATCTGATAATTGAATTTATTATTCAATATTTTCTTTATGATTTGATAAATTTAAATAATGATAGCAGCAACGCTTTATTACCTTTCAATAAAAATACAAAGAAAACTCTTTATTTTACAGATTCAAAGAGAAAACAATATATTTGTACAAATTCCGAAGCCAAAAAAGCGTTCAATTCAAATATGACAATACAAAATGGTGCTCAAAGGCTTGACACAAAAAATCAGAATTCATTGAAGGCGTATGACACCGACACTGATGAATTTGAAAATTCTTTGTTTCTATATATCCTTGATCTGGACGCAGGACTTCACACATGCCCAACAACTTCCGAGGCAAAATCAATTTACAAGCCAAATATTTGGTCCATAACAAGGCCCCAAACTGGGTCTAATTATGCATGGTCACCATGCGGGTCACTTGGCGAATTTAAATGCGAAGCTTGATGGGTCAAAAAGGTGTCCACGTGTCCGAATTCATGTACGCTTGTTTGGTCCTGCCCGAATATGGGGAATGTATGCAAATGACCGGAACACAGCAAACATTCTAATCGGCAATTGTGTTCGTGTGTGCTTTTTGTTGATGTTGAGTTGTCTTTGCTTGTGTTGCTGATTTTGCCATGGGAACTTTAACTCTGTGCCAACAGATGGGCAATCGATAGTAACCTTTGCTTAAAGACTGACTAATAGGATTTATCACAGAATGGGATTGTAAGGGTATTGTTACTTTCGTGCTTAATGGAATTAAATATATCCTAACACCAAAATAATTAAATTATAGAAAGCATTTTATGACATTTCTACAAGTAAAAAAAGCCTTTAGGTAAAACTCAAAACAGGACAGAATAAAGTGAATTTTATATTTATATTTCTTAGCCTAATTGATTGGCCTTTAAGCTGTATGTAAATTTAAGACTCCCTCTGTGTTCGACACTGCTGACTAACAACGTTAAAGTCTGCCAAACTCTTATTAAAAGTTTCGGCACTGACCGAAGCTCTTTATTTAGTCACAGACCCAAGAACGTGGTCGACTTGAAGTCCTTTAAATGAGATCCGAACGAAACACCCGGCCAGGCAGCACACGCTGGCAACTGTATTCAAATATTTAATCCACACAGGCAGGCTGCATTCACAATAAACCCATTCACCCACCATCGGTGGCACCCACATAAAGAACAGCTGTGTCCACCGTGCAGAATTTCATGACACACCGAATGAAAAACCAGGAAGGGGAGTTGTTGGGATGGGAATGGCACTCCCTGGCCTTTTCGTGTTTAATTGAGTTTGAAATAGGTGCCAGCTTCTCTGGCCTTACAGTCGGTGGGCTCTGAAATTGGCTTAGTTGTGAGTACCCATCGCAACAGAAACTCGGAATATACGTATGTATATAGTATCCATGCAACTCTTTAAACTGCCGCCATAAGTCAGCAGATGTTTTTGTTTCATATTTCGTTCAAATTTTAATTTAATACTTCTGAGGAATTTGTGGCGACATAAACAATGAAGAGTGGGATTGTAAAGTGGCCGGTTAGCTGCCTCAGCAATCGCATTGAAATATCAAAAATGTAATCCGTAATCGGCCCAAATCCTTTCCCATATGCCTCCCCTGTAATTCCGTTTTATGTTTGCCCTGCAATCCTTTTGGCCAATTCATTTATTTCAATTGTTGCCGGAGCTTCCGCTGTTGCCGACAAAGGCCGTAGTCAACTATACGGCGTAATAAGCACTTTTTATTCTGGGCGCATTGTGAGCGCGGCATTTTTATTGTTTCCGGGGGCTCTCAGATCGACTCTGGGTTCACAGTGGGCTAAGCCCCTAGATTTTACGGAATAAAATATGACAAGTTGCGTTCAAAGATTGCCATAAAAATATACCCATGAAATCTCCAGTAATTCGAACACATTGTTGACATATCAACAATTTTACACAACTTGATCAAGAAATTGTTAGTAAAGTCTGAAATGGTGGTTTATTAAATAAATGTTATTCCAAATTAAAATACAATTTAGTAGGAATTTAATCAATGCATTCTTCTTATTAAAACTCCCGTTGATTGCGTACTACAACTAATTAAATTGGCTTAAAATATTAAATATTGTTTTATATAGCAAACGTTCAACTGGATAGTTAAAGGTTTAGCCAGCATGTTAAAATTATTTTCTGTCAGTCCCACTGTATGGACCTTCTGTTCCGCTTCGCCCACGTCCTTTTCCAAATGGGCGTGGCTGATGGTGCGCGCGTATTTGCCGACTTTCAAAGCCGTACTGAAGTTTGCCTTCATTCGTTTCATTTTATAACCCGAAACGAATAAAACAAAGCAAAGTTTCAAACTTTTTGCCGCCGACTTTTTGTTTAGTCCTCGAATGACATCGTTGTCTCCGGACTTATTTTTATGTGCCAACGCCAGCCGATTGACGCTCCGCCTCCAAGGTAAGCAGGTGGTGCCCGAAATTTACTTATCAAGTACTTATTTGCCTATTCCAAAAGCCATTTGTATGAACGGCAACGGTGCGGGCCCAAGTCCCCCAAGAAATGTAATAAAATAAGCCTCGACTTGGCAGCTGCATAAACAAATACCTGATAAAGATAGCCGGAGGAGCGGAAAAGGGGAAGTCGAACGCTCGAGGGCCTGGTCCAAAAGCGGTCCACTCTGGACCGGGGCCATTTGAATGTATTTGCATAAAAATGTTGCTGCATTAGCGGGACCCGTTACACATTGGGACAATCAGCGGAATACCCAACCCACTTGCGCCTGCTCCGGTATTCTTTATTAAATTTTATTATTATGTTTTGCATAATTTTCCTTTTTTAAGCTGGCCAGAAATTAGGCGAGGTATGCACTCCAGGACATTACTGGCGAAAAAAACCCTTGGCATTCAGGCGGGCTCTCAAGATCCGGCCAAATACTTTTGGCAAGCTTCCGAAGTTCGTCAAGTGGAAGGCTTTGATTTAAATGTATACAAACTCGTTTAAGCTGCGCGCATAGCCAGCTCTTTAACAATTTCCGCTTCCTGTGCTGCGAAAGAACTTAAACAGAAGTCAGCCGAACGATATTTACAGCACCCCGGGGACTTTAGAAATCGTAGCCAGAATAGAGCAGCAAGATAGCCGCCAAAGTTCACAGCGCGACCGCACAAAACTCGAATGCGACAATTAATTTCAGTGAATTATGACCGCAGAGTGGAAAATGGCGCTAATGTGACGGCCTTTGCCAATTTGCTGTTTGTGTCCTCTGCAGTTCTGGCCATGGCCAAAAACACGAACAGCTGTCAGGGCGGGCACACGGATTCGCATCCGTTTTTGGTGGCTCTCTCGGTGACTTTGTGTGTCCGGCCCCAAACTTTTTGGGGGCACGGCGACCGCAGACCGAAAAAGACAGTCGGGCAGTCGAGGACGATTCCCTGGCGGGTCGTTCGCAATATGACAGCTGGGAACCGAAACTGAAACCGAACACGGATTCGAACACGCTGCGTATACGCGATACGCGATTGCAGCCAGCGTTCAAAACTGTCAAAGCCACGCCAATCTGGGCTTAGTGACGGTGTCGATCTGTGACGCCATAATTCATAGCCAAACATTTCAGCACTGTGGCTCCCGCTCCAGCTCCTAACACCATTGTTCGATGCACGTGCCCGGTCAAACAAAAGGATGGAAGCTGGATAGCAGAAATGCCACGCAAAAACGCAACAAAATGGCAGCCGGAATAGGGGAAAAACACGCGGAAGTCGCGAGCTTAGCACGCTGAAAATGCTCGTAAAGTACAATGAACCGCAGAATCTGGCAGGCGAAGTGGGCGAGGAGTTGCTAGATGCTAGGATGTGGGTGAAGTTGAGTGGATTCCTGTCAACAAAACGTCTGCTTGTGTCCCGGCAAAAACGAAGAGGCGTTTGCTTTGGCTTATACGATATCCATGGAGACCAAGGTACATAGTATTCATGATACTGTTCTTAACAGTGCTGCCAACTATCGACTTCAACAACAAAACATTGCTGTCAAAAGTAAGGGTGGACCTTTATTTAGTATAAATAAAATTATTAGCTTGTAATTAAATACAAAATAGTTCTCCTCTTTATCAGCTAAAAATGTTGTTTCATGTGATTATTCTGCAATTGCACTTATTTTTTCCTTTCATATTTTTAAACACTTTGATAACAAATCTTGGAATAGCAAAAAAAAATGTCCGTTTCAAAGGCTCTCTATTAAGCTAACTATAAAAACACTTGCTTAAGAAGGATGCTGAAAGTTTTAAAGTTACTAATTTAAATTAAGCCGGGTCTGCTCTATGTTAAGGAAGTTGGTTTCTATTTCAAACACCCTGGAAGCAGAAAAAGTATTTAGCAAACAGTGAAGTGAGTACCGGGTAAATCCCAGTCAGGCCACTCCACAGCAGCACTCTCAGTTGCATTCTGGTTTTTCCGCTGCACTTGGCACCATTTATCCCCCGCGAGTGACACCTCAAAGAGTGACAGATTGTGGAGCGGAGGAGCTGGGAATCCCGATTCCTGCATTTTATTCCCGCTCTAAATTCGGTGACAACAATGGAGAACCCGCAACCACGCAGTTGCTAACGATCGAATCCCTCAGAAAGTTTAATGTTGTTGTCCCGGCAGAAGGCCTTCAGTTCTGTGAAGTAGGTATAGGGGGTTTTCATGCCATCTTCCTTCGGTTGAGAAATATCGTTTCGATCTGTGACTTGTGTTGGATGGAAGACATCGCTCATCTTGCGCCCCTTACAGATGGTGAACTCCGCCTCGTCGAACATCTTTCGTCGCATCTCGAAGGTAAGATAAGGCGGATGCGGGGCTTTCGCAGGCTCTGCGAAGTGCTCTTTGATGGAGGGCTTCAAGGATGTGCTGCTGCTCCCCGATAATTCAACTTTAGTCGCCTCCAACTTGGCCGACAAGGCCACCTCATCTATGGCCTTTAACTTTCGCGGGAACGGTGTACTCGCGGTGTTGGCCCTTAGTAAGCCATAATCGCGATTACATGATGTCCGCTCATTGTCATCGGCCCGGTTCCTGTGAAAGCCGATGTGATATCGAAACCGATTGATGGGCCTAACCTTCTTCTTGTTGCTCAGAATTCCGAGTTTGTTGGACTTTCCATCTTCTGCACTGACATTTCTGGTCGGGAGACCCAACCCTCTTCCAGTGGAACTAAGGATATTCGTATTCATTATTTTTGTCGTATGTTTGTATTTTTATTTTTTATGGGAGGTTGTTTGTTGCTTGTATATTTTTTGTCTGACTTAATAGTATTATGTATTTTCTAAGCCTACTTACAAACCCAAAACAACCATTTTATGGCTCTTATAAAAAATATAAAGATAGCATGAACTCTTATTACTCTTATTTATTGATTATAAGGTAAATTAAACCAAAAAAAAAATCAATCTAATCGATTAAACGCATTCCCTAATGTGTTCAATATTTTAGTGTTTTTATTTTGTTGTCCCATTTTTCTTGAACACAAGAAAAAACAAAAATTATGCTGACAAAATGACTGTTGGCTAGCCCAATGGCCAAGTCAAGCCAAGTTGGTATAATTATGTTGAAGTAAAGGCTAAAATGGGTCACAAAAAGTCGACAGTCTTGGAAACTATAAACAAATCAGGCTTCGAAACTTTCTGCCACCCGCTTGCACCCAAAGTTGATGGCGCCCGCAGTTTGAAAGTTTTCCATTCAATTCACTTAAGACTCTTTTCGCCTTTCGCGTTTGCATTTTGATGCGGCAACAATTCCCCCAACCATTTTCCACTTACTCGTACCTTGATGGCCCCGTTTGCAGTGAACTTTTCCTGGCCAGAGGAAAACCCGGCAGACCGTCGACCAACGACCAACGACCAACGGAGTCGTTGCAGCTAATGGTGTTTATTGCATTTACTCCCCGACTGCCACTTAAATCGGCGACACTGTGGGCAGGTTGGGCTCTGAGGTTAGTGGTCTACCAGGTGGCAGGGGGCATGGCCATGGGCATGGTCTTGTGGGCAGGTGCAACACCTGCAGCTACGCAAATATCCCGCAGGCGGCAGACCAAGCACGACGGACGACGGACGACGGACGATGGACGATAGACTCCTCCAACCTGCTGCCTTCTCCGCTCGTGTGGAAGAAAGTGCAAAGTAAATGCACAACACAAGTCTGCCTGGCTCCGCCTCTGGTGAACTGGTGAAGAGGGAGGGGGGCGTGGCAGGAGGACGAAGGACGAAGGCAGCCACAACTGCGGGTGCAGCCAAAAGAGCAACTCACCTGTCGCCTCAACCAGCCGAGTTGTTGTGGCACAGATTTGGCTGACGCAAAGTTTGATTAAATCACATGACAGGGTGGAGGGAGGGGCGAGGTAAGGAGGGGGCTGGACGGCGGCTTGTGGAACATGAATTCAAGTGGCTTAACATCAGTACACAGGGGAAAAATCGAACTGTAATCGTATACCCTGGATTCCGGTAGCCAAAAAATCGTAACAACAGGATTTTAAATTTCAAAATGTACATATTTTCCCGAAAAATCAAATAAGGTTTTAAAGTGGGTTGCTATAAGGCAAAACTTCCTTTTCTGAAATTAAAAAAAAATATTCTCAAGACTTAGCACAAGCATTAATTTTATCGTTGTGCTTGAAATCTAAAAAAAATCCTCGACCATAGTTGAAAAATCCCCCTAATAAATAAGTACATTTAATTAATAGATAATTGAAAACATTTTAGGGAAAACATGGTTTCAAAAAGAATGTTTTGTGCTTTTTACAAGTTTGAAACCTTCCTAATTCCATTTTTGATTTGTTCCCAAAAGAATTAATAAGCATTTGAAAAGAAGACAAATTTTATTAAACAATTTAGCGTATATATAAACTTATTTTGATTTTCAGTGCAGTTCCACAGAGCCAATGAGCCACTGGCTGCGGGCGTCGAGCAAGTAAATAAATTCATTAAACGTTTAGAGCTCGCCAGGTGGGTCCGGTTGCCTTTTGTGCCGGGTAAAATATTCAGTTACCCGGATTAAGTGGATTACCATTCAGCGAGTTGCATTGTCCCACAATCTCAGGGGCTCTCGGGCTATCGGGATACATAGAGTAGTCTTGCTTTAAAACTCTATTCTAAGACGGACATTAACAGAAATTTTGGGTGGGGTGGGCGAGGTTCTTTAAGCTGGTTTCTGCTCTGCATGGATGGGGCTCGAAGCCACGACGACGGGCGAGTTCCAATCACTTGAAATTTGTACGGGACCAGGAGAAGCAGGAAAGGAATAGGATAGAAGAACTGTCGTTTGCAAACAGACACGTACAAACACGAAACAGGTACGGATACAGACACAAACGGGATGGAATGGAATGGGATGATCCTACTCGGCGGGAGGCGGGCTGAGGACCAGTTCCCACGGTTCCTTGTCCGACTCGGAGGCGGGCTGCTCATCGGAACGCGGGGCGTGGCACCGGTTGCACTTCTCCCGATACCAAAAGTTCAGATTGAAGCAGAAGCCGCAGGGCCAATCGTCCTTGTGAGGCCGCCAGCGATGGGCGTTACTTGCTCCTCCAGATCCCGACGATGTCCCCGCCGCCGGAAATGGTTCGGCGGCGGAAATCTTGGTGGCCTGACACCGATTGCAGCTGGAACGCCAAACGAAGTTGCTGTTGCGGCAGAGCATGCACACCCAATTGTCGCTGGCCGGCTTCCATTTCTGTGCCCGCTGGCGGCGCTGTCGCTCCGGGCAGTTGAGCTCCCGCGGATAGCTGAAGCGGACGCTGCCCTTGCGGGTGGACAGATAGGCCGGCAGGACGGTGAGCGTCTGGTTCATGAACTTCGCCCCGCTCAGACAACTGATGGCCGCCTGTGCCGAGAAGGGACTCACGTAGGTTATAGTGGCCTCGCCCTTGGAGCGACCCGTCAGCTTGTTCTTGTAGACAAAGATCTTCGGCCTGTTGGAGGCCTCGTCCATCTTGATGAGGCCCAGTTTGCCAAAGAACATGATGATGTCGTTCTTGGTGACATTCAGGCGCATTCCCAGCACGAATATGGTGTCCGGCTGGATGACGAACTGCTCCTGGCCAACGGTCAAATACGGACAATGCCGGGGCAACGGCAGGCGCGGCATGAAGTCGGCGGGTGTGCGCGGGAACACCATGTAGGATGTGCTCCCACCGCCCATGCCGGATATGTAGGCCCCCTCCTCCGGTTCCTCCTCCTTCTCGCCCAGAACTCCCAGCTCCCTGTTTTCGGGCATGTCACCCCGCTCGGCCATCTCGCCCAGGTTCAGCTGTAGATCCTCTCCGCTTCGGTCCAATGGTGAGTCACCAGCCGTCGCCCGGCACGAGGATGAGGTGCTGGCCCCCACCGAAGAAGCCTCCTCGCCGGCGCAGAGGTCGTCGTCATCCTGGCCCAGCAGCAGGGATCCACTGGCGTCGCCGCCGCCGTCCTCGAAGCGATAGAGATCACTGTATGCGGAACGGGGACTGAGCCCGGAACCCACACTCGGCTGCGGGTTGAGTCCGGATGGTCCAAGACCGAGTCCGAGTCCAGAACCGGTTGTCGTACTGACCACATAGCTGGCGTGGAAGACTTGGTGCAGATGCTGCGTCTGCTGCGGCTGTGGCGGCTGGGTGCCGGAGTAACTTGGAACGTAAAAGGGATTGGCGTACACCACGCTGGCTGCCGTGATATCCATCGCAGGCTAAACTATTTGTAAAACTCCTGGTTGTGGGGCCTTTACTGCTCATCAAACACGAACCGTTTCCTTTGGAATAATAAAAACTACTGAAATCTTTGATAACATACAAGAGACTAGGGATAAAAAAATGAACTGAGCTCCGCCCCGTAGTTTCCTTGATCGCTTACCCAGTCGCCTACTACGCTGGCACTTTTCAAATATCTAAAAAATAAAAATGGCTTTCCAGAAAATTGTTCAAAGACAGCAACTATGAGCTCAAACCTTTTCCTAAAGTCATCCGATTTCAAAAAGGCATACTTTTATACGATTGTGGCTAAATTCTCTAAAAATCTGTGTTCAAATCTTGGTTTATATTTTTGGGTCGATTTTTCGTCATTTTTAATGATGTTACCCCTTTCCAAATTTTCAAAAAATGGCCTTGCAGAAAAGTGTCCAAAAACTGCACTTCTAAGCCCATAACTTAACTTAAAGTCATCCGATTTCAAAAAGGCATACTTCTAAATGATTGTGGTTGAATTCTCTAAAAAACTGTATACTCAGTTTGATTTGTAATTTTGGGTCGATTTTTCATAATTTTTATAGAGTTACCCCTTTTCGAATTTTGGAAAAATGGCTTTGCAGAAAAGTGTCCAAAAACTGCAGTTCTAAGCCCATAACTTTTGTTACCAACATCCGATTTCAAAGTGGCATACTTCAAAATGATTGTAATTGAAGTCTCTAAAAAACTGTATACTCAGTTTGATTTGTAATTTTGGGTGGATTTTTCATCATTTTTATAGTGTAACACTTTCCAAATTTTCAAAAAAATGGCCTTGCAGAAAAGTGTCCAAAAACTGCAGTTCTAAGCCCATATCTTTTGTTACCGACATCCGATTTCAAAGTGGCATACTTCAAAATGATTGTGGTTGAATTCTCTAAAAAACTGTATACTCAGTTCAATTTGTAATTTTGGGTCGATTTTTCATCATTTTTATAGTGTTACCCCTTTTCGAATTTTGGAAAAATGGCTTTGCAGAAAAGTGTCCAAAAACTGCAGTTCTAAGCCCATAACTTTTCTTAAAGTCATCCGATTTCAAAGTGGCATACTTCAAAATGATTGTGGTTGAATTCTCTAAAAAACTGTATACTCAGTTTGATTTGTAATTTTGGGTCGATTTTTCATCATTTTTATGGTGTTACCCCTTTTCGAATTTTGAAAAATTGGCTTTGCAGAAAAGTGTCCAAAAACTGCAGTTCTAAGCCCATATCTTTTGTTACCGACATCCGATTTCAAAGTGGCATACTTCAAAATGATTGTGGTTGAATTCTCTAAAAAACTGAATACTCAATTCAATTTGTAATTTTGGGTCGATTTTTCATCATTTTTATAGTGTTACCCCTTTTCGAATTTTGAAAAAATGGCTTTGTAGAAAAGAGTCCAGAAACTTCTCTTCTAAGCTCATAATTTTTCCTAAAGACATCCGATTTCAAATTATAGCATAATAGCTAAACTTTTTACCAAATTATAAGACCCCTGCGAAGGTAAAAAGAAAAACAAAACAGGTGAATTAATTGGATTTAATTATCTGCATTTAATGAACGAAATGGTTTGATAACAAAAGTAAAAAGGCAATATTACTATCCACTGGCGTGAACGTTTTCATCCTCACCTTTTTGATGAATCTGAATCTGAACTACTACTACCACGGGAGTCTGCTGCCACACAGAGAAAACTATGCAAATTTTCGTGATTGGCGGCTAATACTGAACGTTGCACCGCTCCACACCCAACCACTTGTGTAGTTCATTGATGACTTTGCACTTCGCTTTCCATCTGCGCAATATTGATTCATAATTTTTGCCCATTTTCACTTTAATCAGCAAAGTTTGATTACATTTCACAGTGAAGTCCCTCCTTTCGTTCGTAAAGCTGCTTAAATTAATTTAAGAGATTCCTGCCGATGTCCTGAATAGATGTGAAACTTAGGCTCGTATTATTTGGAAGCAAGAGTTAAACGAAGCCAATCAAGATGGCTGGCACTCATCAAGCCAATTAGCTGGCAATTACCCCACTAATGACCGACCTCATTAACCCCACAAAGGCCCCGCCGAAACTGGCGGAGCCAAGAATAATGCCCTGCCACCGGAGCGTGGACACTGAAGACATGTTTATTAATATCTCGGACCCGGACTTTCACTCATTCCCGGACTTTCACCGAGTCCCGGACCCTGACAAACGGAACTGCCCCGTTTGTCGCCAGCTCGCCACCCATTCGCTTTTATGGCCGCCACTTTACGAGCAAGAACGCTGACCTTATCGCCCGATTCCAGGATCTGGGATCCGGTGTCCTGGACGGAAGCCCGGCTTCATTAGCAGCCCTCGCCGGGGTGTCAATTTCATCGCGATGGGAGAGGGCGCGTACAACGCTCATTAGGTCAGCGTCTAAGGCAGCTTTATTTTCTGCCAACTAACTTTTACTTTAACCCGTCAAAGTCTTCCCTAGAACGAAAAGTACCGAACCCTGCAACCACCGACAAGAAATTAAAAATCAACCGTCTTGAAGGGAGAACAACAAGAGCCAGTGCGAAATGGAAACTGTTGCTGTAAAAGTTATTATTCCGTTGGAAACTTTGTGCGCTCATAAAAATTGAGACAGGGTAAATTGTCTTGCAGGATGGATAATTGCACAAAAGTTTGACTCTGAAGCTGGTCCGTAATTGAAAAGACAAAAGCGCAGCAGAGAAATTGGCCTGGAATATAAGCAGCAATGGGATATGGCCATTGTATGACTGGATGACGGGGAATCTTCTTCATCAGCATCCTCCGTGCACACACTGCAGCATTCATGTTGTCTTTGGCTCCGTTTGGAGCGAAGGAACAGCTAATGAATTGGCTGCCAGTCGAGGCAAAGCAAACACGCAGCACAGCTCAGCAATCTCCCTGAATAAACTGACACGAATCGGAAGGTGCATTGGATATCGAGTTCAACCCCTCGAGTGAAGTACCCAGTCCAAAGTCCAATTAATGGAGACGCACGAGCGGAGGTGAAAATCAATATTCATAAAATGTAATTCACATTTAATTGAGACAGATTGCGTGCATTCATTATAGGCTGCGATTGGCTGGATGCAATTAAGGGGTTAACTGTCATGCTGCCTTCACACTTTACTGTATTTCCACAGAACAAATCTTGGTTACCGACTGCAATTTTTAAAGGAATTAACTCACGAGTCAACTTACTGAGTCAACTTAATAGCTGAAAACAGCAATTTTATTATAAAAATTCTATTGTTTATTCCTTCAATAAAACCAAATCATATGAAAGCGGGATTTATTATAAAATTAAAAATGGCTTTTTGTGCCTAAAAGCAATAATTTTTCCATTGTTATCTTTTACTGTACTAATTATAATTTAAGTCAACAATTTTTTATATATTGGGCAATTTACTCCAGTTCTTCGCGGTCAAGTTAAAGAAATCCAGCATTAGTGTCCCAGAATATTTAAGGTCAAGGCCCTGAGTAGTCCCATATAGTTTTACGCGACTCATTTGAGCATAAGCCCAGAAATCCAGACTAGTTGAGTTCCCCAGCTTTTGGGGTTCATGCAGCTGGCGCACAGACACAAAATAACAAGCAATAAAACGTGTACGTGTCTAAATTTTAATATGGTTTCCGACCGTACATCCATTTGAAATGTTCGTGTACATTCCCCTGCATTTGCGGAATGTGTGGGAGCGTGTTTGCTAGTCCCTGTTTATTTGACTTGCTACTTATTTATTACGCAGCATAATGAAATTTCACGTAATCCTCATTATAGCCAGAACAAAGGCACCAGGACAAGGGTTTCGGATAAACAACTTCAAGGCTTTCCTGTGTACACTTGCACATTCAAATCTCAGTCATGACTCAATTTCAGCGAAAATACAAAGTAGAAAGGTGGTCGAAGGAGGAGTGGCCCACTAGCCCACACTCCACTCACAGATTATCGACATTTGAAGCACAGGCAGACACAAAAGCCAGTCAGACGTCTCCATCGCCCACACGTCCAACACAAATAAATCAGACAAAGCATATAAATCTAAATTGTATCGCATTGTGGCGCATTTCGCCTCACCCCCAAGCTGCCTTATTGGCAAATTGGCGGGGTGAGGGATTGTTCTTTGTGTCCCAATCCTTCTGGCTCCTTGGAGCACCTGAGTCGAGTATCGGGTATCGGTTCGATTGGCTGCCACGTTGATTTCCCATCGATTTTGGCTGCAGCTCTACAAATCGCCCTGCCATTCACCCCTTTTCTGCGGTTTCCATTGTGCTGACAGCGCAATTATCTGTGGAGTGTATTGAAAGCTGAAATTTCAGCACTCACTCAACAGGATTCAATGGTCCAATTCCAATAAAAAAATGGGTAAAAAGGAGCTGCTTAAGCTCCTTCAATAGAAACGATTCTTTAGCATACTAAGCATGTTTGCGTAAACTCCACGACCAGTTCCACAAACTGTTCCGGCTGATCCTCGTACACACAATGTCCCGCGTCGAGAATCTGCACCACCGTGTTCGGGAAGTACCTCTGCATCACGGCGATACTGGACGAGGTCACGAACTCCGACTGGGAACCGGCGATGAGGAGCACCTCGCCCATGTAGGGACTCAGTCCGCCCAGGGTGGCCTCGTAGTCGATCATCAGATCCGACCAGGAACTGAGCACCGCCTGTGGATTCACGGCCCAGCCAAAGGTTTCGTCCTGCATTTTGCGCAGATTGTAGACCACTCGCTGGAGTTCGGACACATCTTGGACCACATCCTGGAAAAGTGGGAGGATGAACGAGCGACCCTCGGAGAGGGACATGGTCGAGGGAATAGTGGGTGCCACCTGGAGCATCATCTCGAAGACCTGCCGGGTGAGATAGAAGTTGCTGGGCACCGGCGCCGGGGTAATGTCCACCAGGATCACCCGCTCCACGAGCTGCGGCTGGGTGAGGTCCAGTGTCATCATCGCCCGGCCGCCCATTCCGTGTCCCAGTGCCACGATCTTGGTCAGGCTCTGGTGGGACATCAAGGCCTCCACATCGGCGGCCAGGTGCATCGGCGAGTGTCCGGATATGTGCGGACTAATGCCATGGTTCCGGGCATCGACTGTGATCACCTGGCGCAGACCCTCCTGACTCAGATTGCTGGCCACCTGGCGCCAGGACTCCAGCGAAAGGTTGAGGTCGTGCATCACCACAATTGGAGGCGCCTCCATTTGATTGCGCGGAGTGCTGTAGGAAACGTACTCCAGTCGGGTGCTCTGCACGAATGACGACCCGTACTTGCGCAGTGCCTGAGCTCTGGAAAGGATTGAGCCGAGAATTCGATGTCTTGCCATGATTACCGAAAATTTCGAATACCTGTCATCTGTTCGTCTAGTATTTATAATTTGTTTCTTAAATCAAATTTCGAAATCATGCTAATCATGCTCGAAATCGAGCTAAAATAAATATAAAGATTTTGTTTACTAAAACTCAACTTTTCTTTGATTTCTTAAAAGCTATTTATGGAAAAAACTACTTAAATTATTTATTAAACTTAATAGTTTAATAAAGAGTTTTAAATTTCAATAATTCTGACTATAATTTGTGTTGTAACTTATTTCAGTAAATAGCTGGAGTTTTGCCTTGGGATATCCCGTATACGCCTCGGTGTACAAAGCTGTCGTCTCAGGAACATTGTGTGGTATTAACCTTAATCCACTGGGGCTAATGCCTCGTTTAACGCACCGGAGTCTAAGCGCTTTCATGTCCTCACAATTGTGGCTGCGAGTACAAATCCCCAAATTGCGTAATAAATAAAATGCATTTGCGTGGAAAATTAGGAAATGTGCAGAAAGCGCTGTGAGATGGGCAAAAAATTCAAATTTCCACATTTTCATATTTTTGCATTTTTACATTTTCATAATGTTAGCTGGCAGAGTTTGCCATCACAGAGGGCATAAATCATGGCGAGTGCTCAGACGCAGACACAAACAAATCGACCAAGACATTTCTTGTTACTTAAATTCCCTTTTGCTTGCACAAATCGAAAGATTACTAAGGAGTTTGTTTGTTCTTTAAGACCGCACCAACGGGCTCCGTTTAATGGCTAGAAACGAAATAAATGCAAATTTCAAAACTATTTTTGCCCAGAATCTTTTGCATTTGCAATTAGAGGACCCCCGTGACTAGATTTAGCCATCAAAGAGGGGGACACTCAATCTCTCTGACAGTAACCAAGACACTTGATATCCAATTTCAGGCTATTGACACAATGAAGCACCCTCGAGAAGTACTCCTCTGGCGCAGAAGAACATAAAACGAACTAAATAAATAAACTGGAATCCTCATTTGGAGTCTTAAAAACGAACTTTCGAATGCAAACCGAAAGTTGAAGACGTGTTCACCCCTTTTCCAATCAGCCCCATTGAAAAGTTTAGCGACAATGAAATCCCCCAAATGCTGGGTACGACCTCCCGAGGAATCAGACCTCCAAATGCCCATCAAAGGCTTACCTCGGTCTGTCAGCGCATTCCATTCTAAGCCTCGGACGCTGTCCTGTTGCCACGCCGCCAAATACTTTGCCCGTTTGGGGGAATGCCTTTCATCTCCATGGGACATCACAATCTCTTGAAGATTGGGAGCGGAAAGCCGGTAAACTTATCCGCGCAAGTGCACTGGAACACGATTCAGCAGGAGAGCTTAATGCAGAGAGCGATTCTCCGAAAGTCAGTTATAAACAAAAACAAATGCATGCAACAGATAGGAACTTTGAAGACAAGATGACTTCTTCAATAACTACATTTATGCAATATACTTTACCTAAGGAAAGCTTTTAGTATTTACTCAATGGAAATTGAGATAGAAACACCAAAACGTACATTTTGTATTTATAAATTGAATATAAGAATATAGAACCTGTTTGAACTACACATTTATTACCCGGTTCATTGTATTTAAAAGGTTTGTGTCGCGGATGCAATGGGAACACTTTGAGCAACCAATACAATAACCGCAAGCGTTTCCTTGGTTTGAGGGGTGACTAAGAATTTTGAGAAAGGACTTTTAAAATATAAACTTGCTTTGATAATAAAAAAATAATAAAAAAAGGAAGTGTGAGGGATATACCATCCTTGCAGCCGTGAAAAACATAATTGTTCAACAAACCATTGTAGCGAGATTTTTTCAAGGACCTTTATAGAGTTTTTATTTAAACCAGAACTTTTATTTCCTAACTTGAAAAACAACAAACAAAACTAACTTGAAATAGATAGAATAGATTTGGTTAAAGATTTTTTAATTCGCAGTATTTACTTTCTTTTGGTTTAGTACATAAAAGATACCCCTTAAGCCAAATATTAGAAAAAAAAAAAAATTTTTAATTTATTGACCTTTTTTAGGTTTAGTATACAAATCATAAAAATATAAGCCATACAAAGATTAAAATTCTCTTTAAGAGTTTGCTCTGCTGTTTTAGATATTACCTTTTGGAAATTGAAATCCACTTTAATTGGAAGATCCGGAGCTATACAAATTTAAAAGTCGGAACATCAGAAATCGGCTCAGCAACCCTCAGCCAAGGACAACCAATCGCAACGCGCCAAACTGTTGCCAATCCAAAATGGCCTCCAAGCAGATGCTGCTGTCCTGCGGGGAGGAAAATCCAATAAGCAAAATACGGAGCAGAACCGAGCCGACTTCGCAGCCCGTGAGGACAATCAGAATTTATTGCAACACAGTCTTCCAAGCAGAACAGACCCAAGGTCTTCCAATTGCAGTAGCCACCCATTTCGACAGTCAGTCATGCAGCATCCGCATCCTAGTGACCAGCCCACCTACATGCCGGAGGTCCCGTTCCAGCCTCTCTGGGGTCAGGAGGCACCGCCGCCGCCCATTGTGCCGTATCAGGAGCTCATCGCCGGTTTTCCCTGCTCCGATTTGTGTAAGTATATCGAAGAGAAATGTTTTGGAAGACATATTAAACATATAATTTCAATGTCACAGCTCTGTGGCAGCGCTCGCAGGTAACTCCACTGGTTCCCCAGCGTCCGTCGACAAATGGAAGGGCCAACGGGTCGTCCAGCTCCTCGAAGAAGACCCGTCGCCGAGTGGCCTCGATGGCCCAAAGAAGAGCTGCAAATATCCGCGAACGCCGACGGATGTTCAACCTGAACGAGGCTTTCGATAAGCTGCGCCGCAAGGTGCCCACCTTCGCCTACGAGAAGCGGCTCTCCCGCATCGAAACCCTTCGTCTGGCCATCACCTACATTGGATTCATGGCGGAGCTGCTCAGCGGCACGCCCTCGAACTCCCACAAGTCCCGGTCGGAGGTCTACGGCAGCATGAATGGACACCATCAGGCTCCTCCGCCGGCCATCCATCCTCATCATTTGCATCCTGCAGCGGCCTATCAACGCGACTTTGCCTCGCCCTACAACCATAGTTTGACATAGAGATATTCTTTAAGGCAATAATGAAAAAAAAATCGGTTATAAAAATATTTAAACTGACTTCGGAATTTAGCTACATAAGTTCTGGAACGTTTTTTAAAAAAATACTTTTTCTTGTCAGATCTATTTAGGTTTAATGTAATGCAATGTAAATATAAATGGATAGAAAATGTTAATCTTTAAGATTGTTTAAAAAACAATAATAAATAATGCTTACAAATGCTAAAAGTGTGGACTGTTATTGGGAATTATTATATATTTAATGTTTATGTACATGAAAGACATATAATTTGTAAAAAAAGGGAGAAGGGAGACATATAATAAAACATTTGACATATGAAATGAAAATCTCTGTCCCAAAATAATAAAGATTGCGATATTTTGCATTTATTTTTCATTTCGTATGATTTTATTCAGTTTTGTATCTAGGCTTAAGTAGAAAACACTCATAAAGTTTTAATAAATAGTTGCTAATTTTGACATACAAAAACTAAATGAATTTAATTCGATATTGGGTACCCCAAAAGATGGTTGTCGCATTTTCTAATTCTTTTTTTAATTTTTGAAATATGAAAAAACAGTTGGTTGGAAAATGGAAAACAAAGCATAGAAACCAATTTGGGAGATAATCTAATACAGTTTACCATTTAATAGGTAAACAAATTAGTTGTCTTAATTTGGTGGTGGCTTTAAAGTCAAAAGTACCACCAAAATACACCTGATAATCCCCTTAAATGCAACCCGCACTTGTTCCGAAAAGAATAACGTATCCCAAACCAAAGCGAACCATGTCGTGATTTGCGTGCGAATCTTTGCAGCTGCTGGAGGGGAACACATGTCCACGACCATTCGGTGGCCTCGATGAAGTCACATTTTATACAGAGCGGGAAGGTTTGCTAAGCGGAAACCGAAAAAAGAATGAAAACTATTATACAAAATTTGACAAGGCAAACAAAGCGTGAAATTATTATTAATAAATTGATGCGCACAGGGGGAAGATGAGGCAACAAAAAGGAGGGCAGCAATTCAAAGTCAATTGTAGCAACCCCTAACCAGGAACAAGTGTAACACTTGAGGGATTCCCTGTTCCCGTCTAAATACCAAGGAATTTTTGCGTTCAACGCCCATTGCCAACAGATTAGCGCCCCTCGTCCGGAGACCAAATTAATTCGGAACGGATATTGCACGGACATCGGGCTCGGAAGTCGGAAAGTGGGCTGCTACCTGGGGGTTGACTGCGCCCCTTGTTGCCGATGTTTTGGTAGTTTGGTGTACAATATGTTTTGATGAATTTGTGACACTTCATGCCGAATTAGATCGCTTTCCATATGCACATCTAACCCTCGGGGTTGTTCACCACAGTCTACAGTCTATAAAGTGCCCTCACGTGTCGGCGATTAGCGCTTTTGTAAACTCTTTGCTATCACTGCTATATATCCCTCGATCTTAACTCCTTGAGTTGATCTTTCAGTCACCTGTGGTGTGAGAAATTGGCTTAGTATATTAAAATATTTTATTCAGACCCTGCCACGTGCTGTATATTAACTTCTTCCCATAGAAAATGCTCATTCATCGACTGAGATTGGTTATCCGATCCCTCCCCTCAACCATTGTATGTCAAATCGCTATGACAAATTAATTGAATTTCGGTAGAAATTCTGTCATTTTTTCGCAATTTTTCGACACTTTTTGCAGGGCTAACTAGGGCAGATCCCAATATATATTAGGTCATGATAGATGGGATTTATCAGCAAATGTAGCAGATGTTTTCAGAGCTACTTAACTGTCGAATGAACAGTTTGCAAGTGTGACGAGTAGTCTGAACTAAACAAACTATTCTAAATTTTTGCGAATTAGTATTGTGTTCTAATTGACTTATCTAAGAACTTGAAAACCGGCAATCATGTTGGCCTGACTTCATAAATTTCAATCATATAACCAACATGCTCTATCTACGCACTTATCGATTCTTGTGTACACTGATAGGAAAAGTTGCCACAAAGTTACCGGGCCAAGTTTAGTTTGCCATCGGGAACTGAGCGGAATGTCGAGCCGAATTCTGGTAACGCAGCTCTCCCAAGATCTTTCCTTGCCCGCTTGGCTAGATCAACAGGATCTGGAACGGTTGGTGAGGCAGGAGATTCCAGAGTTTAGAAAAATCGATACCCTTCGTTGTAAATGGGAGGTTCAACTGTCCCAGCCCGCTCTTTGTGTTCAGCTTCAAGTGCTCGTGGCGGGTAAGAAGTTATAAACATTTTCAATGCGTTTTAAATTACCAATATGTTAACCCTAGAAAACAAGAAACGACAAGTAAATTACCTAATCAAGTCGCCTGAATCGCTCTCAATTGGATTAAAGGTACCAATTAAAGGGGATTTCCAAGTGGAGCGTCACATGTACGAAATCGTGCTGCCCGCCCTGGAAGAGCTTTATAAAAATGCGGATAAGAGCATTCACTTTAGTCCTTCAGTCTTCAAGACAAATCAAAAATTCAACCAAATCTATTTAGAATACATCCTTAACAAGGGCTATGCAGTGGCCAATAGCCTCAAAGGTTTGTCCGTAACCGCCATGGAAGGAGTACTCTCGAAACTGGCTGCTTATCACGCCGGGACAGCTTGCTATATAGAGAGGAATTCCGGAAAGTTTAGGGAGCTTCCAAAGCTCGGGAACCTCTTGAAATCGGATGGAGAGGTTGACGAACTGAAGGGCTTATACCAAATGAGGTTTCACGAGGGTCTCCGATCAAACGACGCCAGGGAGTACGAAGATAAGGTGGTAGGTACTCTTGATTGTCTACTTTTATATACTCTTTGGTAATTTAAAAAATTCGTAGAAATCGTTTCAAAAGTATGTGAAAGTGGAGGCGAAACTGGATGCGAGAGCTTCCTTCAATGTCATTCTAAATGGATCCTGCTGGCCAAATAATGTACTCATCCAAGTCGATGCCTTTGGAAATGTGAAGGATTCACTGTTTAGTGATTTTCACGCTGCAAAATATGGTCCAGCTATCTACGATCTTTTCAGCTTACTTCTGACGGCTCCAGCTGAAAAATCTAGCAGATTCGACGGATATGTGAAGTTCTACCACGACCATTTAATCGAAAATCTAACACTTTTGAAATTCCAAGGAAAGAAGACCAGTCTCACGGATCTTCAATTGGATTTGCTAAAATATGGACATTGGGGTAGGTCAACTAAAATACTATAGTTTAATGGTAAACTTATTGTACTTTAAATAGGATTCGAGTCTGCTACGGAAATCCTGCCGATATTGCTCTCGGATTTTGGCAGCAATGACACTGATGAGCTCTTTAAGAACCCAGTGTTCGGCGAGCAAATTAGAGAATTATTGCCTTGGCTGGAGAATCGCGGATACATTGAAGAAGATTAAGCTGCATTTACTTAGCATAAATCAAAATAAGATGCACATTTATCAGCTTAACAGATTTGTATAAATATTATCTTAGATAAGATAAACGATGTATGCACATTTTATAGGGTACATCACCATTCTAGTATATGTGCGAATAAACATTATCAAAATACTAATAAATGCAAGCACACGTCTAAATGCAAAAGCTTTTTTTGATTGTCTAGGGAAACATTTGATAAGAGCTACGCGGAGAGAATACCATAGGAAATAATCAAACCCGCATTTTGCAAGTTATTGCTACAAAAAATGCGGCGTAATAATGAACGGGCAAAGTTCTAACTTACCTGATCATCAGTGTGCAAGCAACAAGATCAACTTCTGGCTAGAAATACTGATTAGGCACTTTTTTCTTGACGATCAACTATTTACATTTCAGCTTATCATCATACTGAACTAACAGGTCCACCCTGATCGAAAAGCATTCCCACGCTACGGACTTTAATCAACAAACGAAATTGAGCAAAAGCTTTTGAATGAAAAGCTATAACTGATTTCACCAATATAAGGCATCCGCACTGAAAGTGGCGCAAATTACGGATCCAACAGGTGAACGAAATGGTTCGGAGCAAAGAAAACAGCACCAAAGACAAGCTGCCGGCGTGGCTGGATCAGCAGTTGTTCGTGGAGTTTATAGATCGCGATTTTCCGAACCTTAAGAAAATCAAATCGTACAGATTGGAACCCTCATCAGGAAATGGGGAGAATTATACATCGTTACTTCTCAGGGCAAATTTCGAACTGGAACTAATTGGTAAGTGAAATGTTGCAATAAAATTACTTGACAGAATTCCCTATTAAAAAATTGCAAAAAAATATTGAAATGTTTAATTTTAAATGTTAACTCTTCTTTTGGGTACACTTATTCTTTACAAATATTTTAACTTTTAGATGGCTCCCAGCAGATCATCTCCTATATGGTTAAGGTTTTGCCCAACTCCGGCAACCGGGATAATGTAGCATCCTGGAAAGTATTTGATAAGGAGCACAAAACATATGGAGAATATATTCCCGAGTTCGAGAAGATGTACAGAGAGGCTGGAAAGGAAATTACCTTTGGACCCCGTTACTATGAGTCAAAAAATAAACTTGAAGAGGAGCTTCTCGTGCTGGAGGATCTGGGAAAGCGGGGATTCATTAATGTAAAGCGCCAGGATGGCCTAGATATGCTACACACTAAGGCCACTTTGGAGAAACTGGCACAATTCCATGCTGCCTCCGCCGTGCGATTTGAGCTCAAGGGAGCCTATCCTGCAATGTACAACCGCAACCTGTGTAGCGAAGAGGATAACTTCAAGGACTTTCGTGAAAACCAAACGAAGGCCTACGTCGAAGCGTGTCCGCTCTACGATGCCTCCCATTTGGCGAAGTCTGTGGTAAGGATCTCAAATAACAATCAATGCTAAATGGTGCAATTATTGAGCCATTACTATTTTGTAGGAGACATATGGCAGTCAAGCGGATGACATGTTCCAGGCCATTGCTCCCGAGATCGAAGGAGAGTTCCGTGTGCTGAATCACGGTGATGCCTGGTGCAATAACTTCATGTACAAGTATGATGATGCTGGAAAGCTGACCGAAACTTACTTTGTGGATCTGCAGATGAGTCGGTTCTCATCACCCGCCCAGGATTTGCTCTACTTTATCCTCTCTTCCACTCATGTGGACATAAAGATAGCACAATTTGATTACCTAATCAAGTACTATCATGAAAAGCTCACAGAGAGTCTAAAGCTACTGAAGTATCCAAAACCACTGCCTTCACTTAGGAGCCTACATCAGTCGATCTTTACCCACGGAGACTGGAGTGAGTTATTCAAACTGTTTCCATGAATTATTAAATAATCCCATGATATTATTAAATAGTTCTGCCCATCGTAAGCATTCTCCTGCCCGTTGTGCTGGTCGATCCCAGTGATGATGCCAATATGGATAGCTTGATGGACAGCGAATCTGCTGGAGAAAAGTTCCGGAACAATATGTTCAAGAACCCCCGCATAATTAGACACCAAAAGGAGATTCTTCCCTGGGCTCATCGTCGTGGCGCCTTTGAAGTCCGCAATTAAATGTAAAAACTGTTGATATTAGAAAGCAAATAAACAAAAGCGTTAGACAATGCCATTATCAGTTCATAAACCTTTATCTCTAAATTGAATTTGAGGCTTGAGCGTTAGTTTATCAGTTGAATGGCTGTTATCACTGAGTTGCTGCTGGATTCGACTGGGTCACACCCACTCACTGAACAGTTTAAATTAACTCAAACAATGTTCTACTCTAGAGCGCAAAATTGTCGACAATGATAATTATATGTTATCAACAGCGATTTGAGCGACATAACTAGGGGAACTTTGGAAGCCAAACATCAGTTCACAGCCGTTGCCGCAATTGAACGGACATACAAAATTCGCGAGTTTTAGTTAACGATGGGTCTGCGTAATTCCAAGTCGAAAAAGAGCTATGAAGTAGCCGCTGCCGGCACACAAAAACAAAGGAAGGCCTCGAGTAAAAGTTCTCGGTCAACTAATGGGAAAATTGAGAGTTCACCCACTCAATCAGAGGCTTCAAGACCCATCCCGGCAATAGAAGATATCAACTTGGGACCAGAATGGCTAAATAAAACGCAATTTGAGGAATTACTCACCGCAAATGTCGCCCAGTTCTCAAAGATAGTGGGTTTCCGGGTGAAACCCGCCATGGCTCCCGGAGAAAACTACGCCACTCAAATGCTGAGGATCAGCATAGATGTGGAACTCACTGGTGAGTATTTTGTTAAGGTTCAACTAGCTGACGAAATCCATGCAGGGCTTTTTATTTAAGACACTTGGCGATAAGTAGTATCTCGAACTTATTTATAGCCAGTACACAATAAATACTTGCTGTTTGGTTCATTTTCCAATTATAGCAAGTGCATGTCCCACAATAATTAACTTCTAACCAGCTTTTAGCCAATGCTAAACGTAAAATGGTATAGTAATTATATCAAATAACTAGTTTTTTTATTTCGATCTCTCCGCTAGACAAGAGCAACAAACTGGTCTCCTTCATGATGAAGGTACCACATAAAACTCCCCAAATGGAACAAATGCTGGCCATGGTCAACTTCTTTAACAGCGAGAATGCAGTCTACTCGGATATATTGCCTAAATTGGAGGAGCTTTACAAGTCCAAAGGTCTGGACATAACTTTCGCACCCAAAGCATTTAAATTGGACTCCGAAAAAGAACCCAACTTAGCCAACACAGTGCTCATGAATGATATGAGCCAGGATGGTTTCAAGAACTTAAATCGCCTGGAGTGCCTCAACTTGGAGCAAACAAAGTTTGCCCTGAAAAAACTTGCCCAGTTCCATGCGGCATCTGCCATGAATGTTCAGGTGAATGGACCCTATGCAGATGTGTTCGTCAATGGAGCTTTTGGTGGCAACAAGGAGGTTTTGATGGCATTTTACGAAGGAATGATAGCCTCTTTCCGGACGGCTTTTATGGCCAACCTAAAAAACTTTGAGAACGGCGAAGACTTTCGGGAGAAGCTTGTATGTCTCTACACGACATGTATCAAAAACATTGCACTTAATAAATCAATATATGTTTTTAGGACGCAGCATTTTCGAAGATCACTTTGGACTTTGAAAATCTAATGAAGAGCGATCCCACCGAGTTCAATGTACTGAACCATGGCGATTGCTGGATGAACAACCTGCTGTTTAAGGTCGACTCTAGGGGGGAAGTGGAAGACATGGTGTTTGTCGACTTCCAGAACCCCAAGTACGGCTCTCCCACCCAGGACCTGTTCTACCTTCTACTCACCTCGGTGCACATAGACTTCAAGCTGGATTACTTCGACTTCTTCATCAGGCACTATCACGAACAGTTGATCAAGCACTTGAACCTCTTGGGTTTCACCGGTAAGCAGCCTTCGCTTAGGGAGCTACACATGCTGATGTACAAGTACGGAAGTTGGGCCTTCTTCCCCTCGATATCCGTGCTGCCAGTGGTGCTCCTGGATCCCAGCGAGTCAGCCACCTTTGACAATTTCCTTAGCGACAACGAAGATGCCACCAAGTTCAAGAACCTCCTGTACGCCAATAAGCGCTACAAGGGCTACATCGAAAAGATTCTGCCCTGGCTGGACAACAGGGGTCTCTTGGAGGCCTAGTAAGTAGATCCTAAAATTAGTCATCTGGTTTTTAATTATTTTCATCCCTTAGCACTCAGTCCACCTTAACAGAATCGCAGTCTTTGGAACAGTCAGTGAATTCCAACCAGATATTAGACTGGCTCAGTGTTAGCGACTTTGAAGATATAATCTCCTCCTCTGAACCCGAGTTTGAAAAGATTTTGGGAGGTGATTGGAGTTCGGCAACGAAGCCAGGGGACAACTACGCTTCTAAACTTCTTAAAGTTGATATACAGGCACAACTAAAAGGTATGTAAAATTATTGATAATCTATAAATATGACAGGAATATAGACAATCTTGATTATATCAACAGATAAAAGTGTGAAGACGTTCTCGTACATACTGAAAGTGCAACCACCGAAAACCGTTGATAACTTCACCGACATTAATATGTTCCCCAAGGAAATGGAGATGTATCGCAAATATGTTCCTGCGTTCGAGAAACTCTATAAGGATGCCGGCTTGGCAATCACATTTAGTGCGAAATCATTCGTGCTAAATAAACCTGTCAAGGAAGAATATCTGCTAATGGAGAATCTCCAGACAAGTGGCTTTAAGATGGCCGATCGCATGAAGGGATTGGACCTGGAGCATTCCAAGAGCTCACTTAAGAAGCTGGCCCAATGGCATGCGGCTTCCATTAAATATAAGGAGATCAATGGACCCTACACCCCGCTGTACAGCGATGGAATTTATATTGAACAGACGAGAGACCTATTCCATAATATGTTTGCGCAGGCGAAGAATTCGTACATTGAGATTGTTGGAAAGTTTGAGGGCGCCGAGGAGTATCTGCCCAAGCTGGTAATATATATTTCTAAAGATAAGTCTAAGGTATTAACTCTAAAATTATTTTTTAATTAGTCATGGATTTTGGACAACCATGTAGACCAGATTATTGAAGATGCCAAAATCAATGAGGCAGAGTTCAATGTACTCAATCATGGAGATGCCTGGGTAAACAACATTATGTTTCAATACGACTCTGAAGGGAATCTCAGGGAAACCTTATTGCTGGATCATCAGAATACTAAATACGGCAATCCAGCTCAAGATCTTTACTACTTCCTTATGAGCTCTGCAGAGTTGGATATCAAAGTCGACCAGTTTGATTATCTGATCAGGTGGTATCATGAAAATTTAGTGAAGCACACAAATTTGTTGAAATACAATGGATTTGTACCCTCTCTAAGTGAACTGCACACTATTTTGATAGAACATCCCGCTTTCGGTATGTTATTATTCAAATATGAAAACAATTGGTATTATAAAATTATTATAAATTTGCAGCTGTTGGCACAGTAATCAGTACCTTAACCATTTGCCTCAACCAGACCGACGAGGCCTTTAATCCTGAAGCCTTTTTCGTCGAAACGCCGGAATCCGAAGCATTTAGATTGCAGCTTCTTGGCAACGAGCGTTACAAAGCCCATATTGAGCGGGTTATGCCTTGGCTTAATAGGAGGGGCCTCCTTGATCCTTAAAAGAGCTACCCTAAATGTGATATTTTTTATATAAAATAGAAAGAAACCATGAAACAATTGTTGATATTTGTAAATATCTGAACAATTTAATAGGAAATAAACGAAGTTGAATTAAAATTAATGTGTTTAATATCTCAAAGGAAAAATCTAAGGATGCTTAAAATTCCCTGCCCTTCCCCAATTTGTACAGTGTTGACTTAATCTTCCAGTAATCACACCTGAGGAATTTAAACTGATTGTAAAAAAGAAAGAAGGCAAACTTCCGCAAGCTGAAGTTTTTATACCCTAGCAGCTATTGCAAAAATAAATTATTGAATAAAACGATTATAAAACTAATGAAGCTATATTTTCTATCCCGTTCCTATATATATTCCACCTGAAATTGTAAGAAGACCTTTTGAAAAGTTTTATCTAGATATCTTTAAAACTGAGAAACTATTTTGGCGTTGCAAAATTTTTACTAAAATTATAATATCCTCTGCAAGGGTATACAAATATTAAATAAAAACCATGCAGTGATAAAAAGGAAATCTAAAATGTGTTAGTTTAAATTATCAACCTAATCACTCCTATCAATGAGCAGTGTTTAAGTTCACGCTTATCGCTCATTCTGATTACCTGTAAAATCGCGTAAAACTCTGAAAACTGATGAAATAACAAGCAGTTGATAGCAAGAGCTATTAGCGTCATAAACCAGTGACTAGAAATGCATAACTAGAGAGCCCAGTCGTGTGCCAAACATCAGTTCACCGTCGATCGCCTAGTCGAACACACGCGAATCCGAAATAGCGACTTGTATTTATAAAAACTCAAACACCAATAACTATACGATGGGTTTACGGTTATCAAAAAGAAAACAGACCTTTGAAGTGAAAACTTCGGAGTCTGTCAATTTGGGGCCCAAGTGGCTAAATGAAACGCAATTTGAAGAATTACTAGCCGCGAACATAGCTGACTTCTCAAAGATAGTCGGTTTCCGGGTGAAACCCGCCATGGCACCCGGAGAAAACTATGCCACTCAGATGCTGAGGATCAGCATAGATGTGGAACTCACTGGTGAGTAATTGGAAGGGGTTACTCCGATACTATTTATAACATTAATTTGGCCCAATCTTGCCCAAGGGGGTGTTCTTTGTGAAGGTCTGCGATAAGTTAGCACTTTACGATTCATTTATAGTCGATTTGGCTGTTCACAATGACAATGCTGTTTTCAAGCTAATTGGCATTGACTGGCCGACTCAACTGCATTTCAATGATGTAAAGCAATAAATATAAGTGTAAAGCATTAATAATTTAAAAGGCTAATTTCTATTTTTTGGCAGATAAGAGTGCCAAACAAGTCTCCTTCATGATGAAGGTTGCCCACGACACTCCCCAAATGAATGAAATGTTGGCTATGGCCAATTTCTTCACTAGTGAGAACGCGGCCTATATTGATATACTGCCAAAAATGAACGAGCTCTATAAGGCCAAGGGCCTGGATATCACCTTCGCTCCACAAGCTTTCAAATTGGACTCCACAAAGGAACCCAAGTTGGCCAACACGGTGCTAATGAACGATCTCGGCCAGAATGGATTTAAAAACTTCAATCGCCTGGAATGCCTTAATTTCGAACAAGCCAAGTTTGCCCTAATGAAACTGGCCCAGTTTCATGCAGCCGGTGCCATGATGGTCCAAGTGCACGGACCCTATCCCGATGTATTCTTGTACGGCATGATGGGAAATAACATGGATGCCATAAGAGCGTTTCTGGAAGGAATGTTGGGATCATTTAGAACGTCATTTCTGGCCAATCTAAAGAATTTTAAGAACGGAGAAGAATATCGTGAGACTCTTGTAAGTACTTTCCTTTGATGACTAGTAAAATGTTGAATGTTAATTTAATTTCAGGAAAAAGTTCTTGCGGGTCTTACTGCGGAATTTATAAAGATTGGCGATATAGATCCCTCCGAGTTCAATGTGCTCAACCATGGCGATTGCTGGATGAATAATCTGCTCTTCAAGGTGGACTCCAAGGGCGATGTGGTAGACATGACCTTTGTCGATTTCCAGAATCCCAAATACGGCACTCCCGCCATGGACCTGCTCTACTTCATCATGACCTCGGTGCACATAGACTATAAGCTCGATTGCTTTGACTTCTTCATCAGGCACTACCACGAGCAGTTGACCAAGCACTTGGATATTTTAGGATTTACTGGACGACAGCCCTCGCTGAAGGAGTTGCACATTAAGTTGATTAATTGCGGCGCATGGGCCCTATTCCCAACCATTGCCGTGCTGCCAGTGGTTCTTCTGGACCCCACCCAGTCAGCGACTTTTGAAAATTTTCTGGGGGACACCGAAGCAGGCGTAAATTTTAAGAATACTTTATACGCCAACAAGCGGTATCAAGGATACGTTGAACGAATTTTGCCTTGGCTTAAAAATCGAGGTTTTCTGGAAGCCAGGTAAATTATTGAAAATGATATTTTTAACACTAAAATAAATAATACATTTTTTAGCCCTGAGCCAATCTCAGCTCAGCCCGCACAGAAGCCACTAAATCAATCGGAGCCTGAGAATCCTGATCAGATTCTGGACTGGCTTACATTTAGCGACTTCAAGGAAATCATTACCTCCACCGAACCTGAATTTGAGAAAATTATAAGCGGGTCTTGGAAGCTGGCCACGAAACCTGGGGACAACTATGCTTCTAAGCTTATAAAGGTTGATATAGAGGCGCAGTTAAAAGGTAACAACATTCAAATTGTTAAGATTGATTTCATTCATCTTAGGAAATTAAATATATCTTAACCTTAAAACTTACCTTTATAGACAACAGGTCCAAGTCCTTATCGTACATACTGAAAGTGCAAACATCCAATGACATGATCAACTTCTCCGACTTCAATCTGTTTCCCAAGGAGATTGAGATGTATAGCACATATGTGCCCGCCTTTGAGCAGCTCTACAAGGATGCTGGCTTGCCGGTTACTTTTAGTGCCAAGTCCTTCCGCATTAGCAAAGATGTCAGCGCTGAATATATTATTTTGGAGAACCTGCAAACTGGCGCCTTTAAGATGTGCGATCGCATGAAGGGGATGGACTTGGAACACACCAAGTGCACATTAAAGAAATTGGCTCAATGGCATGCAGCATCTCTAAAATATAAGGAACTCAAAGGACCCTACCCGCCTAAATACAACAATGGTATGTTCACAGAGCAAACTGCCTGTGTTTTCAAACCTATGTTTGCTCAATCGCAAAAAGCCTTTTTGGAAATAGTGTCCAAGTTTGGAGGCGTCGAGGAGTATCTTCACAAATTGGTAACATTTCATAATATATTATTTTGTACTTTAGTAACTAACACGTTTTTTGCAGCCAGCTATTTTTGAGTCCCATATTGACAAAATAATCGAAGACGCCAAAATCAATGAGAAAGAGTTCAATGTTCTTAATCATGGCGATGCTTGGATAAACAACATCATGTTCCAATACGACTCAGAGGGTCATGTCAAGGAAACCCTCCTTATAGATCACCAAGTCACTAAATACGGAAATCCAGCGCAGGATCTGTACTACTTCTTAATGAGTTCCACTCAGCTGGACATAAAAGTCGACCAGTTTGACTATCTTATTCGATGGTACCATCAAAACTTAGAAGAGCATGCCAAATTGTTAAAGTACAATGGATTTGTTCCCTCTCTAAAGGAACTGCACATAATTTTGCTAGAGCACCCTATTTATGGTAAGTTACACAACAATTTGTAAATCTCTTTATGAAACCTTATTGATTCATCGTTTGATTCTAATTTAGCTGCTGGAACTGTATTTAGCACCTTAACGATTTGCCTAAACAAGGCAGATGATAATTTCTCCACAGACGGCCTTTTTAAGGATGGTAAGGAAGGAGATACTATGAGATCGGAGCTTTTTGGCAACGAACGTTACAGAGCCAACATAGAGCGCGTTATGCCTTGGATAAATAGACGCGGATTACTTGACGCCTTTGCCGCTGAAAAAGCCTTATAAATACTTTTAAACCGGACTGAAGCAATAAAATAACATTTATAAATCAGCAGTACATAGGAAATTGTTACTGTTTTAACAAACGACTAAATAAATGTGTGATCACAATTTTAACCTATCAGAGGGAGGTAAAGCTAACATTAATCTTTTCGCAACTTGTCTTACTTAAGGGCGAACTTAACGGCCAAAACAATACTAGAAACGAAAATCACAGCTAAAGCCAGCTTCCTAAGATTGGCACGATTTACGCCCTTGATTGTCCGCACTACTTCTATATTGAAGCGGAATACGTTGCGACTCTCTTCGATGAAAGCAGCACGCAGATCATCGTCAAAAGCTCCATAATGATTGTTAAAAACACGCCTGAGCTTGGCCTTCAGTACAGAGATCTAAAAAGAATGTTGTCAATTGTTATTAGGTTTTAAAAAATTTTAAACGGCAATTCACCTCACTTGATTGAAAAATACATACCTTTTCGGGAAAATATGTTGCCTCGCAGCCAGGGGGACAAATGGTGACTTGGGCGGGCATTGGCCTTGCCTCCAAGTCGTCTTTGTTCAAAGAAGCATCGGCAGCCCTGGCGGTCGCCACGTCGGCCTCCTTGTCAGCCTGTTTCTGTTGCTCCTCATCATCGCTCTTGGAAAATATCCAGAGCTTGCGTGCGATCATTCGCTTCTTCTGCAACATTTGTCCGCCGGACATTAGGGCCATGTACATCTGGTAGGAGTAGGCAAAGAGCAGCAGCTCATTCTGGGCGGCAATCTTCTCGAGGTGCTCCAGATACTTCTTGACCGCCGGTCGTGGTTCGTAGGAATCCCTCCAATTCGACCCGTAAAAGTAGTCGAAATCCCTCTCGAACGCTGCTGTTCTATAGAATTCCTTGGGCAGCAGACGTTCCGGCAAATGGGTCTCGAAGAATTTATACAGCTCATAGAAAGCCAAAAGCCCGTCGTACCACACCTCGTCATCCGAAAGGGCTATGAAAATAAGGAAACATTCAGTAAGAAATATTTGTAGGACATAGGTCAACCTACCAAGAGCGAACTTTGCGTTAACCAGTACATCTGTTAGATTATGCACATCTTTTGTGGCTTTACGCAACTCCTTTGTGAACGCCATGTCCACGAATTCCACATCCTCCACATTCTCGGAAGCCGGAGCCGGAGCCGGAGCCTGGGTTTCCACTGTTGTTTCCATTTTGGTTTTGCGCAGTAGTTCTACAATTAATAAGTAAAATCTATACCTTATCTACGTGATATTTGCAAAATAATACGCCGTCTTTGTTTTGAACTCCAGTTTGGTGTGACCGATTTACGAAAATATACTAAATATGCAAAACACAAAACCATAAATATACCAAACCGGAGTAGTTGCGGTTGGTGATTTCACTGATTTCCACAGCTGGTATTACTGTTTGATTTGGGCTGTAGCTGCTTATTTTTATTTTGTTTAGTAAATTAAGAAAAACTTAAGTATAAGAGAACAGTGTTTAAACCGCAATAATTGTAAGTGTCGTTTGGTTTAAGAGCAACGGTTTTAGCAACCTGGAATGGCGGCAATCCTGCATTTTAGTTTACACGAAAAACGCCTAACACTTGAGCCTACACATGAAATTAACAACTATTCTTTTACTTTCATTTCGCTTGCAATTAAACACACACCCACACACAGGGAAAACAGGGCGGCACACCACAAAAACAACAAGTACAATAACGCTTTCGGCCTTGGTTCTGCACTCTTAATCCTTCCAACCCACCCACCATTCTCTTCAACCCACACCTACCCTGCCCTGCACCCATTACCCACTTGATTTGACTCTGAAGAAAAACCCAAAAGAAATGTCGGATCTCTTTACCACTTTCGATAGCAACGGCGACGCCGAGCACCACCCGCACCACCACAACTCCACATCGTCCGGCAGCGGACACCACCACGACCCACCCATGGCCTCGCCCTCCCAGCACAGTCCGATGACCAACAACAGCAACTCCTCCTCGCAAAACGGCGGTCCGGCTTCCGGTTTGGCCACGGGCATGGGCACCCCATCTGGTGGTAGCAAGACTTCCAATCACACAGCATCCGGCGCCGGCTCCGAGAACACACCCGTAAGCTGCGTGGTCTTTGGGATTACTTCCGGAATACCCCTAATCCCAAATATCTGTGTACCCCTTTCAGATGCTCACCAAGCCGCGTCTTACGGAGCTCGTGCGGGAGGTGGACACCACCACGCAGCTGGATGAAGATGTCGAGGAGCTCCTTCTCCAGATAATCGACGACTTTGTCGAGGACACAGTGAAGTCGACTAGCGCCTTTGCCAAGCACCGGAAGTCCAACAAGATTGAAGTGCGCGACGTCCAGCTGCACTTCGAGCGCAAATACAACATGTGGATACCCGGCTTCGGGACGGACGAACTGCGTCCCTACAAACGGGCAGCCGTTACGGAAGCGCACAAACAGCGCCTGGCCCTTATCCGAAAGACGATCAAAAAGTACTAGGATCGCAGGAAGGAGGATCGGATCGAGGCTTAGTGTCGGTTTGCCGGATTGGAATTCGTGTACGGTACCCCGCACATGCCACAAACTAATTTAAGCTTCAAAGTAGACTAAAGAACAAATTTACCCCGTTCTATCGTAGATGTAAAGGAATAAAAGTACACAGATTATTTAACATTAAAAGTTTTGGTGCCGTTAGCAGCAATTGTAAAACTGTGATTTCTAACAAATCACCATTTTAACAGATAATACACGGACTTATAATAGTAGTGTATTAAATTTGTTTATTTTCCGAATATTACGAAATAAAAGCAAAAGTTTAAATCGGCTTTTCAGTTAAAAGGCCCAATCATATATCAGAGAATGTTTCGCGGTTTCAAATTTAACTAGAAATCTAATAGATAACTCTTAAATACTACTTTTAAGTTCGTTGCAACTTATCGTGTAATTGTATTAGTAATCAATAAGTATTAAAAACTAATACAGTAATTATTTTTAATTAACTTGTTATTTGATCTAATTTTTGTTGTGATATATAATTCCGTGACTGTTGCAAAATGCACCCATATTCCAGTATTTTTAAGCCACTCGGTATTTTTCTGCAATTGTGAAATCTGCATTTTTTTATTCAGCACCTTAAGGTCATACTATCAATAATGTTGATTTTCTGATTGTTGATTTGAAGATACTTAAAAAGGCTTTTAGTTGGCCAACATTTAAGCCCTCGCCATGAAGCTGCCGGTGATTTGTCGCACCTGCGACTCTACGGACACCGACAACCTTCTGAAGCTGGCCACGCCCTCGAAAAAGTATCCGGACAAGCTGCTCTCGGAAATCCTGTGCGAGCTGACCGAAATCAATGTAAACAAAGCTGGGATAATTAGTTAAATAGCTGGCCCGAAAATGTTTCATTACTTTCAGATGGATGCCACCGGAAGCCAAAAACTTCCACAGTGTTTGTGCAGTGGCTGCACCAAGAAATTGATGGGTGCATATTGCTATGTGAAGCAGGCGCTGGCCGCCAATGAGTTGCTAATGAAGCATCTAAAAAATGGGGCTGCTCCAACGGCCACCGATTGCCTGCAGGAGACGCCAATGGAGTTATGTGCCGAGCAGCATGTGGAGGTCAAGATAGAGACCGAGGATGAGGACCGTGGTGACAACGATGTCAGCATTACTTGCTCCGAACTCCCGGAACCGGACGATATGGATGTAGAGAGCAAGAAGTCCGTGGATCCTCTGACAATGATTGAGACGGTGAAGCTGGAAACGGGACTGCCAAGCATTGAAAAACCAACGGATGACGCTTCGGACTTCGAAGACGAAGAGTGGGTAACGAATAGATAACTCCCAGTTGCATTAACTTAATCACCAACCTTTGCAGCTCCCTGGATAACCTGCCTCTGTATAAGCGCATTCAAAAGTGGAAGATAAGTAGAAAGCCTATATTCAAATGCCAGGACTGCCCGAGAAGTTTCAAGCGAGTCGAGTTCCTTAAAAGGCATGAAAAGCGCGTCCATAACGAGGAAACACGCTCTTTTGCATGCTCCCTGTGCATTCGCAAGTTTAGCCGCAGCGAAGCCCTTGAGGCGCATCTGAAAGTCCACCGAAACTCCAAGCGATCGGCAAACATAAGCGAACATAAGAAGGCGAAGGCGGTGGATTTGAATCTCTGCAAGCCGCACGGATACAAACTAATCGAGTGCATGATCTGCCAGAGCCAGTACAACAAGATTGCCGATCTGCGGCGACATTTAGAGGAGCATCCCGAGATAGTCAGCCTGTGCGGTCGGCCAAATGTGGAGCCACAAGAGCTTTTTTATCCAGACTCTAAGGACCTTGGAGAGGAGCAGTTAATCAGCTTGATTCGAAAGGATCTGGCGGCGGGCATTTATCAGCGTTTCTATTCCATAACCAACCAGAGTGGCTACGAAATGGACCTGGATAGTTCCGAGACGGACAGTGATCTGGACGGAGATCCCGAGGATCAACAAAAAAGGCGAAAGAAAAGCCGTAAAAGCAGCTACAGCTGCGAACTATGCCAGCAGAAATTCCCGCGAAAATATCAGTTATATGACCACCAGCGACAGACCCATAGTTGGTCAGAGGCTCCTCATGTCTGCGGGCGGTGTGATGGACGCTTCGTGAGTCTGCAGCTACTGCGGCATCACAATGAGTCACAGTGCAGGAATGCGCAGAAGCGGTTTCTTTGCCACAAATGTCCGCTTCGCTTTCGATGGAAACACAACCTTAAAACACATTTCCGCGAACATAGGATTACAGTAAGTTCTTGTACGAAAAATAACAAACTGCAAACACATTATTAAAATGCATTTTACAGAATCAAACCTTTGAGTGTCCCGATTGCAAACGGGTCTTTGACAAAAAGAAATCGCTTACTGTTCACCTGCTCAGCGTACATGCAGAGGAATCGAAACTAATCCCTTGCCAGTGGTGCAGTCGCAAGTTCTACCGACACGACTACCTGGTAAAGCACCTGAAGCGGCACGGCCTTAGGGAGCAAGACATTCCGCTGGCCGAGACTTTGATAGCGGCCACCTCGCGGCCAAACGGAGCGAAGCGCATCACCTGCCGCATGTGCAACCTGCACTTTGAACGCATCGTGGATCTGAGGGCCCACATCCAGCTTGAGTTAAAGCTATCTTTGTCTCTGCACCAGAGCTACGACTCCCTACACAATTACTCGATTACAAACGAGTCTGGGTTCGAGCTGCAGCTGGAGGATTCGGAGACGGAGGACGAGATGCAGCCGGGCGGTGGAAGTCGTCCCGTTTATATTTGCGAGCTGTGTAGCGTGCAGTGCAAGCGGAAATTTGAAATGATCCAGCATCAGCGGACAATGCACCGCTTCGACAAAATGCCACATGAATGCGATGACTGCATTTTCAAGTGTGTGTCCAAGGTGTGTAGAAGTGAAGAATAATGTATCTTCAATATAACTATGTGTTGGTAACTTTTCAGAGTATCATGGATCATCACCGGCAGGGTCAATGCAGCAGTACAGAAAAAAAGCATCCTTGCAACAAGTGCTCCTACAAATTCATGTGGCCAGAGAATCTGGAACAGCACATTCTCCTGCAGCACAACGACTCGTCCGCCAGCAATCTGACTGGAATCAGGAGGTCGACTGGTACGGGTGACCTGGAAAAAGATGCCGCCGAGGATGGGGTCCCATTGCTGCAGTGTCCACACTGCGATCGCACCTACCAGATGAAGTCGCGTCTGAACAACCACATCCGTGATGTTCATGTTAACGGTGACCGCAAGCGCAAGGAGGCAGTCAAGCGTTTTCTCTGCTCCCTTTGCGGCATGGAGACCCAATCCGCTGCGGCACTGGTAACCCATATGCGGCGCCACACAGGCGAGAAGCCGTACAAGTGCGATCTGTGCGAGATGGCTTTTCCCCGGCACTCGGAGCTGGCCTCGCACCGAAGAATGCACACTGGCGAAAAGCCATTCCACTGCACCGTCTGCGGCAAGGACTTTGCCCGCTCCGACAAGCTCAAACGACATATGCTCACCCACAGCGGCCTAAAACCGCACAAATGCACCTACTGCGAGAAGAGCTACCGCCAGGCCAAGGATCTGAAACTCCACCTGCAGCAGCACACCGGCGAATGTCCATTCGTGTGCGGCACCTGTGGCGAGCGTTTCATCCAAAGCAGTACGCTGGAGAAGCACAGGCTGATGCGACGCCACTTCGACGAGGTGGAGGCGTGGTTGAGGCGCCAAAAATAGGGGGCTTTTGCAATAAATCAAGTTTTGCCGAGTACAAAAGAATGGCGTTCTTTATTATATAGGTCTAAGAGTGGCATTTAGAAAAACTAGAATATAAATAAATTGAAGTACAAATTGAGATTTTAATATTGTTTCACCACAAAGAAAAAAACATGTTTCGAAGAATATTTGTTTTAAATTATAATGAGGGTATGTTTAATTTAACGTTGAAAAAAATATTTTAATTCTCCGAGAATGCACTCTATGAATTTGATTGTAAGTAAACTTTCGATTTAGCATAATTGAGTTATTCTAGAGTTCTTCAGATCCTGAACGTTCGATTTTTACCAACTCTACATCGAAGATAAGCACCGCATTGGGGGGAATCTTTCCGCCGCCCGCTCCACTTGCTCCGTAGCCCAGTTCCGGGGGAATCGTAAGCTTCCGCTGTTCTCCCTCGCACATTCCCAGGAGTCCCTGATCCCAGCCCTTTATGACCTGACGGGCGCCCAGTGTGAAGGAAAAGGGAGTGCCGCGAGAATAGCTGCTGTCGAATTCTGTCCCATCCTGCAGCGAACCCTACAAGGTTTCCAAATTCGGGGTTAAGTTTGCCGGCCGGCAAAAAACAAAAGTTCCCTTACTTTATAATGGACATGGACCAGGTCACCGCTTTTGGCCTTCCGGGTGCAGTTCTCCACGCGCTTCTTGATGCCGATCTTCACCTTAGGCTCGCTGGCCACAGAGGCGGCCACAAAAGCGCAGATTAGAAAAAAGTAAGTCAATTTCATCTTATCGCAAGAAAACACCAACAAAATCTGAAGTGGCGCAGTGAGACCACATTAAGAACTTTGAAGAAAGACGCTTTCATTGGGGCTATCATTATAAACCAACAAGGAAGGCCACACTAAAATTCGCATTAAAAGTCCGCCAAAATTTAAAAGTTCGAACACCACTGCTAAACAAATTGTTTCTTGTAATTCACAATAATATGAGTACAGAACAGCTTGGTGTATACTTACAAATAACTTACGTACATTAAAGCTTGTTTAAAATAGATACATACATAGTTTGATTACATATTTGACTTTCTTAAAATACGGAGAGCTCCAAATATTTCGCATTCGTTCCGGATAGTATGGCACCCGGAATTCGAACGACAGTGCAAAAACAAAAATTGACATTATAAATATGCAACAGATTATCAGGAGATATAAGAATGTACGATTATATCACAATAATAAAGGAATACATACATTTTAAATGATATTTAAAGCCCGACAAATAATGACGCTCAATAAATCAGGTGCCAACATTCAAGCATAATACTAAGTTACACTAATATTTTGTATAAAACATAGCTATTATTTTTACTTAGGGTCCCACGAATCAGTGCTGGAAAGGTGAACTCGAACGCAAATTCGGTTTCTACTCGATGGGCGCCTCCCACGGAGAGGAGACTTTTAGTTGTCGTTGGACAGATTTGTGATCTTGGCCGCATACATGCTGGCCACCTTGTAGATAAATTCATACTGCTCCTTCGTCTGCACGGCACTGGCCCTTCCCCGCCGCACGTAGTAGACCAGCTGTGGGATGTCCACGGACCGTTTCGGGGTCTCCAGACTGCGGATGGCCATGTCCGACGCGATAATGGTACCGGTTCGTCCCGTGCCTGGAGAACAGTGAACGGTTAGCGGTCTAGAGGGGGAAACAAAGAAGGGAAGACACAAAACATTAAAAAGCCATGCAAGACACATCTGCATTGTTAACAATAAAGTAGGTACGAATATATTTGATACAAGGTTTTTTTCAAGATTGAATCACAAAATCGAACATAAAATAAATATTTAATAATACTAACGCTGAACTCTTCAAAAATATTATTAAACGGTATAGGGAAAATGTCAGAAATAATTTGATTTCAATGGTTGATTTCAATGATTCTAATCGGATATAAATATATATTTGCCAATTACAAATTAAACCCGGATTACATTTTTTTATCAAAGAAGTGTTTGTTTGCTTACCCCTGCTGGTTTCGAGCACCGCTCCGGCTGGAAATGTTTCCGTTAATCTCGTTGCTGGACGTGCTGCCCGCCTCGGCCTTGCTCCCGTCCGCATCCATCGAGGTCTCCAGCGTCGCGGACTTCTCGCGCAACTCGTTGGCCTGCTCCAGGCAGTAGGTCTTGAGCGAGGAGCGCGCCTCCAGGAGCATGGCGATGATGGGGGCCTCCTCAGCCGGAACACCCGCCTCCGGCCACTTGTACCAGTAGTGGGTGAGCTCGCGGCTCTCCTCGCCGTCCACTCGCTTAAGGACCAGTGTGGAGATGGCGTACCGGTCCTTCACCTCGCGGTGCTTCAGGGTCACCTGGTAATCGCCGTAGCTGCTGTGATTATCCAGTGTCGCCGAGGGTGGCAGGTACTCGGCGCACTTCTCGATTCCATTCTCGCTGAGATCCGTCGCCTGTATAATAACCCGCGACTGCTGCTCCCAGATCATGCGCCAGAAATCGCTGGTCGTGCTCTCCAGCGGCGCCTGGCAGGCTATGTAGTAATTGGGTGCATCTCGGGGGCCCTGAATAAAGTAATAAAGAAATATGTATGTAAATCTATTTGTAAACTTTTATTTTTATTTTTTAAGAATGATATTTGGTGGCAAATACTTGTTATTTGAATTTGATATCAAAGGCCGTGCTCTTTTTAGCTACATAGAGGGCAGTACAAATAAACGGAATAGAATCGCTTGAGTTATGACATAACCATTAATTAAACTTGTTGCGGCTTAATTCTCCCTCTGCCCACACAATGACTGGCGATGAGCTTCGCGCGCCTCTCAGATAAACGACCATAAAATCGCACAACAGACTTCTGCTGCTTAAATCTCGACATGCTCAGGTTATCGCCAGGTGCAATGCCGATGAACGCTCGAAATGTTTCGCTTCAATACACCGCATTGCATCGTCCACGTCACGCTTCAATGCAATTGTTTTAAGTGCGTTTTAGTAAACAAGTAGAAAACATACAACTTGACGGACAAATGTCCTGTACACAAAAAACAATCAGACTATCCACTTATTATGCTTTAATTTACTTTACATTTTATAAAAACCGAACAAGAATTACTTTAGCTAGTGCAAGGAATCAGAAACTGAATGTTATCTCATTTTAAAAATTCTTTAAGCAGAAAGATAAACATTCACAAGTTCTGACAATATTTAGATTATATACAATCTTTGCTATCATTAAGACACTGTATTGTATCGGACTTAGATAATTAAAGTACATCGTACTTGAATGATTTTATAATGCGAAAAACAAGCACTTGGCTATATAAAACATTAAGACGTGGCGGTTTGTATTATCTTTCAAAAAAATTGAGAAGTTTGATCAAACATGTATTTAAGCCAATAGGCATATTACGATTTTGCCTGGATCTGCCAAATTTAAAAGTAGCCTTTATTTTTCACATCTTTCTTCATATAGTACATAATGAATGCAATATACTTAATTGTTTTCTGAGTGATTTCGGGTGGATAGAGCGTGGCGGCGGATCGTGATGTAAGGGCATTCACACTTCGATGATCTTGGCAGACACTTTCCCTTGGCGCAATTATTATTTGCTGTTTTTCGCAGAGGCCCATTTGCTTGCATGGATTTGGGCAACAAAGACGGCGAGCCTATTTCACAGTCATGGCCAACTGAGGTGCAGGTGAGTCTCATCGGGCGTATAATTATTCGGGCGCCATATTTAATGGCCCTCGAGGAGGCCCCGAAGATTCCAGTTAGGGCAGGGCGTCATGCAAGGCTCGCCACATATGTACATATGTTAACCGCTCCAAGAAGCCTCAGCCCAACATCACCACTACTTCACACAACAAACACCCACTAAATTTGTGTGAGAAAGCGCCTCCAATTGTTTGTCTAGCTTTGGATGAGCTGATCTGCCACCCACTTGGGAGACTCTGCCTCGATTACTTACCCGCACATAATTGGCATTAATGTATTCCGTTTTGTCATCGTCGCCTTGCCGCTGGAGCACCACCCGCGTCTCAGGAAGCGGAATCACGTTGGCGTAGCTGCGGTTCGCGGTTCGCAGTTCCAGTTCGAGGTCGAGACGTTGAGTCACCATCGTCAGCGGTGTTGTTATTGGTTCGGGAAAAAAGCAGGAAGAGATGTGCCAGAGATCAGTATTGTAATTGATTCGACAATTAAATGTGAACTCGTGCCGAGAAAGTGAACCCTTAATTACAGTAGATACTGACTAACTAACAATTTGTGTTGCCAAAAATGTCTTTATTATAAGATAAAAAAACTTTATATATGGTTTAATTTTACGTTAAATATATTGTAAAAAAAAAAAATGTTTTTTGCAATACAGCTTCTAAATAAAGACTTTAGTAATTTTATTTTGGTATATGTTGCAAGAAAACATTACAAATGTACCATTGAACTAGACCTAATCTAATCAAATCACGTTCATGTTATCAAATCACATAGATTTCATAATTGTGACCCAGCCCTTTAATGAATGAAGCACACCTGAACAAAACCAATGGTTTTTTACAAATACCACTGATATTTACAGTATTCACTCTTTGAAAAATGAGTTAAGGATTGCACTTACCGGTTCTTGTCCTCACAGCCAGGCGGAACCTCGTCCGCTCTGGCGATGATTTGTGGCACGTCCCGGAACTCCTCGAACACTTCGGAGCGCTTTTCCACGAAGCGGGCCAGTTCGCCGGCGGTCAGCAGGTTGTGCCGGAGCGAGGGATCATCGAAGGCGGCATTGCCGTAGGTCCGCTTGGAGGCCCTCACATCGCGACCCTTTCGCCTAACGCTGCCCAGCACTGAGACATTGTCCAAGGAGTAGGCATCCAAGCTCACCGGACGACACCTTTGGCCATAGGACATCTGCTTCTGACGCTTGCGCATCAAATAGAGGAACGCCACCAGCAGGATGAGGGCCACCACCCCGATCACACTGACGGTGATGGCTATGATCACGTTGACATCCGTGCCATTACCATGGGCATTGGTCTGCATGTGATCCAGTTCGTTGGGATAGGGGACCATGAAGTTGGGTGGCATTTGGGGTGATTGGGTGGTGGTTGTGGTGGTCTCTGGTAGCATGATGCTGCTGGTGGTGCTGCCCACCGTGGAGGATTCAACATATTCCTCCGTGGGTGGTGCAGCTGTTGTTGTTGTCGTAGTTGTGGTGCTTGATGTGCTGCTGTCGTCCAGCAGACTTATCACCACCGGTTGCATTGTTGTGATAGTAGAGGGTGTCTCTGTTGTGCTTGTTGTTGTTGTTGTTGTTGTAGTACTGGTTGTTGTCGATGTCACCGCCATCGTTGTTTCGGCTAACTGCTGCTCTGTGTCCTGCTCTTCGACCACCTGTTGCCCCTCATGATGGAGCGACTCCTTTTCGATTTCCTGGCCACCTGTTGCCGCTGTGCTCCTATCCGTTGCAACAGCAACAGCAACAGCAGCTGCCGCTGAAGTCGTCGTCGATTCGGGTGGCGCCTCGCCTATGTTGTTGGTCTCCAGCGAGGACTCGTGTTCTTTGCTCAGTTTACTCAGGTCACTGAGCAGACTGCTGGTTGTCGTCGTTGAAGGGGTGGTTTCCACTGCTGTTGACAAAGCCCCCAGCTCGCTTTCTGTTATGGCCACACTGTTATTGACCGCGCTATCGGTTTTCTCAGCTGTTCTTAGCTCATTGGCATTGCTTAAACTGTCGCGCGTCTTCACTGTCACTGCCTCCAAATTCACTTCATTGCTAATTTGCGCAATTTCCGTTTGCGTGGGTGTTGCTACAGTCGTCGTCGATGTACTTGTACTCGCGATTATACTGTCCCGCGTACTTGTAACGATGATTTCTGGCCGAATCGAAGTGCTCACCTCGCCAGCCACTCGCACACTAACCGATGTTGCTGTTGGCTCGTCGGTTGCTGTTGCTGTTGCTGGCGGGCCGCTCTCTGGATTTTTGGTTGTGGCAACGATGACGTCGTTACTGTTATTATCCATGTCGTCGTCGTTGCTGTTGCCGTTGATGTTGCTGATTTCAGCCGCTTTCATTGCCAGTTCAGTTGTACTAGGGGTGGTTACTACATTCGGAGCTCTTACAGTTGGTGTTGCTGATGGTGCTGCAGCTACGATTGGTGTTGCTGTCGTTCCTTCAGTTGTTGATGATGTTTCTGCAAAAATAGTTGCTTGTGTAGTTTGATCTGTATGATCGACAGATACTGATGTTGTCGTTGATGATACTGCTGCTTCTGTGGTTGTATTTGATATTGCTGCTGTTGTTGCTTCTTCCAAGTCTATTTCAGAAGAAACATGTTGAACAGATAATGGTTCTTCTGTTGCAGTGCTTGTAATTGTTGTTGTTGATAAAGTTAAATTCGTCTTAGGTATTTCTCTTGACTCCTCTGCAACTGCTGTTACATTTACCCTAGCTGTAACTGCCGATGTCGCATGTTGCTCTGGTAATGTGACTGATGTTGCATCCTCTGTTGCTGCTTCTGCCTCCATTTGAGCCTCTGTTATCGCCTCGGTCAACTTGGCATTAGCTGCCCCCGCCATTTTTTTGACTATTGGAACATCCAAAAGCTCCGTACGAACAGTTGTAGTTGTTACATTCTGATCGCCAGAACTAAAATCTGATGTTGCAGGTATTATCCTTGCAGTTGTGACTTCATTTCGCTCTAATCCTGCGATAAATTCACTTTTTAAAGGACTTTCCTCTGCCAAAGGTTCAGTGGTGGCCTGTGTTGCCCCCTTGTGGCATCCAATGTGGTTCTGACCACAAATTCGGTGCGGTTTTCCGGTGTCGATTGCATCATAGCTATCTGCTGCCAATCCAGGAGATTCTTCTCCTTGTGTTGCTCTGTTTTATTAAGAGGAATATCTATATCGTTTGCAAGATCAGTGTGGTTGAAGAGTGGCAAGACAGTGGTGGTTGTAAGCGGTGCCTTGGGTACCGCCTTCATACCCGCCAAACTCCAAACTTCAGCTGTGTTGGGCAAAGTTAGTTGCTGGGCATTTGTCGAGTTTTCGCTAATAAACTTGGCTCGCTTCTCCGGCAATTGACGAACCTCTGATTGCGACGTAGACTCCTCGATGTCATTCTCATTGGATGCAAAGGGAGTTGGCGTGGTTGTTGACGGAGTTGTGGTTGAAGTGGTGCTGACCGTTGTTGAGGTCATAGGTAAAGCCCTTAGTTTCATGGGTGTCACTGCTGCTGGGAATCGTATCGAATCTTCAGTGGTTGATGAATATTGCATGGATCGGCCATGATCGGAGGAACGAGTGGTGGTGGTATTAACCGATCTTTCGGTGGAACTCAAAACTTCTAGAACTAAAGGGAGTTTCTGGGTGCTGCTTTTCGAACTTTCGGTTGCCACATTCTCTGCGGTATTCTCCTTAAATTCCGACTGAGCTTGTGGTTCAACTCTTGGAAGTTCTTCCTTTATTTCCACTTCCCTTATCTCGTGTTTTTCACTTGGCAAATCATGTTCAGTGGCTTTGCTTGAAATGTCTTCCCTTGCAGGTGCTGCCGTAGTTACATTATCCGTCAGATTGGTTGAGTTTTTTCCCAGCTCAATCGATGTTGTGATGCTAGAATCTTTTTTAACATTAGCAGCAGAAATTTCCTCATTCTTAACGTCATTTACGAAATCCGATTGAGCTTCTGCCCTTAACTGAGATTCTGTGGCGTCAACCTCTTTCAATTTGAGTGGCTCTTTTCCCATAATACTCTCGGTACTGCTTGATTCATTTTGAATTAAAGCCGCAGTGGTTTCCTCTACTTTTAGCTTACTTTTTAGGTTTTCCGTTGTGGCTTCAGTTTGATCCTCAGCCTTTATTCCTTCCTCCAGATCTTTAAGCACGTTTTGTGTACTAACCATTTCTGACTCTCCCTTTATTTCAGTCGGTTCCGTGTCGCTCCCACTTTCCCTGGCCGTCGCAACAATGTCAGGGTTAGGGGAACTGGAAGCCACCGCCTGCTCCAAGCCGGTGGTTTCTCTTTTCGCAATGAAACGTGCCTGCGTTAACATTGCGGCCAGGGCGAGCATAAAGCCACCACTAAGCCACCCAGCCACACGCATCGTATGTCTCTCCCTCTCGTTCTTCTGCTGTATATCTCTCTTTCTTTCTGTTGGGGCGCCTCTGTGGGTCAAGTCGATTCCACGTTCGACAGGGCCTTAAAATCGCAGTTACACTTTGTGTATGTTTCCACTTTTGAGCTTGAGTTATTGCTGTTCTTTTTTCGCTTGTTTTTATACCCGTTACTCGTAGAGTAAAAGGGTATATTGTATTCGTGCAAAAGTATGTAACAGCTAGAAGGAAGCGTTTCCGACCCTATAAAGTATATATATTCTTGATCAGGATCACTAGCCGAGTCGATCTAGCCATGTCCGTCTGTCCGTCTGTCCGTCTGTCTGTCCGTCTGTCTGTCTGTCTGTCTGTCTGTCTGTCTGTCTGTCTGTCCGTATGAACGCTGAGATCTCGGAAACTATAAAAGCTAGAAGATTGGCATTTTGCATGTAGATTTTAGAAGTTCCTACGCAGCGCAAGTTTGTTTCAAAATGGTGCCACGCCCCCTTTTACGCCCACAATCGCTTATATACGATTTTAAAAATTTTAATATTTCGGAAAAGTAAAAATGCAGTTTTATTGTGTTTATCAATACCTATCGAAACGTAGAAGAAATTTTTCAAATCGGACCATTCGTTAAAAAGTTATGCGTGATCAAAGTTTCTATCTCCATCTCCCTCGCACTCCCTTTACCTGAGTAACGGGTATCTGATAGTCGGGGCACCCGACTATAGCGTTCTCTCTTGTTTCATTTTCATTTTCAGCAATCTGCAACGATTTATTCCATTTTTTATATTTCACAGAGTTTCGCTGACATTTTTAATAGGAAAAACACCTGGAAGAGAAGGGAATACAAATTAGTTAGCTAGTTAAATTTATTGTTAAATGAAATTCTATGGATACGAGTTCCCCTTAAATGGTCTGACATTTTTGGAAGGCAGTACGCTAAAATATTCCGTGGAAAGTGAGTAGCAATTTCCCTTTCTATAAGTGGGACTCTCCATAAAGGTAATTAATGTCATTAAGACACGTTCCGCATTCGCCTTAATACAATGTGTTGGACTCACAAGTTCAAGGCCAAGTGGCTTGTTTGGGTGAATCAAATATAGCTCAGTTATTAGTTACAAATTGTCGAATCTCTCATAGTCGAATACCCAGTAATTAAATATTAACAAAAAAATATATACCAAGCTCCCAAACCTTTATATATTTTTAAAAACTTTATTGGTATATGTACTAAACTTTGTTTCTCAAGTTCAGTTTGTCATTTTCCCATAATAAATAATGTCAAGGAAGTCTGATGGGTTCATTGTACCAAGTGGCCAAAAATAGTTCACATCAAAGTGTTTACCATCTCCATCTCCACCCACAGCTAAAGAGCCAACTCTGTGTTGCGAACCATTCATATAAGCCCAATCGATGTCATGGAACGAAGTGCATAAAGTTCATTCAACCACGGCCTCCACGAACGAACCCATCAAAAGTTGCTCTGGGAGTTGAAGTATTCAAGCCGAACTGCAAACAGAGCCACCCAATAATAACTATGGAGCGGATATACAAAAACATTCAGAGAGGGTGCGAGTTTACCGACTTCATTCACCATGGTTATCGTCCGCTTGTTATCTGGCGATCCGAGCGATGTCATGTCAATAGTGCATGCAACCACCTCAAGGTGGAAAGAAAAACCCCTGTTCCCCTTTTTCAGCCCCCCGGGACGTAAGCCTACCCCCATGTCAGCAATTAGCACTAAAAGCCCCAGTTCGGTGGTTGCCTGTCATTAATGACGTTACCCTTATGGTGGTGCGATATTCAGGTGTGGCGCCACCCTCTCATATCCCCATTTAGAAAGGGGCTTCAACCCAGAGGGTTACCCTCTTGAATAGTGCTACTTTCTCGTTAAAATACTTGAAATTCCACACTTTGTTTTAGAACTACAGCTTCGCACTTCTATTCAGCTGCTTTTTTTTGCCATGCGCCTGCTGACTAATACCGCTAAAAAAATATATATATTTATTTATATGCCCATGTGTGCCTACAGATAAGATTTGCTTGAGACCGACGGGTAGAAAATCACAGCGAGGTATTTTGTAATTTTTTTATATTTTTGAATGTCAACGTTGCTGCTGATAAAAAGGCAGCAGCAAAGGTAAACAGCCATCGGTGATGTTACTGGCCCTGGAGGCCAATTGCAAAAGGGCATAATTATAGCCACTGATAGGGGCAATGCAATATTGACTTTTAAAAACAAAGACAAAATATGAACATATCTGTTTTACAGATATATATATCTGTAAAAGTACAATATTTGTACTTTAGAACGCTATTTCTAGAAACATGATTGCTTTATTTTTAATATTTTGACTGCCCTTTAGTTCGGTTTAAATATTTAAATGATCTACGTATTCCCAAATACATACAAAATCAATTTGTAAATTATCTACATCAGCTCTACAATGTACAAAAGCCCACAAGTATGCAATGTTATTCTTTCGTATTTAGTACCAAAACCGTCCACGCATTGCACAATAGCGCATCGGCTTACGATCAATCTTAAGAAAGTTAAACTGTTGCAATAATCGACGAGAACCGACCAAAGATAAAACATTCTATTGATATAGTGAACCACAGCCGAGGGCAAGGGAGTGACAGGAAGGCAGAGCCCGCAATTTGAACCCTCCACTTAACCCAAATGAAACCAAACATGGATCGGGTCTGGGCTGGAAACGTGACGCGATCGGGGATCAAGTGCACCATGGCATTGGCCGTGAACACAGGGGGATACGGGGAACTGGGGAGCTGAGGAGCAAGTGCATGTACGAGATGTAAACAGAAATCAGCATTAGAGAAACGAGATCGCTGGGGAGTCGACTCATTTCCGCTTCAGCAGCACGCACTGAGGATGAACGAATGGCTCAGAATTCTCCGACTTGGGATCTCAATTCAACTCCAATTTTAACTCCAAACTGAAAATCCAGCGATAACGATCGGTTTGAGGATGATCGCGAGAGAATGCTAAACCCGTTTTTGCGGACCAATAAAGCCGCTTCGATTTCGATTTGCAATTATGATTTCACTTGCATTGCGATCACGATGGATGTGGAGAATGGCTGGGGATCGCTTGGTATCTTAATGATCTCGGTAGTTTTAGTTGTTATTGTGGCTTGTGATAATGACAGCTATCTGGGTAGTCATGACTTGATCTGCGCTGGTGATTGATGGGCAGAATCTTTGAGCGATTAAACTACTTGGGATCGGATCGGTGGCATAAAGAAGAGAGGTTGCTAGGAATTTTCCCAAGTTCAGTTCTTATCCCCACCATTAGCCAAAATTTGATTAATCCAAATGTTTAAGATTTGGGGATCGTTAGATTTTTTTTAATTTGCTAATAATTGTGAAATACATTTAAAGCACTTTCAAAAAATATTAAAATAAATTTATATTTGTTTTATTTATTTTTTAAAATAAAACACAACACATAAAATCACACTTTAAGCCAGTTACCAATATTTCTAAAACCACTAAGATCATCAGCTTAGGAAAGTTTTTAAATCTACCTAAGTGTATAATAGATTATAAGCTTAAAAATGAGTCACTTAAAGTTAATATGATTCTTGGAAGTAGCCCAAGTTGACTTGAGTTGCTATCCCAATCCAAAACATCTAGCTTAACCCAAATGACGGACTACACACGCAGACTCCCGTCTCAAAATAGAATTCAAAAGAATGCCTAACAGTTAGCTTAGATTATTCTAAAAGCATATAAATGTTTGTATAAGCTGCGTTCTTAGCATTTCTGCGGAACAGAGGATGGCGATGAAGATGGAGATGTTATCAATAATGAATTGCGAGCGAAGCATTTGCCGCTCTAAAATCATCCGAGTGTGGTGGAGAATGCGGGACGTCGCACGCTCAAACGATAGCCATATGTCTATATATAGTTTGCTTTTGGGACTACTTTTGTTTTGGTTTTTCTGATATACCGCTATTGGATAGACGTAACTGTTGAGAGAAGTATCCACGGAAGTATTTCATTCGAGCTAATCTTCATTATTCTCTATTTACGAACTTCCCATGCGTATCATAGCTTCATTATGCGAAGCAGACCTCATTCAACTCTCTCAAACAAGCTCCGAAATTTGTATCCATTGATGCGGTTTGCCAATGACTCATTGGCCTGACATTTGCTTATATAATGCTTTGGACAAATTTCTTTATTTTTGGTGGAGAATCAAAGCCAAAACGAGCGATACTCTGCCCCGAGCTGAACTTTCAACGCAATTAAGTTTATAAAAGAAATCGAAACCCATAATGAAATCGAACTCAATCTCAAAGATACAAAGCGGTCACCTGCTTTATTTTCTGCCACGGATGTGCGAAAGTTTGTGATACACTGAAAGAAAATATTTACCAATTAAGAAAGCTTTATTATATGTGAAGTAATAGACAAACAATTGTTTATAAACATGCCTTAAAAAACACCAATTGTAGAATAAAAGTTTTGAAAAAGTATTTATAATATGAAAGAGTTTTTCTTATTAATATCTGCCTCATGTTAAAATGGTATTTTACTTAAACCAGATAAGAGATTTATGTTATCGAAACGTACGCTTTTAAGTTAAAACAAAAAATACATGTCTTCTTCTGATTTACTTAGCAATTTTAATTACTTAATATCAGAAGAACGATCAACTTTTTTATGCTCAGATAATGTTTAACTAATACGTTTATTTTTAATCAAATTTTTTTTGTGTGCTCTAAACGATCATCAAGCATTCATTTCGACCTTGCTGGCCCTGCCATTGGCGTTTATTGAACCAGCCAGCTGGGGGCAACAACAACATGGCCCGTCCAAATGGTAAATGAGTTCAGGCATTAATGTTGTGTATGTGTGTTCCCCGGGTAAATTAATGTGTATTAATTCCATTTTTAAAACAGTTTCCCACATCAATGTCCGATATATTAAAATGGCCAAATGTTGTATAGAACATATGCTTTTCATTTGGAATACATATAATTCTTATAACTTTTAATAGACAAAAGCTAGACAAGTTCTGACCAACGTCTATCAACCAGATCTATGTATATCAATCCATCACAGACAACCCCAAAGTCTGGAGAAGTGGTTGGAGCTCTGTCGATGGGCCGATAAGGGTATTGGCCACGCAATATGCAAGTTAAGCCACCGTCGAATATGGCCAAGCAAATGGACGGTCGGTCGCTGTTGTCTTTGCTTATCTGTATCTGTGCAATTACTCTAAT